TGCTCGAGATTCTCGGCCCCGGTATCATTGGAGGCTTGTTTCTCCCCATCCTCGGGGCTCTTCCTGACGCCATGCTCATTCTCGGTCAGTCTCTTTATAACTTTTCTGTTTGGTTGCCGATAACTTAACGGTGAGTGCCGTCCATATTATAATAGTGTCTTTGCATACTCTGTTTTTGTGACTCTTAATTTTTTTAAAAATAAAAATTATACCTTTGAAACGTTTCCAAATCTCGTAGTTCCTGAACCTTCTACGAGTTTATGATTTTTCTTTTGAATTTAAAGAAAATAAAACAAAACTCTTTACTTTTTCTGTACACAACTTTTTCCTTTGGACCTCAGTGGACATAATAAATCTTATACTGTGATACACAGTGGATGGAGAGTTGTATAGCTTTATAAAACGACCCCACTTGTCCTTGTTACTCTCTGTTTGCTCCTACACCTCGTCCTTATAACCAACTTTTGCTGGAATATGTAATCTAGAATCTTTGGACTGTGTTTGGGTTAATAATCTTAGTTCAGAAGGAAATTTATTATGGAAAAAACTAAAAAGAAATTATTTAAAAACAAGAACACCAAAGGGGGGACGATTCCTGTAGTGTTAATTATGCAGAATTAGCCGTTTTCATATGTAAAGTTGTAACTTTTATGTTATGTGATGGATCCATTTCTTCAGTACCTTAAACCTTGACATCAGTCTTACCAACCCGTGTTGGATTTTTGGGGATCTAAGCAATTTTCTCCAAAAAGGACAGGATACTCTAATTTTTACCCTTTGTTTCTTTTTACCCCTAGTTTGATGGTTTACTCAAGAATTAACTTAATCCGTAATCGGAATCAAAATAAGGAGTTGAATTCCTATTGCGGATGGCTTCTGATATGCTTTATCATATTATTTTCAGTATCTGGACTTTCCGGGACTACAGAAACTGCTCAAAGTCAGGTCTCTGTTGGAATGGGGTTGCTAGCTGGGTCCACTGTAATGCTTCTTACGGTAATATGGGGTTCCTGTATTATTGTTGGCAAGTGCGATATTGAGAATTCTGTTGCCATAGATAACAAAGATACAAAAGGGCTTAGCTTAACTGGTATGTCCATATTTTCTTTATTGTTTTATTAAGGACTGACTAGTCACCTGTGATAAATGGAGATCGTAATTTTACTACGCATATTGCACCTTACAAATATCTGTCTTTTATTTGTGGTCAAGGATTATTTAAAGATTTGCATTTCTACAAAAGAAAGGTTGTTAAAGTTGATGCAGAAATACATAACATAATGATGATTGTTAAATTTAAATCCACAGGAACGGGGGATTGAAAAGATAAAAAATGAATCAAGGGAAATATTGTAATCCAAAAGACATGTAGTGGGCTAAGTTGTATGCCTTGTTGCTGAATCTTTTAAATGATTGTGTTTCTCTCTTCATAAATCATACATCTGGAAATCTCTGATCTATAAGTAGAGATAAATTCAGCAAAATTGTTTATAATTGCAGGATCTGGTGTCAGTACTGATATCTGGACTAGCTATGCTGCAAGGATTATGGCTATATCTGTCATCCCATTTCTTATTGTTCAATTACCGCAGCTGCTCAATTCGACCTCGGGTAGACACTTGGCAGTTTTGATTTCACTCATTTTCTCTGTGGTACTATTGGTTTCATATTGCCTGTATCAGGTACTTATAGTTTTTCATACAGCAGGTCAGCCATTACGTACTGCGTAGTTTGAAATTTTCATTTTAGTCTTTCTTGCTGAAATTAAATTATGTGTTTGTTGAATTACTTTCTCAATAGGTTCTGAACTGTATTTCTTTTTTGTTTGTTTATGACTTACATCTTGTGAATTTGACCATTTTTCTTACATTTTTGTAATTTGAATTGCATGATGAAGTTGCTATTTATGCCTAGTGTAAGCAATCATTGTCGATGTGTAAGAAGAAAAGGAAAAATAATTGAAGATTACATAACAATAGATTACTTCTGTCAAAAGCTGGTGTTCGAACCACGCCCTGAGACTTCCTGCTATTAAGTTTTCATAGCTTAACTTGGCAACTTCCGAGGATTTCATAGAATTAGATTGGTTCACTTTTGAATTTTTAAATGATAGATTCCAATTTCTTATGGAAAAGTGGGAATGCGTTTGGACAACCCCTTTTTGGGATCAAGGGTGAGCAGGCCCCTTTGAGTTTGTAGGTTCCTTTCTTAAAATGACTGAGTACTCTTAATTGCAGTCATAATTTGTAAATTCTTTCATGGCATGGTTTTGAAACCCATTCTGATTCAGTCAGATATTTAGTCATGTAGCTAACCATAATCTGTTTGAATTTTCTCTTTCCTGTTTGATATTTAGGTCATGCTTGTTTGGATCGTTATTGACTTGCCTTATATTTAATTGTTGGTGCAGGTGTTTCAGCCTTGGATCCAGAGGAGAAAAATTGCTTATGCAAAGCATAAGCATGTTATATCAGGACTCTTACATCATCTGACGAACCAAGGAAGGCTCCTTACAGAAGATGGTGAACCTGATGAAGAAATTATAAAAAAGTTAGTGCTTATTAGTATTACCAACGAAGTATTTAGTCATGTGTGTACTTTGTGCCTCTATTTATTTATCAGAGATTGTTTCTGTTTTTCTTTTATTGTTAGAGACTGTTGTATTTACTCTGTTTTCTGTTTGTATATATTTCAGGTTGTTTAAGACAATCGATCAGGACAGTGATGGATATCTTTCATTTTCTGAATTAAAAGCACTGATTGTAGGAATCCGGTTTGATGAAATAGAGTTGGATAAGAATGATGCTGTGGACAAAGTGATGAAAGATTTTGACACTTCTCATGATTCCAAGATCAGTGTTGATGAGTTCGTTGTTGGTGTCTCAAAATGGCTTAATGAGGCAAAGCGTGCAGGAAATGCCAATTCTGACCCTGGCCATCGCAAGATGAAATTTTTATCTGACTTTCACTCGGTAATGTTTGATTATTAAGTTCTGATAGATAAAAGGTTTTCTTATTAAGACTTGGATCTGTGCTAACATACTAGCTCCTTGGAAATTCATGTACAGCGGACAAAGGAAGAGCACGCTCTTTTGGGGGCCGGTGTTCAAAGTGATGAGGTTGTCGAGGGTGCTGAAAAACCTAAGTGGACCTCCCTCAAAGCAGGATTAATGTTGTTGGTAGGAACTCTTATTGCAGCTGCATTTGCAGATCCCTTGGTGGATGCTGTTGATAATTTCTCAGATGCCACAAGCATTCCAACTTTCTTCATCTCATTCATTGCACTACCTCTGGCTACTAATTCTAGTGAGTCTGTATCAGCGATTATCTTTGCTAGCCGCAAAAAGATAAGGACTGCCTCCTTGACATTTTCTGAGGTTTGTATTTCTCATATTCCATCTCTCTTTTTGTTTTATCACTCTGCAAGCCTAACAATACTTCACCTCTTAACAGTTGTGTTGATAATTTTTCAGTTGAACTCTTAGAAGTTTCTTATATACATTTGTAAACTTAAGACTTTAAGCTTTAAACTTCTCCAATGACAAATTGCAATCACATATCAAAATCATTATAAACCAATATCTCTATATTGTTTAGCATATTTTGCAACGTACAAATAGCCGATAAAATTCTTCTGTTGGTCATGATTTAACTATTTTGATGGATGGATAGTAGTATCTAGTAACCTTTTTTGGTTTCTTTTTCCACACAAAAGTAGGGATTTAAATTTTTCTAAAATAAAATAAAATAAAAATTCCACACAAATGTTGTAGGTGGTGTTTCAACTGTAATATTTAGCAAAAACAGGGAATGCTGAAGTTTGACCTATTTATCTCTGTGTTCCTTGTTGCAGTTGTATGGTGCAGTTACCATGAATAACATCCTCTGCCTGTCGGTATTTTTGGCCCTGGTTTACATTAGAGGACTATCGTGGGACTTCTCAGCGGAAGTCCTGGTCATTCTCATCGTTTGTGTTGTGATGGGTATTTTAGGCAGTTTACGCACCAACTACCCTCTCTGGACTTGTTCAATTGCTTTCCTACTTTACCCCTTCTCCCTGGCGCTGGTTTATGTTCTGGATTATGTTTTAGGCTGGTCATAGACTCACGACGAGGTGATCTGAGTACATTGGGGTGCTTATAAATCGATATATTTTTCGTTTTCCTTTCATTTTTCCTATGGTTTAATATGATCCTTGATAATGTTATTGTGAGCAGGCAGGCATTTTGGTTTCATTTCCATTAGCAACACTTGAGATTTGTTGGGAGCACTTCTACTATTATCAGCCATTTTCCTCATTATAAAGCAAAAGCACAGATTATGTGTCATACGTTTACATCTTCTGAAGTAAGCTTGTTATCCCGATTAACTACAATGTCTCCTTCTTAGGCCCTCTCTTATGTGTGGGATAAGGAGTCAGATTGTACAACCAATCCAGTCCTACGTTTGGCTAGCTAAAGGAGAGGCTGGACTGGACTAAACCATATTTTTTTGTTTGATACAATCGATATTGGGAGGAGGGATTCGAACACCGAATCTCAGGTGCAGGGTAAGTGTTCTTAACTATTTGAGGTACAAGTCCTTTACGGACTCTACTAAACTTAATCCAACCCGTTTGGTGATCCATTGAAAGTCCGATTCCCTTTCGATTAGATTGAAGTTAAAGCGTGAAAAGGGATTCTCGCCAATGACATATAATGTAATTTTCTCAAATCATGTGGACCCAAAATTTACTTTGCTTGCTTTTTCGTCCACTGGTTGGCTGAGGGGTTTGGTAGACAGCGATGGAGAATCAAAAATATGTGGCCTACGACATCCACTTTATCACAACCAAAACTGGACCCAAAATTTAACACACAAAATAATTCAAAGTAATGCTCACCTGAAAATTAAGCCATGCCTAACCGCGTCAACGCACTCCCCCGTCCCTTCTTCTTCTTCTTCTTCATCTTTCTAATATTCCTCTGCGGCCTAGCCCACGGCCGCTTCTTCCTCGGCAATCAATCCTCACCACAGGATGTAGCAGTTATCTCCGATGGGGTCCACGTGGGGCCCCACAACTCGACAGCACCCCACCTAGCTCTCAAGCTCCTCAACGGGTCCTTGTCTGCGGAGGCGGACGGCGCGTGCGAGGAGACGTACGGGTTCTTACCGTGCACCCGCAGCGTGCTGGGGAACCTGTTCCTGATTTTGGTGTACGGATACTTGATGTACTTGGCGGCCACGTACCTCTCCAATGGCAGCGAGCTGTTGCTGGAGATTCTCGGCCCCGGCATTGTGGGAGGCTTGTTTCTCCCCATCCTCGGCTCGCTTCCCGATGCCATTCTCATTCTCGGTGAATCTCTCTCCCATTCTCCTCTCTGTTTGCTTTTCATGAAAAAAAAACATATTAAGAAGACGACTTTTTTGAGAGTGTATTTGATTTGACTTATGATATCACATCAAAATAAGAAGTTGTTATATGTGCTTGCTTAGACATGGGGTGGAAATGAGTCAAAGTCAAGTCCAATACTAAGGTTATCAAGCTTCCTTCGGATAAATATTACTTGATATTAAACTTCGGCTTATTTTCCAAACAAAACTCATAGAATTATGCTTAAGCTTGGCTCATCTGATTTTTTTTTTTTTTTTTTTTTTTTTTTTTTTATTTTTTTTTAAACTCGTACTCGCACTCTCGGCTCTTTACCGTAACCGAATCCAAACTTTTGATAAACTTGACTCCCACGAGATATTAGTGATATCATATTCGAACTTCCATGACATCTTGGTACTCTGTGTGAAATTCTCATTCCCCTTGTAATATATATTCACACGTCACGGTCCAATATTACTAAATATATGTATATAGGCGAGCGTTTTATAATTGTTTATAATTATAATATTTATAAACTCCGATAAAATTATTTATTGCATGGCAACCTTGTTTGTTGTATGAAAATGAAGAAGTAAATGTTGGACCTACTATTATTTAATGGAAATTCAGACGGTTGTTTTCTGACAAAACTATGGCCCATGGTTAGACCCTCCATTATTAATCTCTCTCTTATCTTTCGTCTTTGTATATATAATGGCAGCCCCGTAAACCAAACATCAATCCTTTCTCTCTCCTTTTTTTGTTTTGTTTTGTGTGTGTGTGTGTGTGTGGATAGTTTATGTTCTTAAAATTCTTTTTTAATTGGATATATTTATAATTAGTGAACAATGTAGCGAAAGTTCTTTATATTTAGTGAACAATAAAAATAAAAAAATTGTGTGGGTGACAGCAATTCTTTTCTTCAAAACGCCACACCCACAGGGATTAGAAAATGACATTTTGTAATGGAAAGTTTAGTAAAACATGGTCTGGAGACTGGAATCATTGGACTTTGTTTGGGATAATAATATTTTTTTTACAAGCGATAATTTAGTTTAAACTAATCTAAATTACAGGTAGGGGAATTCGAACTTGGGTTCAGAGCAAGAAGCACATCCACTCTAGCCAACGTGGCTAAGCCTTGTTTGGTCTAATAATCTTAGTTCAGATGAAAAATAAATACGAAAGAAACAAGAACTAGTTAGAGCATCTCCAATGAAGGGTTGTATAATGAGGTGTATGTCAAATATACACCATTTGTGATCGGAATCACTGCAATGGGGAGGTATAAACGATTGTGAATTTGCATCACAACCGTTAGATAGAAATTTAGATGCACATGTGCATCCTTTTTTACATCCCTTGCAGGTAGGGCCTACATGAGAACAAAATGAGAAAATGTGGACAAAAGTGAGCAAAATCAATTATATATATTTAAATTTACATATTCTCCATTGAAGCAAAAACCACATTTACAACCCGTAAAGGAGATGTCAAAATGAATTTACACCCCCGAAAATATACCCCTCACTGTGGATACTCTTAGCCATAGAAATGTGTCGCTCCATTGTAAGTTGTACTTCAATTCAAATTCTCTTTCGTAGTTTTTTTGTTTTTTGTTTTTTTGGGTCAAGGTAGTTTGTAATTTAAAGCAGCATAGAATATCGCATGGTAAATTTTTATTTTTATTTTTATTATAATAAAAAATAAAAAAAAAAAAAAAAAAATTTCCTTTTCATTCCTTTGTTTGTTTTCCTATGTATGTACAGGTAATTAATAATTAGCTTCAAATTGCCTATTCTTTTCAGTATCTGGACTTTCTGGGAGTACAGAAACAGCTCAAAGCCAAGTCTCAGTTGGAATGGGGTTGCTAGCTGGTTCAACTGTATTGATTCTTACACTAATATGGGGTTCCTGTGTTGCTGTTGGCAAATGCGATATTCAGAACTCCGTTGCAATTGATAACAAAGATACCAAAGGGTTTAGCTTAACTGGTATGTCCATAAGGAACCGTTTTTTCGTTAAAGACAAATCGTAGTTTGACATATGTACATAAACTTTTCTTTTGTTCTTCTAACGAGTTACTTATGTATTTGTGTCGGACTGTGATTTGTAGGTAATGAGCCAGTCTACGTGACACAATAATGTGTTGTCTCCCTTTGAAATGTTTGATTTGTAAGTAAAGCTATTTGTAATTGCAGGTTCTGGTGTGAGTACTGATATCTGGACTAGCTATGCTGCAAGGATTATGGTTATATCTGTCATCCCTTTCATTATTGTTCAACTACCGCAGCTTCTCAATTCGAACTTGGGAAAAGACATAGCAGTTTTGGTTTCCCTCATTGTCTCTGTCGCACTATTTCTTTCTTACTGCCTTTATCAGGTAAGTTGTGATTTTCATGCAGCAATTACATACTCTGCATGACCTCACAAATACGTTTAAGTTCGGTTTTTGATGCGAAGTCGTATTTGTTTATTTACGTGTCTTATATTTAATTGCTGGTGCAGGTGTTTCAGCCTTGGATCCAGAGGAGACGAATTGCTTATGCAAAGCACAAGCATGTTATATCAGGAATCTTGCAACATCTGAAGACGCGCGCATTAGGAAGTCTCCTTAAAGGAGATGGTGAACCTAACGAAGAAATCATAAAAAAGTTCGTATTGTCTCTTGGTGTCAGGAATGGAGTAGCAAAAAAGTTCTTTTAGAAGTGGTTTAGAAGGTTTTAAACCATTTTCAGATAACTAAAAAAGCACTTCTAGCAGTAGTTAAAAGTGCTTTAGACGTGCTTTCAAAAGCACGAGCATTTTAGTCATGTCTGTTCTTTGTGCCTCTTCTCTTTTCTATCAGAGATGTTGTTATCCCTCTTGCTTTCTTACTATATGTTGTGTCAGGTTGTTTCATGCAATGGATCAGGACGGGGATGGATCTATTTCATATTCTGAATTAAGAGCAATGATTGTCGGTATCCGGTTTGATGAAATACAGTTGGATAGGGATGATGCTGTGGACAAAGTGATGAAAGAATTTGACACTTCTTGCGATTCTCGTATTGATCTTCAAGAGTTCCTCACTGGTATCTCGAAATGGATTCATGAGGCAAAGCGTTCGGGAGATGACGCTTCCAACAATGATCCTCACACGATGAAATTTCTATTCGACTTTCACTCGGTAAGGTTATGCGACTTCGAGAATTTATTATGCTACTCTACCAAGTGTCAAGAGTTCATATTCTCACACTGGGAATTCTAAGCCTTGATAAGATCTTGGATTCTTTCCAACACTAACTGCTTGGAAATTTATGGGCAGAGAACAAAGCAAGAGCACGATCTTCTCGGGGCAGGTGGTCAAAGCGATGAGATCATTGAAGGTGTTGAAAGTCCCAAGTGGACGACCTTCAAAGCAGTACTGATGTTGTTGGTAGGAACTCTCATTGCGGCTGCATTTGCTGATCCCTTGATAGATGTTGTTGATAACTTCTCAAGTGCCACAAGCATTCCAACTTTCTTCATCTCATTTGTTGCATTACCTCTGGCTACTTCTTGTGAGGCTGTCTCTGCAATAATGTTCGCTAGCCGCAAAAAGATCAGAACTGCCTCGCTGACATTTTCTCAGGTTTGTACACTTAATGTTCGATAGTTTTCCAATTTAATAGTCCAGTCTTATCATTGTTAAGTTCATCAGACATCGAACGTAAAACTCAGTCCATTTTAACTCGATTAGCTTCTCCATTGACATAATACAATGCACTCACAGATCAAAATCTTTTCTCAAGTAGCTTTTTTGCATCATGAATGTTTCTTCTCTTTTCTTTTTCTTTTTCAACTCTAACGTCTGGCAACTGCATTGTGTACTGAAATAAGACCTCTTACCTCTTTGTGTCGTGTTGCAGTTGTATGGATCGGCAACCATGAACAACGTCCTCTGCCTATCGGTATTTTTGGCCCTGGTTTACTTCAGAGGATTAGAATGGGACTTCTCAGCAGAAGTCCTGGTTATTCTCATTGTCAGCATTGTGATGGGTGTGTTTAGCAGTTTCCGCACTGTCTTCCCTCTCTGGACATCTTCAATCGCTTTCCTACTTTACCCCTTCTCCGTGGCACTCATTTATGTCCTGGATTATGTTTATGGTTGGTCTTAGACTGATGAGATCTTTAGGGTGCTTGCTTTCATGCAGTGCAGAATAATAAGTAGAGATTTTGGACAAATTTTCATATTGAAACATACTTCTGTTCTGCTTATGTTAAGCAATTGAACACCTTTGCTTACTCTCTTATTATCTTTCTGTTCTGCCTTGGATAGCTGGTTTTCCTTGTATGGCCCACAACTCTTCCATCAAACGTTTGCAACTATAATGAAGGTAAGATCTGTGGAGCCCACAATAAAGAAGATAGGACAAAGCACAATCAGATCCTCCCACAATCCACCACATGCAAAAGTTTGTTAGCAACTCTCAGTGCTGCCTGCCTCTGTCATCCATCATCCACCAACCAAAACAAACTACAACATAACTCAAAGAAAACCCCAAAATCCCAAGGCACACAAGAAGTTAACCACCACTGGTATTTGGCTTCATGAATATATATGTAACCACTCAAACAGACAGATCTGCATCTCCTCTGTCTTTTTTCTAATTCTCACCCTTCACAAGTCTGAAGCTTACATATGCAAATTTAGACATATCTACCCTACTGATATGTTGAAATTTAAGGGCAGCAAAAAAGAAAAAAAAAAAGAATTTCCTAATATGGTTCACAGAGAGAAACAACTAGCCTGCCAAAGATCAGATTTATAACTTCAAATTGAGATCCACACTTTCTCCTAGTTCACCATTACAATTGTTGTTTATAGTGGTTGCTGCTCTTCCAATTTGTGCCTTTGCTGGTGGGAAGAAGCTGTAGAAAGCTTGTTGTGGATGTGAACAGCTTGGTCCTGGCTGGAAATTTGTGTCTTCCGCATTGCCCTTTTAACAATTCAATAGAAAGAAACAAAATACAATTAGAAAATGAGATGAGATTACTGAACAAAACTAGTGAATTAGAAGTGGGTTTCTGTTGATTTATCTCACTTGATAAGAAAATGATTCAAACTCAGGGACTTCGCGGTTATGGAATGCTAGATAAGTTGAAGGGAGGTTCAACTTTGGGCTGGGACATGTCCTACTACTGGTTGTAGGAGGGGCTAAGGTGAGAAAATCTCCATTGACACTCCCATTTTCTTTAATGCTGTTCCTTGAATTCGACTCCGAAATTGAAGTTGAGCATGAAGGGGCTTCTCTGATTATGGTGCAAAGAAAACCATGAGCAAGCATACATATGTACTGGTGCAATTTTTGGAAGATAAAGATAAGCTAACCTGAAAATTGGGTTGCCTGAAGGCTCCAAATTGTAGGTGCATCTGTTCCCACATGAACTTGCTTCATCTGCTCTCATAGGAGCAACAAAGGTAGGGAATTTAAAGTTGATGGAGGGGCCTGGTGGATTGTCTAGAGAAAAGGGGTATGGCCTCTTCATGCCAACCATCTACTACATATCAAAGGTAGTCAGCATTAAGACCAATCTCTCAGGTTTCTCACACATTAACAGAACAAATTGTGCTGAATCCAAGTTTAAGACAACAAAATAAAGCAAACTGAAATGAAATACAATTCTGCAGCTTCTAACATTCCTTTCAAGAGAAGAAGATTTTCAAAATATAAATTAGGATTTCCAGAATCCAATCGGAACCCACTCATTGCAATTCCTTTGACTGACAATTTCTACTAATTTCCACTAGGAAAAAGAAGCATTTATAGATGCACTAGTAAGAAATTTCCTAAATTTAACTTAATTTGACAGGAAAGAGAAACGATCATATCTGACTAAATATAGAGGTGAACAAACCTTTTCTTCATCCGGCCACATTGGTGTATAGTTGCTGTAATAGCTTTGGTTTGAAGGGGGCTCTATCTGAAAGTTTAGTACAGATGATGATGAAGTTGCTGATGACACATTCACCTGCAGAGTTCCATACACCAAAATTCCTTCTCAACATAATCAAAAGCAGGAGATCATAAAAGTTTACTTCTTCCCAATAATTAAAAACAATGTTAAGAACTACAAAGAAAAAATGTCTTACCATTGAAGGAGGAGGAGGAGGCTGCTGATGATATGGTTGTGTTCTTTGTGGCACATTGGTGAGAGGCCAAATGGGGTTGTTGGACTCAAAAGGCAAATTCAAAGTAGACCGAAACGCCAATCCGGGATCAATCCCAGAATTAGAACTCTCCTTCTGATCAAGATTGAAGTCACAAGGGTTCCACAAGTTAGGAACATTATTATTGCCATGTCCCTGAATTTCAAACCCATGACCACCATTATTATTATTGTTATTTCCCAATGGAACAGTGCTAATTGGCTTCCTAATTACATCAATGTTCTGGGTTGGAATTAATGGTGGCCTGAAAATTGAGTTTGGTGAAGGTAGATCTAGTGATGGTAGAGAAGGAAATGGGATTGAAGAGGGTGGTTGATTATGATTAGAGTGATAAAAATGTCTAATTGGGACAGAAGGACATGATGAGGATGTGGATTTGGTCGGTGAGGATAAAGAAGATGGGGTTGACAAAATCACAGCAGCTGCTGCTTTCTTTTGCTGATCTTCAAGCCTGATTTTCTCAAGCTGTGCAACACCAAGTCCTCTCTGTGGCACTTTTTTTTGCTTGGTTTTTTTGGATGAAGATCTAGTAATGCTTGCAAAGCCAAGACTAGCACCACTACTAGTATTGCTACACTTTTGGGTTTGGTCTTCTTGAGCCATTCTTGCTATGTTCCATCTACTTTTACAAAATGAACAGATTGACAAGAAGGAATTTTGGATCAAACCCAGAAATCAGAATGGGGATTTATAAGAGAGAAACTTGCTCTTGATGCTAATTTCATTAGGACCATCTCGAGGCTTTGGTCTCTGTCACCCTTCCTCTTCTTCTCTTCCATCAATAAAAATTCGATTTTTTTTTGGTGTTTAAGGAAACAAAGAAACAAAGATGGGAGAGAGAGACCCAAATCTTTGATTTTCAAGAACCATGATTTGAAAACAAACTCTATAGAGGAATTTAAGATTGCCCAAAATCTCGCTAAGGGAGGAACAAACCCAAGAGCCTAGCCAAGTTTTTAGCAAAAAATAAAAATTGAAAAATTGAAAAGGGAAAGGAGAGAGAGAGAGAGAGAGAGAGAGAGAGAGAGAGAGAGAGAAAACAGAGTGTAGAGCAAGAGAGATTATCTGAGGGGTTTCAGATTTTTCTCACATGCAGTTGTTTGTCTGAGAGACAGATCAGATGACAGAGCTTATATATGGAAATTTATGACCAAAAAATCTGTTCTTTTCTTTTGGGTTTTTTTTTCTTTTTTGAAATTCAAACCATGCAAATCTAGAGCACTATGAATAATATTTTTCTCAAATTTATAGCCCACATTCTCGCTCCACTCCTCATTTCCTTGCTAGACCGACTCTTATGAGCTTTGTTTTCTCTCTCTCACTACTACTTTCTCTCCTTGTGAAGTGAACCAAAAGCTCAGATTTTTGCTCTCCAATAATGTTTTTTCGAACACCAAATTGAGCTACCAGCCACATCCACAGTCTTGGCTTGCCAATGTCACCATAAGCTTTGTTTGTTTCATTTTTGGGCATCTATGGCTGGCTTTTGCAGCTATGGTAGGACCCACCTCAACCCCCACGTGGGGCCCTTTAAAGTGTCCCTAACACCGACACTTGCATTTCATGGAATTCACCACCTCCCAAATCAAATGCCAAACCTGGTAACATACATTGGAGTTTTCAAATTCTTATTTTTATTTGAATTTTTGCTTGCATGCGTGTATTTAGTTGAATTTTAGTTTGGAACTTCTTCCTCTTTTGAAGATGTACATGCGCAAGTTTTTGTATATATTAATTGATTTATTTTCGTTATGCATGTAATGTAAACATTTATCATCTTTAAAAGGAAAGAAAAGAAAAAGAAAAAGCATTGAAAGAGGCAGGGTGAGGGGAGAATGACAAACTCTACCCACCCCATCTCCCATTGTCTTACCTACCCCCACAAAATTGAAAAGAAAAAAGCTATTACTTGCCCCCTTCGTATTTTTTGATAAAAAGACGATCGAAACTTATTAGAACAACAAGAAAAAAGAGTAAACAAAAGATAAACAATGAGGGTTGGTTTAGTTGATAAGGTCATTGCACTGTGTGTAGCCTTACCAATGTTCGAGTCTCGCTGTCAGCAGTTATCATTGGTGTGCGATCTGTAATCTCCTACATAAATCCATACCAATGGCAACTGGCAATTGGATGCATGCGTAAGTCTTTCAGACTCTAGATTATGGATAGACCCTGACACCAAATGGATAAAAACTTCCCCAATAACATGAGCCCGCCTCTTTGGTTTAATTACAACTATGTTAGTTTCTATTGCCTAATAAGCCATTAAGAAATTATTATTGAAATTAAATAGGAAGTTACTGATAACTATTAAGCAAGTTTTTTGAAAGGTAAAGCTTTATAAGGAAAGCTGTTCTGAGGTTCATAGCTACTTACCAACTAGCAAGAACCGAGTTGAATGTGACATGGTGCATGCATAGGTAGGTGAAGAAAGATATATAATAGAGTAAATCAAATTTTAATGGTTTTCCCCTTGGTATTGGATAGACAAGATCAAGCTTAAGAGGACATCAAATGTAGAATGCAATGCAAGGCCTGACAAGGCAACAAGATCGATGGACAAAGATGCTGCCCTTTAATTCCGCCATTCAAATCCATGCAGCTTTATAATCAATTTTGTATTTAAGATGTCTCCAATTTTGAATCCCTTAAAGAAGTTAATTTTTCAAAGACATTATCAGAAAAAGTGGAGGTTTTTGAAACATCTATAAATTAAAAAAAAATTGAGAGAGAGAGATTCGAATACAGGAGCGTAGGATAAACACTCTTAACTACTTGAACTACAAGTATCTTGCACTTTTTTTTCTTGAGTTTTGTTGGATCATATCTTCAACATTAACATTCTTCGTTTGTGAGGGTAGAATAAATGCTCTTGACCACCCTTTAGTTGATTTTGGTTAAACAAGACGGATTGTTTGTTATATCATCAATTTTTCTATGAACCAAGACGAATCATTCGGTCTGATTCAAATTCTATAATAATTAGGGCAATAATTAAAGACTTCAAATATGAGAATTTCAGAAATTTATTGGTGATCAGGGTTTGGATTAAGGTTTTAAGATTTCTATCTATCATGGAAAATGAAAATCTACCAAATTTGGACATGCTACTATACTAGATCCTCCTGACTTAAATCTTCATCTGGTTGATGAGCCGTTAGATGCAAAAATTCAAATGCCATCCAATATACAAATTTGACAGCAAATCAGCCAACTCAGAATTTCCAGGCATATTAATATTAAATAAGGTGAAATCATTATGTGGTGATAAATATATGAAACAGAAATAGGAAACACAATTGCTGAGAGGTCACTATAATTGAATCCTCAAATCTTGCCTTGTGACATACAAAATGAGCAAAGCTATATCTACCTTTTGCAAGGGACCCACTTTGGCCACAACAATCTATCCAAAACTTACTCATAACAAAACAAAAATGGTGCCTTCAAGAAAACCAGCCACCCACCATCCATATTCCATAGAGAAGGACAGTGGAGCCTCCATGACACCACTCCTTTTGTCAACATAACAAGCCAAAGATTTTGTTGGATACACAAAATATAAGGCTAAGGCATCTACCAATAAGATTCTCTATGTATATATTTACCTTGTCTCATTCTTGCTTTCTCTCTTTCTAGGATTTTATTTTTATTTTTATTTTTTTGTTATAAATGAAGCGATGGTATTAGAAAAATGAATGAAGAATTACATAAGGTCCTCTATTAAAGTATCTTGAACGATATGAGGAGGGACCTCATGCCATTCAAATACCTTATGAAGCAATAGAGCAAAGCAAGTTAATTTATGAACCACGAAATTGACTTCTCTAAAAACAAAACACATCGAAACACTAGGAAGTTGAGACTAGAGAAACCGAACTTTATCTCTAGGGTTTGTTGATTGAATTGAATATATAATCAAACATTTTGGTATTGAAGTTATAATAGTTAACAACCAAGAATTTATTGTTGTTGGTAGCATCATAAAAATTGATGGGTCTTGTGTCCATATTTGTTTTATTTAGTACATTAATTTGAAAAAAATATGGGGTTGGTTTCTATGAGTGAGATCTTTCTAGTTCAAGGTATCACTATCATTTCATAATTGTGATTTTGTTCTCACTCGTTCCCTCTATTTTTTTTCTTTTTTCAAAAGGAGCATTGGAGTTCCTTTTGTGCAGATAATTATGTAAAATTAGTTACATAAATGTAAAGGTATGCTATCCATGATTGAAACAAAACCATGAAAAACATTATGTATGACGACTATGAAATGAGTGCTGATATTTTCACTATTTGTCTTATTCCTACATTCACTTTTTATCTTACTTACTACTTAAATTTGAAAAAATACAAATATCTTTCTACCCACCATTATTTCTAAAATGCCCTTTAATTATTAATTCAAGCAAATTCTTTTTGCTAATCATTAGTAGTTTAGATATAGAGAGGATCGAGTTGTGTCAGACTGATTAGATATAAGTAGATATTTATTAATATTATTCCCTAAAAATAGGAAAATAAACCATGTCGTCCACCCATATTATACATGTATACAAGATGTACCACATAACTATACTACCGTAGTATATTATAATTTCTCCCAAGTGACATAACATTTTAGCCAATATTTGATTGAATGTCATTTTCTGTCACATTTTTCATATTTTGTAGCTATACTTGGAACATAGGATTTTCAGTGAATTTTCTTGAGGATCATATGCCGCATGCACAATAAATAATATATATATATATATTTTACTAAAGCTAGGAAATAGAGTAATTGTCACGTGATTGGAATATAACCTTGTTGTGGCAAAATCTTGAGATAGATAGAAAATTTTAAATTTAGATCCTCCCTCCTCAATCAATGATCGTCGGATCTAGTACTGGCATTATTTTAGTCTCCATTTGTTGGAGTAGGTTTTTAAATTCAAATCTCAAGATCAACAAGATTTTGATACTTATTTGGAGGTTTGTTTGTGGAAAGACCTTTTATGTTCTTCAATAATTGTGCAATTCAAAGATGTGATTTTGAATTAAATAAGAAAAACACCCATCTTTAATCCTCGATTATTCTTAGAAGAACTTTACATGTAACGGGGATGTCCCATGGCAATATCCCAAACCTATCATGCATTACCATATTAGAAAGTTATAAATACATGACAATGGGTAATTGGCTCAGAATAACGTCACGATGGTATTTCCGGTATAAGTAAGTTTTTCTCGATCCTTCCCATTAAGCAGTGTGCTACTTAATTTGTGTTTAACTAATGCAACATTGGCAATCATTCCTAATAAATGATTTTCTCCCACCATTGTAGTTTCTAGAGTTTCCTCTCTGTTTTTCTTGCACCATTTCAGAACGCTTTTTCAACCCTACTTCTCCATGTTAAATATGTTGCTAGAGTTCGTCCTCAACAGGGTAGTCTTCGCATGATATTTACGAATTAAAACAACGGTTGTGAGATTACACAGACTAAGAAACTAACCATCATATGTGCATAGATATTTGAAATTGGAGTAAAATACTTTCTTCTGGAGAGTTTAAATTATAAAAGAAAGAATCTTATAACAAACAGGTCCCGTAGCTCAGTTGGTTAGAGCGTTGGTCTTATGAGCCGAAGGTCGCGGGTTCGAGCCCCGCCGGGACCATAAGTTGGGTAAACGTGTTGTTTTTATGGTTGAGTAATATATTTCATGTGCTTTATAATGTTTTGTTTTCTGGTTGTCTTCCATCCTCGGCACTTGATCATGAAATGCAGAATCTGAATGAGAGCATCAATATACAGAATCTGAATGAGAGCATCAATATACCGTGGGATCGATCGAGCTTTCGTTTCCTTTTTCTTTTTGTTCTTTTACACAGTATAACAACCCTAAGGCATCTGCCGCTGGTTATGCTTGGTCTTAAAGATGCATGAGGAATAGGATGCCTAATTTTCATGTATTTGCCACCTGCATCTTCTCTTCAAAACTTCCTTTGAAAGTAGGTTTTGCTTTTTTGCTTTTAGCAGTACCTGCCATGCATGTGGAGCACATGTTACATGTACAATCCCTAGATTCAGAAACTGATAGAATTCACTCCTGTTTTAATGTTGCATCTGCAATCAACCACTGCGTTCTGTCATGTTTAAACTTTAAAAATGCTCTACTTGCACAGCGCCTTGGCAATGAAACCTTTAAGCAACCATGGATTTTCACCGTCAATGATGGCCAAGAGATCAAAATTTTGACTATTCCCCTATAACTTTTAGCAATCAGGGTTATCCATAATCACTTGGTCTAGTGCCACTTAGTCTCCATTTTGTCAAAGAATGTCCTGAGTTCAAATTTCATCGACCATAGTTGTTGCAACCGAAAATCAAGAAGCAATGCATGTGCCTTGCAACCTCCACAACCCATTTTGGCCTATAGCTCAAGCTTTATTTGTGCAACAAACAAAGGTGGGGAAAAAGTAAATAAATGCATTGTCTGCTCCTTTGGCAATTCGAGTGTTCACACGACACCAAGATCCACTGGTCCAGTTCCAAAGAGTGATGATAACGAAGGCGACATGTTCATTTGTTATTATCATTTATCGGATTTTTTTTTCCTGGGAAATAGATCCGATCCAGGCTGAGATATCTGGCATTCAATGCATGGCAGCATAACTGGTAGAGTTCCAGGTAAAGGACTCAGAGAAGACAGGGTTGAAGTTATAATATCAGGCAGGATGATGAATCTCTGTTTTTGTTTTTGTTTCTGGTTTTTTTTTCTTTCATAGAAGCGATATTGGGAAGGAGTAAATCGAACCTAAGACTTCAGATTCATGGTAAATATTCTTAACTACTTGAGCTACAAGCTTGCAGGATGACGAGTCTTTGTTAGTTTTTCACTATTCAAAAAGATATTTAAAAAAAAATAGATTGGAATTTAAGAGGTGGTGTAGGATATATGTTTTGTGTGTTGTGGTTTTGTACACTTGTGTTTATTGGTGGGATTTTATAAATTATAATGGAAGGAGTGGGTTACAATTATATATGATATTATTATTTGTATATTTAAAGTGCTAATTCTTGCAATTATAGATCTTGTGTATGTCGTTAACCTATGATTAAAAACTGCTCAACTCAATGATTTGGATTCTTTAATCTCTTATTATTTATAATCCATGTTGTTTAATGCTAAATTAACAAGAGAATAAGAAGGGATGTGAGATGTGGGGTTGATGGGCTAAAAGCTGTAAGCATGCTGGGAAAAGATCAGCTTTATCTTACAGTCGTAAAAACTGATAATATATATAAGATTCATTCACCACAGAGCATGCTTTGTTAGGTTTTCTGCATCCAGACAAAATCTCTATGTCTTCACCACCCTTTTCCAATTTCTTCCTACAACCCATGCGTATACCACCATGATCATATGTTTGGTTTCATCGGTGAAAAAAGAAACACAGGGATCAACTAACCATCAAGTCATCAACTCTCACATACACATACATACGACGAGTTCTAATTTTGCTAATTTTTTGACATAAGAAACTCGATTCTTGCTTGTTAGCGCTTGAACTCTCCTGATGTATACATTCACTCAAATTCTGTTGTTGTGTTACCAAAGAGTTATATGCCCCCATACTGTTTTTTTTTCAATCCAAGCACCAGAAACCACAACAAAATGTCACCATCTCAGTAGAAGCTAAGTGTTTTATCTTGAAAGGCACCCAAAAATAAAGAAAATAAAAGAAAAGAAAGTTTCCAGCTATGCTCTTAAAAGATTTTTATTAGGCACTGAGATTTACAGGGTAGTAGTAGGGGACCAAAGACAGATGGGCAAGTACCAGATTTTGGTGGTATCCATCTGTGTATTCTCTCTCCATAATTGAGTTTGTGATCATCCCAATCCCCTTCCTTCATGGCTCCTCCTGCAGATGTACTCCCACTTAGCCCCACTTGGTCTAAACCGTACTCATTATAGGTCATAGACCACGACCCTTAGATTCCCTTCAAAACCTGGACCCTTAGTCATAAGTAAATTTCAGGACTTGCTATTAACTTGTACTGGATCTTCAATTTTTTTTTTAAATGCGAGCGATAGTCTAAATACTCTAAATTAATCTACTCTACGAAGAGGGAGATTCAAACTTACTCAATGCCCTAACCAACCGGCCTAACCCAAGTCTACGGATCTTTGGTCTTTGCTTTGCAATAAAAAAGGCATATAGGAGCTCCAGGTAAAATGGCCAAACTAGCTAGTTGAACCCAATTCTACTAGTTCAGTTACAGTTATTCTTCTACTTCTTCAAGTCAAAGCATGAACAGGACCATGTTCAACTGACACTCAATTGGGTAAATGGGTTTTTCCACATCCATCAAACTATGCTATCACTTTCATGTAAGAATTGTTTAGATAGTTCAAAAAAATCCTAGTCCCAGCTCCACATTCAAGTTTGCTCATTATATACTGCAATGCTAAAGCAAAGCAATATGGAGTTAAAAGGGAAAACCCTGCTTAAGTTAGGAATTTTCCCAAAGATTGCTGCAGCTTTGGGAAGATATGGATTTAAAAGGATCAGCTACTAGTCTACTCCATCCCCAACAATTCCTACTGTTTATGGAAAATGACTGTGCTGGTCAAGGATAGAGATAGAAAAGATCAAATACATTATTCATTCAATTTTTTTTTAAGGTTTGAGAAAGTTGTTGAGGCATGAACCCTTTCACTGAAAAGTAGTAAAGACCAAAAAAATGACAAAGGGAATTAAGACTCTCTTCCACCTACATGAGAAATTTACCATTTCCAACTGAGATGAAAAGGAAGCCACTTTGCACTTCTCTCTCATTTCTGGAATGAAATAGGCTAAATATCAACTACCTCTCAAACCAAAATCAGCAAAATTTCCTATATTGGGTGATCTGGTATTTTCAGAACAATACCAAATTCGGTGGCTCAGGTCTGTGCTAATTTAACTAATGAATTAAGACATAGAACTTCCAATCAACTCTAGGAATGAAAAATGAAGCAAACCAACAACACATTACTAGTCTAGCAACAGAAACACAGAGCAAATTTAACATAGAGTAAGCAAAAAGTTTCAGCTTCAAGAGCTCAACTCAAACATGAAAACAGAGCTGCTACAACATAAGCAACTAAATGATGAAATAAAAGCTAAACAAAGTTAAAGCCGAGAGATCGAAAAAACCCGAAAATGCACTCAGATTTCTTCTTCCCAAGGCGCACGCCATTGAATCAAAGTGACCGGAAAATCTTCTCTGTGGCCATGTCTGAATTGGCACCAACAGCTTACTCATTTTATCTCCCTGTGGAAGGTAGAGATGAGTCTGAGCCCTGCAATAACAAACCAACCCAACAAAGTAGGCAATGTGTAAAATTGATCCAAAACAAGCAAAACAGGAGATTACAGAACAAAATTTATTAAAGGTAGCACCTTTGAAGAGAAGTTCAGTCTTCTTTTTTGTTTGTTTCAATGGCGAGAATTGGAGGAAGCAGAGGACGGCTTGTCGGAGATGCCGTCGTGTTCCTCCTCGCCGTGAATTCGTGCCGGGATGTGGAAGCCGGAGAATCCGCCTCCTGAGGCGAATCCCATGTTGGAAATGGAAGACGAAGACTGATGATGATGATGAATGGTTGGCGAGATTTGATGATGATGATGATGGTCATGAGAAATCGATTGTTGGTTTTGTTGGTCCATCATCCAAGCACGAACTGAAGGCGAGTTACTGGACTGAAGGGGTCCCCTCTGTGAAGAAAAGAAGTGGCCTTGGCCAAACAGCGATGGCTGCAGAGAACTAGTACTCTGTTGCGTTGGGAGCAGCGAGTTGAATGCAAACCCAGCTGATGATGACGATCCACCACCATTACCAGTATCTCCACCACCAGCACTATTCCAAGCTACCATTCTCTGAAATCTGTTCATCTCTGCTTGCTGCTGCTGGTGATGATGCTCTGTCCACCCATCAAACCCAAGTGGGTTTTGTTGCTGTGTTCCCGAGAAGAGGGTTTGCTCATTTTGATGGGTTTGAGCCTGGTGGTGCTGAGCTTGAGCTTGTTGATGCTGCAGAAGAATTGGGTCTTGGAAAGAATGCAGAGAAAGGCGTAGATCTTGGCTCTGGCTACTTGTTCTGGACAGTAAATCTGGTGGGTAGTTCTGAAACTGTATCGTCGACGATGGAGCCTCGGCTGCACCTGCAGAAGCACCCATTGGGAAGAAGGACTTGATAGTGTCTGCAATGGCGTCAGAGTCCAGCGATGGTGGGAGTAAAGTCGAGTTGGTAAGTGGGTTTTGATTTTGAACAATTTGCTCTGAAACTCCACTCCCCACCATTGTTGCTCTTCGATTAGCAGAACCAATTGCGTCCACCGCCGCAAAGCAGTGGAAGCCAGTGGTTGTTGGGTTCTGGGTCTCCATGGCTGTAACCGCCGTAGACGCTGTTGTGGTCGAAACTGAATGTGGGTTCCATGAGGGAAGCTCGTCGAGCTCGTCTATTGCGGCTTTGGCCTTCTTGATGAGCCAATCGACGGCCTTGCTGGGCCGGTCGTAGCCGAGGCGGTCCTGGACGTCGTAGAATTGAATGGCGGTGTGAGCAGCGAGCCGGACGCGGCGGTCTCTTGGGCCTTTTGCAGTGCAGACCTTGCTGTGCCGGTCTTTTCGACCCGTGGACCGGACAATGTGGCTGCCTCGAACCACCTCCACGATGTCGGCGCTGAGCCCCGAAGACGGCCTTATCCCCAGTCTGGACGACGTCGTTGCTTGGGGGTGGTGGTGGTGGTGGGTGTCGCCCATTTTTGATCTTGCATATTCGATGCTCTGCTCCCCCAAAGTTGAAGAAGAAGAAGTGAAGAAGTTGCGTTTCTTTGGGGCTTGTTGTTGTTGGGCTTGAAGTTCTGCTGCCTCTGTGGATCTTGTGTCTAACACTAAGCCACCAAAGAAATGCTGGTGGTGTTGTTGCTGTTGGTCTGCTTGTTGGAGATAAGGATGTTGCTGAAAGTTGAAAGCTTGATGATTTTGGTGATGTTCTTCTTCTTCTTCTTCTTGGCCTTGTTGATGGGTAAAATTGAGAATTGGGTTTTGGTTTTGATGCAGAGGAAGGTGGAGATAATGGTGGTGATGGTTCCTTTGAGGATCCAGAGTCAGGCCCTCGTGATTTTCTTCTTCCAGCTTTTAATGGAACAGTACTTGTTCTGCTTCTTCTTCTACCACTATTGCTACTTTTGCTATTTGGGCTTCTGCTACTACAACACTCTTTTTTGCTAGTGGGTTCTGATCTCCTGATCTTGTTGTTGATGCTGTTGTTGCTTGTGCTGCCACCTCTTCTCTGAAAGCTGCTTCTTTTGCTGCTGCTTCTGCCTCTCCCAAAAGCCTCTGTCATTCAATGTTTTCAGTTCCATATCACATAACACACAACACCCCACCACCACCACCACCAATTTCCAAAAGGGTCCCCTAATTAAAAACCCAAACCACACCAAAGAGAGAGGCTAAACCAGCTCCCTGCCAGCCTAACCCATCTCTCTCTCTCTCTCTCTCTCTCTCTCTCGCTCTCTCTCTCTTTCCTCTATGCTAGTCTAACTTTTGATTTTTGTGCCTCTTTAATTATACACTGCTTCTTCTGCTCTATATGTGGACTTACCAAACTGGTTTATAGGGGTTAACAATACCCAGCTGAGCAGGCAACAAAACCCACACACCCAAATCCCAATTTTCCCAATTCCAGAGAGAGAGAGAGTGTAAAAATTGGGAAATAAAGGGAGAGAAGAGAGAAAACTCTACTTTTTATTGGGCTATGGAAGGGAGTTGATGATGCCAGTGGTAAGGGTGGCAGTGTTTGGTCAGAAAGAGGATTAAAGATCTCTGTGATCTCATCATTGCGTCTGCTGTGGTTTCCTCTCTTTCTACCATCTAAACTTTGACACTATACAAAATACCCTCCAAATCCAAACCCTTTTTTCTATTTTCAATCACCTTCTTCTAACTTGAACTTCTTTTTCCAGTTTAACCTTCTTCTCTCACCTCTTTTTCTCTCTCCCCCACAGTTGTTTTAAATTCAGGTTTTTACTTGCTAGACACAAGTTACGACCTTTGGTTTTAGCTCAAGGCACTGTCTGCGGAGGGATGCTTTCTTTGGTAGATTAGATTAGATCCTTTATATGCCACCACCACCACCACGCCTTTTGAAAGCGACCCTCTTCCACCTTTTTATGTCCTCTCTCCTCTCTCTCCTCTCTTCTCTCTCTTCCATTTTGAAAGGAAAGTTAAGCAACAACGTCATCTCTCTCTATTTTTTCCTGTTCCTCTTTCTTTTGCTACGCTTCAGTGTCCTTCTCTCAGGCCACTTTTTTCTTTGTTCTGGTTTACTGCTTACTTTGCATGACATTTTTGGGACCTGTCTTTTTCTTTCTTCTTTTTACTAATTGTACTTTTTTAACAATTTAATGTACCGTGTACGTCAGATAAAAAGAGCTTAATATTTTAGCAAAGAACCACTAGTGTAGTTATTTAGAGCAATTTTTTCTTTTTGAATTTGAGTAGCATCTGTGTAGTGTATGTGAATTTAGTATATTATCGACTTTATCAATAAGAAAGGTCATTAAAAAAAAAAAACTTAATGTTTTAAAATGGCAGGCATGTAAATGAATGTATGTTGTTAAAGTTGAATATGAAATGAGTTGTAAACTAAAATGTCTTAGACTTAAGGTTTGTAATTTTGTATGGACTCGGAAGCTCTAGTCCTTCAAAAATACCCTAGAAATGAGTATAAATTAAAATCTTAAAAACTACACCTTTGTTAGTATGGCTCGATACAGGTTATGAATGTGAGAATTGCCACGATCTCATTTAAGATAAATACCATAATAACTTACAGTTTAAAAGTAAGCCGTCCACTAACAATTGCACCAAGATTTTTCTAAATTAAAACCTCACAACTAAAGGAATATCTATATATGCACATAAGATTTGATGCTCTAGGAGAGTTTTCTTAATTTTTATTTCCACTAATGCGAGAGTGAGAATTCGAATTTATCTCCCTGATCTACATATGCTGATGTTGTATCGGCTTTCAACTTTGAGACTCATTTACTAGCGTACCAAATAATATAAAATCCTACCTGCTTATCGAAAGGCCATAAAAAGAAAAGAAAAAGAAGTCCTATATCCTTGTTCCAGTGACCACCAACTCTAATCAACGTCAGTAAAACCCTAGACATTCTTCTATGTACATACCTCTAGCACCTATGCATGTTGTTCATTAGAGGTACAATAAATTTCTATATCTTTGAAGTCCTCATCTTGCTCCATTCTTCAAACCTGTCTTGGCTTTTCAAATAGGGGGATTTTGATTTGCTGCAAATATCCATCTAATAAGCTATTTCATGTCAATTCAATAAATGAACGGGCAAACTAAAGGAGTGTAGAATGAAATTTTTAGAATACGAATAGCAACTCTCTAACGGGATCCAAATATCTGCATTTACCTATGAAAACTTCCCTAAAAGTCTGAGCTGAGGGCATAACCTTACATGGCAAGTTAGCAATACCTGGAGCGAGGTCTAGAAGATGACACCCTAAATGGGGAGAGAATTTGGTGTCACATGTTCAATGTCACTTATTTTTATCTTACTGCTCATTTGATTAGTTAAATAACGAGTGAGTTAGAGAGAAGAGAACATTAGACCCGTGCCAAAAAAGCTTCTCTTAAATGGGAGCATCGGCGACTAAACTGCTCCCTCTCAAATATTTGTTGGGAATCAAATTGTATGTTTACATGCACATCACGTAAGACCTGTGGTGTTTTTCACCCTTATATTTGATTTCGAAATTACGTTTCAAATCTTGGAGTGAAGAAAAGTGAAAGAGCTGTTCTTTTTTGGGACAGCTGTCAGTCGGTCTTCCTTCTCCAATTTGGTGAATGTCAGGTTCAATCATGAATGCTCCCCTCCTTTTCATATATATATATTTTTTTCTAAAATAGGCTATCCACCATATATTCATAGTAATTATCTACCCTACATTCAATTTTTATTTGTATTTTTATCTCGTAATAATTACGAACATCAACTATTATAAATAACTCATTTTTCATTTCTCATAATTTTTCCAAAGGCAAATTAGTCGATTCGTCTAGAAATATATTAAAAACAATAAAATTTTGTAAGCTATGCCAAGGGGAAAGAAAAGTATCGACTATTATCTTCAACGTAAAATAAAGATATTTAATGCCTTTAATTTATTTTTTTCGTAATTGTAATATTTAGATGGAGAATAAGATTTTTACTAGACTCTCTGCATGTGCTTCCGCGTTCGCAAGAGGTTTTTTTTAAAAAAAAATTTATTTATTTATTTTTAAATTAAAAAAGATAATGGTAGTTGTATTCCATAAAAATAGGATCCATTATCTGATTATTTTTTTAATATGAAAAAGTGTGAATTTATCATGTTATCCTCATTTGATTAATAATTTCAATTCTTAAAATTTGCATTAACCAATGTCATTTTCTGGTATTTTGAATATTTCATCATTCTCTGCCTTTTGCTTTATGTATATAGATACAAGCAATATTATGAGCAGTGACAAACCTATTAAGGCACAAGGAGCTGTATTTGTACCTCCTCTAGCCCAAAAACCATTATAGGGGCTGCATATTACACCTCTGCTCAGCTTGGGATGTGCACTCTAGGTGTTCAATGAAAAACCTAAACGAAGTCAGTTTGCTGTTGTGTTGCGTTGTTGCGCGATGTGTAGTACTGCGTTGCTGTGTTGTGCTACTACACAACGTGCTTATTATTATTTTTTTTAATAAATAAAATATAAATCCTGGCCAAAATTGTACCTTACTAAAAAAATTCTTTGGTCCGCCAGTGATTATGAGAAGGAAAATTTGAACACAAGACTTTGGTGTGAGGATATAAATCCACATCAACATGCAGTAACCACGCCAATATACAAAGGAAAATACTTTCCTTCTTTTCTTATAAGCATGAACTCTTACATTCGTGACTCGTAAAAAGAATTCCAGAAAGAAAGCAAACAATATCAATATACAAATAAAAGAATATGAAATTCACTGGGGTCAATTGACCCTACAAACAGACAACATACAAAATTGACATTGATGGGTGATTAGCCAAGTCCCATCGCTCTAATAAACGAATATTCTTATACTTAAACTATGATATTTATTTTGTGTTATGGTGGAAATATTGATATATTAATTAGCACCAAGTACCATCAACTATGAGTCAAGGATATTATTAGCCCGGATTTGTAATTTGTAAATCTCACATCGCAGTCCTGCATGCTTCAAGCTTTGTTTGCTTGCTGTGTTAGGTGCTAATTATGTAATTAAGATAATCCAAAGGGCACATTAGTGTAATGACAAAGAACATATGATACAAGGAATTTAAGACACGCCTGATTTAAATTCTTAAATTATTTTTTAAATATATATATAGTACTTCATCATTCATTTTATTTTAAGATTACTTCATCCATGATTCAATTCAAGTCATTTTCTTAGTATTAATTTTTTGCTGTCGGAAATTATTTGGCTTGGCAATATCCTCTTTCCGGGGCCATTACATGAATTTTGTACAACATTCAGAGGTTTCCTGCATCACCAAATGTTAGCTAACACCTCAATAATTTTCTTTTCGGTACAAACCAAAAAGAAAAAGACTAAAAAATGAAAACCACGTTATTCAGCATTTTTTGTGGGGATGAGAATTACATTTTAAATTAGAAAAATTGTACTTATTTAAAAGCAATTTAATATGAATTTTACAATTTTTTTTGTGTGCAAAAACTCGCATACATTGGTATTACGGAAGCTTGAACTCGCGAGAACCACTTGAGAGCAGTGGCGGAGCCAGGAATTGAAAATAAAAATAAAAGAAATGGGAGCATAAACACTACACAGGTTCTCGTAGATCTTCTTGAAAATCATTTTCAAAATCCTGGACTAATATAGCCTAAAGTTAAAATAAAATAAAAAAAGCTTTAAATTACAGTTTTCACACATCAAGATATAAGACTCTTGTAAAACCCAAAACCCAAAAAAAAAAAAAACCCTCTTTCAATCTTCATATTCAATTTATACACACAACATGAAATTATTTACACAGAAAGAGAGAAAGAAAATATAAGTCATATAGCTTGAGAGATAATTGACTAGGGGTTTGGTACCCCTCTAGTCCTTACGTGGCTCCACTACTACTTGAGAGCACATCAAAAGTCTGAATAAATCCAACAATTATCCATTGACTAATATGAATTTACGTTAATCACTCAATAAATTGTGGATTTATATATCAAAATCGACAGTCAGCCTTAAAAACAAATGACTCGACAACCTAGTCCCTTGACTAACTCAATGTCTGAATTTCTGATAGAGCAGCCTGAAAATCAAGCAACTTGTCAAAAGGTGCCTGTGCCCCTTGCAACTTGTCAAGCTTAGGAGATTGCGCCTATCAGTTGTTGCTAGCTAGCTCCCGATCAATCTAACAAGGTGCTGCCAACGCACGAAAGTTGGCATAGCAAAATAGTGCACAAATTAAATGTTGGAGAATGCGTTTTGAACAACTTTTTTTTTCCTTCTGCCACCTTTGAAGACAACAAAACCTCAAAAGATGGGATCAAATTGAAGTGCTCGAAAATTTTAAGGTTTCCCACAATGATATTTTTTTTCTATTTTTCTGGATATATAAAATTGGGTTTTGAAATAAAGCTTGAAAAGCTAAAAAATACTAAACTTTGGAAAGAAGATCTTTTTTTCCTACATAAAAACAAGAAGCTAGGAAACAGAATTACAACCCTACCATGGAATTGTAAGGACTCAGACTTAATTGCTGAGCGTGCAAGCCTTTGCACGTTGCTAATGATATGGAAATGTTTCTTGTACGTGTGTAGTTGGATGTATTATAAATATAATTGTTAAAGATATACAATTTTGTATATGGATGTAAGTATTGTACTCATCATTCATCTAGTATAAGTTTTTGGGGTCCATTTTGATATATATATATATATATAATCATAGCCAACTTCAAAATCATTTAGGCTTCCTTGGTCATTTAAGTTTGTTCATCAAATTTCAATAATTTCAATTTTTTTTTAATGCAAACGATATTAAAGAATGAGAGTTTTGAAAACAAAATCTCTTGCGAAGTAATAATTTCTCTTAACCGTTTGAGCTACAAAATCCTTGCATTTCGATCTCAAATTTATATTAGAAGATTAGTTACTCTATTCAGACCACGTGAATTTTTGGCGTTTTATCAATCTAACACACTTCTTAAAATTAATTTGACACAAAATATTTAATTTAACTCATATGCATATTGTGCTTCATTTAAAAAAAGAATTAATTCTTTCTATAACTTGCTCGAATTCTATAGAAAGTTGTTAAAAACGAATGTGCTGGAACAGTGAGGAAAACGCAAGAGACAAGAACCCTTTTGATGGTTAGGGATCGAGAGAAGAAAAAGAAATTATAAATATAAATCTTTGAAGTATAAATCTCGTGGAACTTAGCAAAAAAAAAAGAAAAAAAAAAAAAATATGGGAAGAGAAAAAGCTAGACCGTATAAATCTCATAGAAAATTGGAAATGAATTATTTTATTGGTCAGGGAAGCCAAGACAAAAAAATAAATACATTGTTTCTATTTAAGTAGACATCTCATGGAACTTAGCAAGAAAAGATAATAAAAAAGAAGGAAAAAAGAAAGAGCATAGATCTCATGGAGAATGGGAAAGAATGTGCAGCTACAGTACTGAATAAAATGCAAGAGAAGACAGAATCCCTGGGATTTTGAAGATTATAAATATTTTATTTATTGGTCAGGGAGGGATGTCGAGAACAAAAAGAAAAAATCATTTTAGGTCAACCCAATAGTTTTGATCTTTTGAGATTTGGGAGTCTCATTGTTTGCATAAATTGATCCTGAACCTGTTAATTATAAGCTTGGTGTATGACTTGGTTCGGTTTAGGGTTCAAACCCCACCAAACTAATATAAAATATTAATTCGGATTGGTTCATACGGTAAACAAATAGTGAGATTAAACAAATCAACCTATTTAGTAACCGGTTTGATTCGATTATTTATCTTCATACCCAATTAAGTGATTAACCAAGTTTTCTATATTTTCTTATACATTTATTATTTTTGAAATAGATCAACCAAACCAAACCAAAATAATTGTAGATTGGTTTGGTTAGTCCAAGATTACATTTTCTCAAATGTTAAAAATCGAACCAAACAACTTGGATTGATTTGATTATAATACTCAAAGAAAGTATTACATGTTCTATTATTTGCACATGTGATTCAATAACAGAAACTGAGTTTAAGCGCTTTAGACAAAGCCCTAAACTCGATTCTTAGAATTCGAACTCAAATAAAATTTAGCAGATACATATGATTTAAGATTTATCGCTTATAAATTTATAATTTAGTGGATTGTGAAAGCATCATCTTTCATCTAGACAAAAATGTCGTCTGATGAATTGATTGTTGTACCATATCACCAGCATATGATCGCATAGAATCTAGAAAAGTTTCTTCTTCTCCTTTTTTGGACAAGAAGAAGACTTAGTGAGAGGAGGAGGACCATTTGTGAATTATCCTTTACACGTGTGGGCGTGTGGAAAAGGTTAGGACGTGGGTTTTGTTGTGTCCCTTATTCGGCGCCCTATCTTTTTCAGGCAGAGACAAGAGAGGGAAAAAAGAAAATAATATTTTTTCTGGGTTACTGTTAACACTGCTCCATGGTTTTCCAACCACTTTACAGTTGGTCTAGTTTTTGTTGTACATGTATATATTTTTCCATTATTTTATTTTCGTATGGGGGAAACGAATGTTTTTTTTTAATCAACAATAATCATTTGATAGAATTTACAGGACACGTGGAATTTCTCATCACGTGTGGTGTTGATTGTGTGGGGTCATGGACATGGGTCCTAGGGTGCCCAAGGTGAAGGGCTTTTGGGCATGTGAGGTAAGGCCCACTGGAAATGATTGGTAAAATTTCATTTGAGATTACTATTTACTACTCGTGAAGCATTTTTCATTTTGGAATATAATTTTTTATTTTATACAAGTGATATCAGAAGAGGCGAAATTCGAATACATAATCTCGGGATGTATGTGTAATTGCATTTAACAACCCTTCATTTGGAACCTTATACATGTACTCTGAAATAAGTTTCTTACACTGTCTACTCACACATGAGATAAACAAGAGGCATCATTTGATTCATTTTCTTGATAGTCAATTTGATTGGGGAAGTCATTTTCGAAGTCGAAAATTGGCCGGAAACGGAATGTCAATGTGTTCAGATTAATTTACAGGTGGTTTCCCAGCGTATGCATGGCTCAATGCCCTTGTGTTCAAGTTACAATGACAATTATAAGGTGCTACAGTTAGGACCCAACTAGTTGTTAGCCTTTTGCGGTTAGGCATTTCAACGGCAATTGACAACCACAATGTTGAAGACGTTTAAATGATGTGGATGGTGCAATGAGTGCAGTCTTTTTCCACCGTTAATGAGTCCATTGATCTAAGAGCAATTCCACCTATTTGTCACTTGCCATGACAAGGGGGGATTAGAGGTAGCTACTATTCACGTGAATAGTGGCTGCCATTGCAAAAAGCAATGTGTGTTTCAGCTCGTTGCCATGGTAAAGGGTAAATACTATTCATTTTTTTGTTTTTTGTTTTCACAAATTTGTTTACCTAAACAATTAATTTGGATCAGACCAAAAAAAAAAACAATTAATTTGGATAATATTTTCGGATAAGATTTTTGGGTTCGTATGTGTCAATATTTATTATAAAATTCATATCTCAATCGGATAAAATTTTCAGATAAGATGATAAATAAAAATACAATTTAAAAGTGAATAAAATGTTGAGTAAAAAGTGAATAGTAGTAGAAGTAGAAGAAAATTCATGAGGATTTAGTGTTGAGAGTGAAGAGTATTGGTAGGTATTTATAGAAAAAAAATTACAGAATATTTTGGTATTTTTAAAAAAAAATTTCGAATTTTTTTTTCTTCATAATTTTATAGCAAAAAAAAATTCAACCGTTGGATTGGAGGAGAGCAGGCTATCGAAGCGCCCAAACGACGACACATGTCTTTTAGCTGTTGGTGGAGCGCAGGGCTGACGTCAGCGAACGCTGACATCATCCCCCCCTCGGGCTCGAACTTGGGCAAGAGCTGCCTTCAGGCCAACCCGTCTTCATGGGTCCCACCTCCAGCCCAGGCAAAAATGGCCCTTTGGAACTGGCTTTTTGGCTTGGACTCCCCTCAGCCCCGGGCTTGGGCTCCTCGGTGGAGTTGTTCTAAGGTGCACAAGGTATCCTTAAGGGTTTAAGATGGACATTCTTCAAGACAAAAACTTTTGTATCCATTGATTTGTCATAGGGTAAAATATGAGTCGATTATACGTATATTGACTAGATACGCAACTTGAAGAGTACTACAAAATCTTATCAATTTAGGTCAATATTAGAATACATTATTTTGTATTAAAATGAAATAGCTAGGGTCCATGTATACTTGTTGATTTCAGATAGTGAGAAAGAGAGATATGGTGGGTGAGTTTGAAAGCATGGCTTGATTGAGTGCATCTTTTTGGACATGGTGTGGTGTGGTGAAGGGTTTTGTCAAAAAGCTAGGTTGTTGTCATGTGCTGCGGGACGGTGACATAAAAATACTTGGAATCTTCTCCCCACTTTTATGCTGCTAACCCTGATTCTTGTTGCTCTTGTGTTGTGTCCAATTAAAAAATAAATAAATTATGTTTGGTAAGGAGTCAATTCTTTTTCCATACGAAATGGCATCTTGGATTTGCTTGGATAGTTTTTCTTTTCTCTCATTTTGTTGTTCATGCATTGCTGAGAACTCGATTCCTTTTCCACTAGAAATCTAAGTTATTTTCAATTGACGGTGAAAGATAGAAATTTCCCCCTTTCTAAATGCGCATGTCTAAGAATTTGACAATTGAGAAAAGGATCAATGCTTCCTGAGCAAGAAAACTTTAGCTTATTATTTAAGCTTGAGAAAAAAAATTTCCTTATTAGGTTTCAAATGTGTACTTGTGATAGTTAATTGTCTTGGAAATAAATGGAAATGCACTAACAAAAAGTTAGGGTCAAATTGACTTGGGGGTTGATTTTTAATCTTTTTTCAATCGAAGTATTCTTGTGAAAAGTTTAATTTTCTTCTTTCAACTATACAAGTGGACGATTCTCAATCGTTGAGGAACGTACATGTACTAAACCATATCAATTACGGGCAAACAAGCATCCTTGTTTGCCTTCTGATAAAATCAAAACTTATAATCATTGTGAACACTTTTCAATTGGGGCAACAATGCAACAATGCACTTGTCTCTATCAAGGTATGTCTGGTATCTTCTCAACCAAACAGAGCATCACACTTATTAAAGAAAATTGGAAAAGTTCAAATGAACTTTCAAAATCATGCTTTATTGTAAGCCAAAATACAAGGCATGATATGAATCTTAACTTAAGATATTGACTTGGAAGCAAAGAGTTATAATTTTTTGGACCCACTTAAAAACAACTCTTAACTTACCCATCAATCACCATGATATTTGACAAATCATCATCTCCTTAGAGATCTTAACTAGTGGCGGTTGAGTTCAGGAACTCTTGCAACAGTCAAACACAAGGGAAATGATATAAAATTGTTGTGGGGGTCTTTTTATTATAGCAGCCTGACGAATGGGCTTGGGCTGCTGAAAAAGAGAAACATGTGAAGCTACCCCTGTGTTTGAGTTTAGGAACTCTTGCAACAGTCAAACACAAGGGAAATGATACAAAATTGTTGTGGGGGTCTTTTTATTCTAGCAGCCTGACGAATGGGCTTGGGTTGCCGAAAAAGAGAAACATGTGAAGCTACCCCTGTGTTTGAGTTCAAGGATCAGGCCCCATGAGTGTTTCGAAGGGGTAGCTGAGCCTTAGGAAACACCTTGGTCTTCTTCACCAATGAAACCAACAGTCGTTTACAGATAAATTCCTGGCTTGGCATGAGAAGCTTATGGCATGGGAGTTGAGCGTTCGTGAGTTTAGCATGATAGAGAAAAGGCTTGGGTTTCCTATGAGGAACAGAGGCTTGAAGTAATGATTTCATGAGGATTTGCTGAGGAAAGAGAGAGACATAGATTATGGTGGATGAACAGGTGCTTTGGGTAATTTTCCAGCAGCTTGACGAAAACTTCGTCATGCTCTGTATTGGCTTGACATAGGAGAAAAAGAGAAGTAATGGAAGAACAAGGCTTGAAATCGAAGGTATCTAGAGATGAGAGGTGATGCTTGCTCTTTCTGGATATGGTTGCTTGCCTTTAATTGGAAAGAAAGGAAGAAGATAAAAGCATGGGTGGCTTTAGCAGATTCCTGGGTTGCATGACAGAAGAGAAAATGGGAAGAGATGGAGAAGTAAGGCTCGAAATTGTAGGGGTTTCAGTGATGAGAAATGGTGCTTGCTCTATGGATGTGTGTTTATGGAAAAATAGGAAGAAGATGGAAGAACAAAGCATGAAATTGAAGGATTCCAGAGGGGATGCTTGCCTTCGATCTGTTTGTTGTGTGTTGTTTTGTTGGGAAGAAAGTGGCTCATTTTATAGGCACTGAAAACCTTAATTTTGTCAAGTCATCCTCTCCCATTTACCTCACTTTCTTCAATTCCACCTTGTTTGGTGAAATTTCCTTAGCCTGAACCCATAGTCACACAACTTTTTGGGGTTCCAAGGTCCTCAGGCAGCTGGACTTCTCCATGTAGGTGAGGAGCCACCCACTTTTGTTTCTTGTTTTCTTACCAAAGCTTGAAGAGGAAAGAATGGGTAAGGGTGCTAGTCAAAAAGGGTGATCAGCACATGGGTTTGCTTGGTTTTGATGGTTTTGACAAATATGCTGAATATTTTCCATGATGCTGGGCTGAGCTATTGGTATTTTGTTTCCAGTGGTTTGTGAGTTCCCTTTGATTTCGTCAGACTGCTGGAAGCTTTGGCTGATGTGGGTTTTTTTTATGGGCTATGGCTATTAGATATTTTTCTAAGATGTTTAGGCCTTTTCTTAAGGTTTTCTCTCATACTTACCCATATGTTTGGACTCAAGGAGTGGGCTTGAGTTTTGGTGCTCCCAAGTAGCCCAAAACTTCCACTCCTTGGATCATCAATGGGTCTCGTGAATGTTCGTAACCATCCATACCACAACCCGCTTAGCAAGCCCTAGGCATTCGCATAGCTTGGGCTCACTTAAGCTTGTAGCGTGGCATGTTAATAAGGATTTTCCGCTTGGTGTTGTACTGAGCTGAAAAATATATTTGGGCCCAGCCTTGGATTTTTTGGGCCTCAACAATTGTTTACTCTCTTCAATTTTTTATCAAAGAAAATGGGTGAGAATATGTTTCAAGAGAAAGAAATCCATTAAGGGCTCTCATCCAAGGGCCGATCTAGGAGAGAGGGGCCCAGTCCAATATTTGGAGCTTCTTTCTCAGGGCCATTGTAATAGGGTCTAAGCTCCTCTTATCTTTGCTCATTTCCTTTTGAATATGTAAGGCGCACATAACCAAAGTCTATATGTTAATTACAAGTACAATCAGCAGTAAAGAAGAATATGCATCACATTCAGAATGTAAGTTTACTCCGGACCAACCTTTTTCCGCCCGTATCGAATTTCTAATTTTCTTGACTGGTAGTCTGTACAGTTTGAACAAGAGACCAGCTTTCTGTAAGTCTGAGACGCAGGGAACCATGCTTGCAGATCATACTTAAAGCACCAGAAACGATAGCCACGACACGACAGGGGAGCTTTAACTGAAAATCACGACATCGATTTATAAAAATCCTCGGAGTTTTTGATCATTTCCTCATGCATTTCCCAAGACTCATTGTCATTTGGGCTTGTAATACAAAACTGTTCAACTTTCTCAAACTCGTGAACTCTAAAAATTCCCGAGGTACCCCGACCGTGTGAACCAGCTTATTTACGGAAACAAGACGAACATCCAGCATATCTGAGGAAAGAATCCTAAAAATTAATGAGCGGAACATACAAATAACTGTTTTATAGCTAAAACTTCCAGCAAGATGTTACAACCTTAATGGTAGCTGGGAGGGATGGATCCAATCATTCATATAATATGCACAAAGTGCTTGTTCAGCTGTAGCAATCAGATATTTGTCATCTTCTACCTGTAGCAATCAGATTTTGGATTAGGGTTTCCAATGACTTCCAATTTGGAATTCAACTGTTTTGAAGCTTCTCGAACTTCAACTTCTTTCTCCGCCACCAACCTCTTATTTTCCTCAGTGTCCTTAATAACCTCAGTTGCATCCTCACCCGCCTTTTATCCCAGAAAATTTTAATATCCAGTGACATGAATAACAAACCAGGATTCCAAAAAAGAAACATAGAATCCCAAAGAAAAACAAATTCAGTCAAACTGCTTTTGATGGAACTAATAATAGAATCTTTTTTTTTTTTTGGAATTATAGAAGCATACATTTTTAGCTAAACAACATATTTTCAGAAAACTATCCTGTAACCAAAAATTTGAAAACTAAGAAAAGGTAAAAAAAAAGAAAAAAAAGAAAAAAAAGAGAGAGATGAAATACTGACAATCTTGAGCTGAGAAACTCGCTTCTTGATCTTGTTGAACTCTTTCCGAAGATTATCAAGCTCCAATTGAGACCTAACATTTACATATTTTCACCAAAACAATCAAAACTTCAATACTAAAAGCTCATGAAAAAAGCTCAGGTGAGAGAGAGAGAGAGAGAGAGAGAGAGAGAGAGAGAGAGAGAGAGAGAGAAATTACACTGACGCCATTCTTTGTCGAGCTGAATGACCTCGTTGACGATCTCTCCCCTTTGAAACTACGACGTTGAGAATCGCTGATGATTTCGGGATTGTTGCCCTTGTCTTCTCTAAACAGATTGATGTCCAGCATTTCGGGAACAATGCAAGCAAGAAAGAGAGTAGAGAAAATATAGCGCCTGTTTTTGTTTTGAAATGATTTATTAGCACCTCTATTTATAGAGTTAGAATTACGTAGATAGGCCTCGTTTGTTGCTCAAAAGATCTCTGGTTTTATAAGGCTTGTCCAGTTTTTGGTGTAATGGCAGACTGAGAAGCTTGATAAGAAAATAGTATTATCCTGCGTTTGGTTTATGCTTGGACTGAGATTAGGAGTTTTTTTTAAAGTGATATAATATTTTAATTGTCAATTATATTTTTATAATTCTAAGGACAAAAAATTAGTAACCCTGCTGCCCAAGCAATCGAGTGAGTATTAAAAAAATATATATATATAAGTTGCAGCTCTAGACATTCATAACTAAGCCCACTGGAGCCGATAGCCACTACACCATGAGAGCCCAGTTACAAAACATCAGCTTAAACTATATCGGCTCAGGCCCAACCCTTTCTTTTTGTTTGTTTCTGTGATTCACCATTGAAAATGTGGAATTTATTTTATTTCTTTTATCAACCAAAAACATGTTACGCTCTGATTTGAAACGCAATCGATTGTGGCTGAGAATCTGCATATTCCCCCATGCCCCCTTATAGATATCAGAAAAGAATGAAAGCATAAATTTTGGCACATCCTATCCAACCTTTAACAACTGAGACACCTCCTCAATCTCTCTCTCCGTTATCTAAATTCATATGCAAAAAGAACACGAACTGTGACTCATGCATTTTACTCTTCCCTCCAAAACAGATGCTCAGTAATTGTTTTCATCTGCTTCACCCACAACCTCTAACCCAACTCCATATCTTAGCTTTACCTCCAAAATTCCAATGCAAGACCCAAGCTTTTTCCCATAATTCCCCGCCAAACACATATTTTCCTCACTTTCTCACCAAAATCCCTTCTGGGTACCCAAGATTTTGTCTGGGTTCTCTGTGTTCTTCAAGTCCATCATCATGTTCTGCTTCACCGGACGAGGAAGATTTGGAGGTGGAATTGGGCCGCCTTTTGGCGCTTTTGCCAGAAGAAATGCGGCAGAAAGTTGGCGAGCACCCGGAGCTTCACCAATTGATTGAAGTGGTTATGGACTTGGGTCGAAAGCCCTTGGCTCGGTTTCCCTCTGGGGACTTTGTGTTGTCGGAGCTTCCTATTACGGTTCAGGATCTTGAGCATGCTACTTCTCAGGTGAACTATTTTTGCCCACTGACTGTTTGAGAAATTGACTTGGATTGTCATACAAGTTTAGTGTGTGGTGGTAGTTTTAGGATGATGGTTTTGTGTGGATATTAATCATGGCTGTTGAATGTCATGAGTTTTTGTTGCTGGGTCAGCTATGCAAAACATAACTGATTTGAGTTTTGGGTTTTGGGTTTAGGTTATGGAAAATGCTTTTCGTCTTGTTGCACGTAGGTTTTATGTATAGACTAAAACAGTAGGAGGTTATAGATGTACTTTAGCTTTGATTGCATTGTGAAAGGACTATCATTGAGCGCTGCGTAATTAACTAGTTGTTTCTTCATTGGACTTTTGTGTAAATGTTTTATTACCCAGTGTTAGTAATGGCCTAGTGGGATTTTGAGTTAGGAGGGAGAAATAAGAGGTTGATATGCAGTATGAGTTATCTATTCATTTATGCCCCATTGTCATCTTGGGACACATTTTTCTTCTTAACAGTTCAAATATACTATTTCTATTTTATGATTATTGCCTATAAGATAATCTCCCCTGTAAATTTTGAAGATTGCTCCTTGGGTCACGTACAAAGAAACAGGAGGGTGAGAGAGAACTATAAGCCATCAGACTTATGCCTTCTTGTTAATTTTTGCTGACTTGGAGTTCCTTGTAAAAGGAAGAATGACAAACCCAAAGATCATTTATATGAAGTTTGCATGTACAAATTCGTTAGTTTTTCATTGGGGGGTTAATAAGACCCATGCAGTGCAGGATGGGCGATATAACAATTGTCATTATGGTGCAATGTTGTACATTTGTCCTGAACTTGTATGACTGTGAAAGAGAGAGGCTTGATATCACAGGATACAAAAAATCGTTTTAACCATTCACATAGACTAGATTTAGGGTATAAAAGGACTTTTCGGGCTGAAATTGTGCATGAAATGATAAATGAGGTAGAGGTCAAAAGTCGAAATATCCAATTAGGAATTGAGTTAGTCTAGAGTCTAGTCATGTCCATAAGCGAATAGCAAAGTGTGTTGTGAAGCAATAAAATTTGTTCTATATGGGAGATTTTGAAAACTAGTTATCTTTTGCACCCATTAAAGACTTAGCCTTTTTTGTATTTTATGTTTTATATATTAAAGTTTAGAAATATATCCACTTGAGTTCCCTTCGAGTGGTCAAAATTTTAAGAATCTAAAAGAAGGGCTAAAAGTCTTTAAAAGGTCTGAAAGTTGGCTAGTTTTCAAAATTTCCCTACCCCATCCTCACCCTCCCTTACTAGCTTAGCCAAAGCTCAAGGGTACCACCACCCATTTTGTTCTAGAGTTTATTTATTTATTTATAAAATTGATTATATAACAGAGTACCATATTTGGCACTAACTATCTGGATGCTGTAGGTTGGCGATTTTGCCATCGACAATCGGGCAGGAATTAGCAGGACATTACACCGCATTAGTGCCATTAGGAATAGAAAAGGTGCCATCATTGGTCTAACTTGCCGTGTTGGTAGGGCAATATGTGGCAGTGCTAGTTTGCTGCGAGATTTGGTTCAAGATGGTGGTTCTTTGTTACTCATTGGGCCTCCAGGTGTAGGAAAAACAACAATCATCAGGTTAGTCTTGCCTTTTCTCTCTGTTTGACTTGAACGCACCCTGTTGCAGTATCTAAGTAAAAATAGAATGCAGGAAATATAGAAGTTGCAATGCATTTTACACAAGATCTGGCAGATAGTATACTTCCTAAGGAATTAGAATTTGTAAAGTTATGCACTCTGTTGTACTGATATGTTTTCCAGTCAGGAATATCTTGAATTATCTTTACATTTATCACAAGTATCAATTAAATCCTAATCCAAAATTTTTGCAGTTCTCTCTGGTTATATCATATGATTTCATAGGGAAAGTAATACAGGCCTTGTGGTCAAGTCATCTTCACTGATAATATAGTTTGCCAGGAGGGATTCATCCTTCGGTGGTACAAAATTATATGCTCTGACAACAGCCCTGAAGTATAACCCACCAAATATTTGGTTTTGGGGTATATTGCATATATACTTTTGGCAAAATTGTAGTTATTTTGCAATCTTAGAACATGCAGGTTTTGGATGCTTTTTCATGAGTCTATCAATCTGATCGCCATGATATTCTAACTTGCAGGGAAATAGCTCGAATGCTTGCAAATGATTATAAGAAACGTGTCATGATTGTTGACACCTCAAATGAGATTGGTGGGGATGGTGATATACCCCATTCAGGAATAGGCAATGCTCGGCGAATGCAAGTCCCCGTCTCTGATTTGCAACATAAGGCATGATTGAAAAGTGTATTATATCAGTTATTTTGTTAAATCCTGTTATTTGTATTGACAAGATAAGGGTGAATTTTTCATTAATTAGAGTTTTCTCTGATGGATCTCAAATGTGTAGGCCAATGAAAATTTTAAACTATATTCGTGAAGAATGCATATAGAGTAAGGACTTACCAACTAGCTATTGGTCTAGTGGTATTTCTCTCCACTTTGTTGGAAGATGTCCATAGTTCAAATCCTCCCTCCCCAGATAAAAAGAAAAGTTTTTGTTTCCCCCATAAGCTCATATAGAGTAAGGACTAATTTTTTCTGCGGTATGCTGTGCTATTTAATCTACAGGATCTTTTCTCATCACATTTTTGTGGCAATGCTACCTTAATTCCCAGAAAATACCTTTCACAATGTCATTCTCCTTTCTTATTCCTCTATTTCCTTCTCTTTTTATCTCTGTATATCTCTCTGTGTGTGTGCATCTGTGCCTGGAGATGGGCTTAATCCAATATCTACAAATACCTAAATCTCTTTGGACAGATAGAACTTAGAACAAAATGCATCAACTTGGAAATATTTAAAATGACAGAGTACAGATTGTCATTTTGTACACATTTAAATATTTAGCAGCATGTTACAATGCGAGTGTTTCCATCATTAAATGATTCTTATGCTCATATCTCTTGTTTTATTCAGGTCTTGATAGAGGCTGTTGAAAATCATATGCCACAAGTGATTGTAATTGATGAAATTGGCACTAAACTTGAAGCAATGGCTGCAAGCACAATTGCGCAACGTGGAATTCAGCTTGTTGCCACCGCTCATGGTGTAACTATCGAGAATTTGATAATGAATCCTTCATTAGAGATGCTTGTTGGAGGAATACAGGTCAGTTGGCCATAGTAAAAAATGATATTGCAATTTACCGCATATAGTATATCCAATAACATTGGCATGGCATCATCGCATATTTATACCGACTGTATATTCTTGCATTAAACTTAGTATGTTTAGTTTCATTGTTAAATAATAATTAGTTCTTTCTTTCTTTTTAGTATGTTTATGTTCTCCCTTCTCTTTGGTGTTTCATTTTTTTCTTGCTTAGCTTGACAATCAAGTGTTGGTCTTTGGGTTGTGCTAAAGTAGTGATGGCAGTGCATCGATCTCTTTCTGCTAATTCATATAATTTTCTCTTTGACTTCTATTTATTTTAATTATAATGGTTGTATGAGTTCAAGTTATTTCTGTTCAGTTACATCATTGCAATCATTTTTTTAGAGCGTGACACTAGGGGATGAAGAGGCCAGCCGGAGGGGGGTTCAGAAGACAGTGCAAGAAAGGAAAGGACCTGCAACCTTTAGTTGTGGGGTGGAGATAATTTCAAAGGATGAGTTGAGAGTTCATCGTAGCTTAGAAACAACAGTGGATACTATCCTCTCAGGTATGCTTCTTTGGAAGCGTAATTTCTTTTCACTTTCATTTTCGTTTCCCATAAATTATGAATTAAATCTGAAAATCATGTTATGCTGGTGAAGGTCGTTTCCCAAATTTTGAAGTTCGTAAAATTCACTCTCGGGGATCAGAACTAACTACTGAAAGGGAAAATTTTCTTCACAGTTCCTTGGATGAAGAGGATGAATATGTTATTGAAGATGCTCCAGATATGGCTGACAAAGGATTTGGCCATATTGATTTCACTCCTGTGGTCTCTCCCAATATGCAAGAGGATTCTATGGATGAAAGGATACAACTTCGCTTGTTTGTTTATGGGGTAAGACATCACTGCCTTGAAAATTAGAGAGAGAAAGAGAGGACAATGTGAAAAATGCTACCTCTGTAACAGTTCACAACCATTTAGAACTAGAAACTGTTAAAGGTCTTCATTCTTCCTGCTTCCCATCACCCTTGTTACAGATGGGGGCAACTATTGAACGAAGAATCTTTTGTGACAAGCTTGCTATCATACCTGTGCTTCCTAGTAACTAATAGTAATATCTAATATAAGAAAAATCAGAGAAGATTATAAATCCTATAGGATATTGACACAACATTTTATCTTCCAATCACATGTGTCTTGTTCTTCAATGTGGCTCACCTATGTTTCTTTAGTTAGAGGAAATGACAAGTTAAATAGCAGAGTAGCATATTCTTGTCTTCCACGGCCCCCCCTGAATACACAACTGCAGCTTTTCTTTTGAACTCCTGGCTATGGCTAAGCGGTCGGTGAAAGAGGGTTTAGCCTCTTACTGAATGATGTTTCATAAAAGCTATATTTGCTTTACCTCATAGCTTTTCGGTCAATAAAAAAAGGCATGTAAATTCTGGGGTTAATACTCATCTTATCCTGGTTAACTGAAATTACAGCATTGTTTAGTCCAAAAAGAAGAATAAAAATGAAATAAAATAGATTCAAAATATAGAAGCTGGAGTGTGATTATGTAAGTTATTTTCAAGCCTAATACTTACAAAATGAGCAGTTATTTTAGATCTTAGAAGCAAGCGTGATACAAGGGATTAAACAGTTGAAGATGGATGAAGCTGCTGTCCAGTTCATAGATGATATCAGCAAGGCAGATGCACTACTTGCCTTGCAATCCAAGCTCAAGAAGAATCCCCGAATTCAAGCAGTTGCTAAATCTTATGGAATACCCATTTATGTGACTAAGGTAATCAAAATCGCACTAGCTTTGCTAGTTTTATTAGTAACTTTTTTTTTTGTTATGGTTTCACCATTGGTTTCTCTTTTTCTTCCAGTCAAGCTCGTTGGTGGAAATAAGAAAGGCAGTTCGGGCATTAATGAGTGATCATAAAGATGGTTTGAAGGATTATGGGTCGATAGACAATATGAAGTCATCTGAGAAGATTGATGCTTTAGAGGTGATTATGAACCTTCTCCCCCCACTTACATTTTCTTTGAAAATTTGTGATTGGATTGCTTCAAATGGGCAAGAATTGACTATGCTATCTTCAGCACAAGCCAATCCAGACAGTTAAAAGCTGAAGCCGAAATCTGATAATAACTTGGCAGAAATCTGTGCTTTAGTTTACAAATAATTGATTGAGGGATTTCTCCGGGACATTGAGTCTAATCAAAGTTTAGTTCAATAACTTTTCATGCAATGCAGCTCCATAAAATATTTATTCATCATACAGGAGGCAAGAATAGCCGTTGAGCAGGTTGTAATTCCAAAAGGGGAACCTGTGGAACTTCTTCCAAGGGCATCTCACATTATAACTGCTCAGATTGACCTTATTCGAAAATACCAACTAGAAGCAGAAAGAATTGGTAAGGAGCCGGATGTGCGCCTCCGTATCCTTCCATTTCATACTACAACGACGGAAGAGAATCATACTAGCAAAATAATTGATGCTGATGGTGGATTTGATGACTTTCTCGGTACCAATGATAGGAATGGTTCACTCTCCAATGTAGACAGATTACCATTACTTCCTGAATAGTTATTAGGATGTTGCCATAGAACATTGTTACATTTTAATGCTAAAATTCATGACGTTACCTGCGAGCTTAAGGGTGTCTGTGCGTGCACTGTGCCAGAGTCTGATCTTGTACCAGTGGCCAAATATCTTCTCTCATAGTCAAATCTGTAATATTACATTTTAACTACCATGTTGATGATACACAGAGAAAGATGAAGATGACAATTGATCATCTATGTAATGATATGATAATTTTAAGTAAAATGCTGCATGATCTTGATTTCTGTTTTGTAGATTTCTTCTGTTAAATGTGATAAGTTTCAGGTACTAATTTGCAGAGAAATATGTCATTTTTTTGTATTCTTTTCGTGAGTTTCTATTTTACAGATGATCACAACTTCAAGAGAAACACTTGCATGAAACGGGGATAATGGAGGTGATAACATTTCTAAATTTCTAGGCAGTGCTGGAAAAGCAGCCGTCCACTAGCTTAATCCTATTCAGCTCCACAACCTTGTTCTTTTCAACAATCCATCCCCACATAAAATATATTCAAGCCAAGATGATGAAAACAGTTGTTTTCTTATTATTTGACCTCCAAGCGACTTCTTGTTTGAAAGGCTGTGCCAATAAATATAAAAATAAAGTAAACTGACTTTTATAGCAAAAAAGAAGAAGTGATAATTATAAATTTACAAAAAAGAGTAGTGCCTTTTAGACCTAGTATGCATTAAAAGATTACATAAAAGCTAGGGATGCTATTGATAGTTGATAAGCATATGGATTCATATAAATGAAGAGCTTCAGCTAGTGCTAAGTCCATAAGAAAGTCGATATTGGCTAGACATAGAAACAAATAATAAACAATAAAATAGACGGATCATCACGCAATTACCAACATTTGTTCTGCGGAGCCACCTCCTACTGGCATCAACTTATCGTCATTCATCATTAATGAACTTGTTAATTCATCATTAATGAACTTATCGTCATTCATCACGTCTCTATGTGTGGAAGAATCGGTTGGTGAGAGAGCTCTTGGACATGGTATTTTGGGTTCCACGTTGTCACGAACGTTGATGAGTTGAATGTGGTCAACCATAACAAGCAAGAGAAGGTACAATTTGAAGAATTGAAAGGGGTTCTAAAGATGATCGGTCAGTAATGACCTAAAAGAAAGAGATGATCGGCCAGTGTTTCACCCGTATCCGTCCCACAGCCAATTTGTCTCACAGAAGGAGGTTGGTTATGGTTAGTCCGACGATGTACGGAACCCTTATGTGTAAGGATGCTCGCCTAGTCCTCTAAACTTTAATCTCTTTTTTTTATTGATTTCCTCCTCTTCAATAATACATTGACGCTATTCTCTTCCAATTCCGATCATTAAATTATACTATAACGAAACAGGATGATAAAAACTCAATAACTCACGTCCCGAAGTTGAGAAGAAACGAGCCAATAAACTTATATCCAATTGCACAAGGTTGCTAGCATACATTGATTGATGCAGGCAAAAATCATGCGTAAGTTGCTTGTCGTATCATTTGATGAATTCATCGAGATCCTTTTCCTAATCCTTAAAAACCAACTTTTCATTCAAAATGTCGAAGTCCCTATCATGATTAGTGAAGCATTATCCACAATAAGTTTCTGGATTAGCATAAATATTAATTGTCAAATGCTTAAATAATCAAATTGAGGCCCTGCTGTGGTCAACTGCCACTATAATATAATGCGCGAGGAGCCAGCCAGCCACATCATGACATGCTGCTAGGCTGTGGATGTCTACATTATGTTATGTTAATTATGGGTTTACTAAACCTGAAAATTAATGGGCCGGTAATACATGCATCATTACTTTATGCTGTGATGTGATTGTGTTTGTTTATGGGTTTACTGTTTTTATTTTTATTTAATTATAGCTTTCGATTTTGTTTCTTTGACATGCAAACTTTTCTTTTCTTTTCTTTTTGACTCCTTTATTTTATGTAGTCTTGATCAATAGAGGAGGAGTTGGTATAGGCCTTCTTACAATATTCTAAGCGGGGTCAACGCATCTATCATCGTAGAATTTTTACCAAATTTTCATTTCCACAAAGGAAGATGCTATATATTATGATTTCCTAAATATAATATATAATTAATTCTTTGTACCTCCTTTAATGTGAGTTTGGGACGGTTACCTACGCTCTAATCTTAATCAAAACTTGAGAGAGAAAAGTCCTATATCGCCCACCTCTTTTGGGGTGGTGACTGCCATGCTTTTTGTCCCTTCTTTCTCTCTTTTTCATTTCCTCTCCACCTCCCCCACTTCCCACATTCCTTGCTTCCCCCTCACGCATTATCTACCTCTATGTTTTATTGACTCGTTTATGGCGTAATTCTATAATGGATTTATGTCAATCTGCTCTATTTACTAAAGAGGAAAGTCAATTGGTGCTGATATGTTATCTTCTAGTGTTTGCGGACATTGGGTGGCTTTGTGGCAATGGGGTCGCAATCCAGCTGGTTTAGTTTCTTTATTTTTGGAATAATTCACAAAAACTCTCTTTGGGTTTTATGTGTAGTTTTCACATATCCTTTGTGAGAGTTTTTCGCATTGAGAGAGTTTTTATTTGTATTGTTTCGGCTTAGTTTTTCCAAGCTTTATCTTTTTTGATTAGTCTGAGTTTGCAATCTTAGTTGGGATGCCTATGACAGAGTTTTTTCGGCCGTGTGTGATCGTTAGTGGAGGCACACCATATTGTCTTAATATTGATGTTAGAGTTCTCTGTATTGTAATGGTCATTTTTGACTAGTTTATATTGGAGCTTTGTGGCTAGTCGTTTTTTTAGCTGAATTCCAAGATTTCCAAAGAAAAAAAAGTCCCAAGGGCTAAGTAATTTTGGTGTGATTGTCACATCATTATGTGATGCTATCATTCCACGTATATTATAATATGTGTATTTATTTATTAATTAATACTATACTTTCGGTAGACTGTCACGGTAAAAAATTTCTCATAGGGTACCCAATTGCATAAAATAAAGACAATATATAATAGAATACTATACAAATGTTAAAGACGGTTCAGATTATTGAAATAAAATGTATGAACCCTACAAAGATGCCCCTTAAATAAGCTTATTTGAGAGATTCCTCAATTGAATCACTCTAACTATATACACATATACAATTGGCTATTTGTTGAGAAATTTCTAAAATAGTGTAATTTGAGGACGCATGATGAAACTTACTCCTACTCGCACTGTATTTTAGTGATTCAACTGTTTTCCATAAAAATATTAAAATGATCACCATCAAATGGTTAAATGGCTTACGCTTTGCTTGATCAAATAAATAATAAATAATAAATTCTTTTTTCTTTTTCTTTTTTAAATCAATATTTTTTAATCATTAATCCGCAAAGATTTATGCTTAATGTAAAACAAAGATGAGCAAAGACGACAATGATATTGGTGGATGAGGAAATAAGCCTGCGAATTTCCCTTTTTGGCATTATTAGTCGTTATGGTGGGGTTAAGTCGTATATGTTATTTGGATTTAGCACTTTTTGGGCAAGAATTAAGGCATCATAATTCCATAGGGTTGTCCTTGTCAGCAATATTTTAAACTAAAGGAAAACGATAATTAAATCAAGGTGGTGGTGATTATCTAGCTGCCCTGCAACACTAGCTACTGTAACCATAAACTACATATACAGGTACATCAACTGGAATTGAATAAGATAAAATAGATGAACAACAAATAGAAACTTCGAGCGATAAAAATATTCAAGGCCAATCTAACCTTCGTATACAATCACTTTAATGTACGGAAAAAAGGATCGAACTAATGGCGGACTCAGGAATATTTCTAAGAGTGGGTAAATTTTTTTTTTGTCGGGATCAATTATAAGCCCTTTTTTTAAACAAATATATATATATATATATATATATCAAAAGCAATATTTCCTTCAGATTAATGAAAGTGGGATACTTTTTGACTAATTCAGTATATTTATGAGATTAAAAACTATTTTCAGAATTCATTAAAAGAAAAATACTAATTTTAGAGAGATATCTGAACAAAGAAAACCTAGAAAAACCAAAATTCAAAGGCTCAGACGAAGAACAATTTGAAGCTCAAGGACTTTGGGTTAGCATAGTAGTTTAGTTAGGGAGAGTCCATATTTCAATATTTCCAAAAGAAGCAACATTAATAAATTCAAAAAAATAAAATCAGAGAAATATATAAACATTATTAGAGCCAAATCAAAAGCTGAATAAACCAAAGAAGAGAGAGAGAAAAAAAAATTTAGTAATTGAAGTATTAAAGTATTTGGCTGTAGATATAGGCTGCTTTCTAGAAATTAGTAGTTTCTATACTGGTGTTGTGATTGGTTGCTGTTTTCTTCTTGGTGCACAAGAGAACTCTGGTGTGAAGCAGAAAGTAACTTTTGGAGGAATGTTCTTGTGCTGATGTGTTTATGTTTTTTGGGGAAATTTTGTTCTTGGCGTAAGATCGGTGGGTCTCTATGTGCAGCTATGCTGACTTGTGTGGAGGATGTGAATCCCCTCATTTGTGGCTATATTGGTGCTGTTGGTGTGGTCTCCAGTCCCTTTGTGGGGACAGTGGCTCGGTTTTGTATTTTGTTTTGATTTTGTGTGGGGAAGATTTGTTATATTAGACTGTACTGGTTCTTAGTTTAATCTTCACTGTGCTTATGGTACTTTGTTTATGCATTTGGCATTTTCGGCCTTGTATTCTCTGTTTGTTTTCTTCTCATTTCTGGGGTTTTAATGAACTTTGATTTACTTCTGGGGTTTTAATGAACTTTGATTTACCAAAAAAATAAAAAGAAAAAGAGAGTGGACATTCAAAGCATGCAGGATCTATAAGATTCAGCAATCTAGAGACTACTTTGGAGATTCATTAAATATATGCAAACGTACCTTTGAAATGGGAAAGTACTATTGATGTTGCTCCAATTTCTGAGGCTGATATTGGAGAACAGAAGCAGACAAATATTATGGTAATGGGAAGGCTTTCCAATTTCCAATTAGTACCTATAGTCTGTCTGGCAGTTTCCTCAGACATGTATATGAATAAGGTCTCTAAATAGTAACCTTGATCTAATGGTTCGAAGCCTCATAAGGAAAGTTGAAGTTAGGGTTTTTCATTGGGCAGCAAACTTTTACTTGCTGACAAAAATGCAGCATGCTGCATGAGGCCAAAAGAGACTTCAAGAGATTCATGATCGTAATAATATTATGGCCGGCGTGTAAGACACAAATTTTGGGCCCTTGGTATCTTTTGCCTTTGAGTTTAAGTAAATTAACACAATCGACAAAGATAGATTTGTGTGGGGTAATATGTTTGTAGGAAGCCGATAAAAGGCAAGGGAAAAAGAGACACATGGTTAAGCAAAGGATCATGTCCCACAATTACACAAAACTTAGATTCGGATGGGACGGTTCATATCATGAGAAAATAGATAGACGCGCATAAACACCATGAGATCATTTGAATGCTTGTTCTCTTCTCACCACACAATTTTGATGACCAAATTAATCTCTTACAAAAGTAGACCTGGTATAACTTGATTCGTTTTAAGAATTTGGAATCGGCTTGATTATCACATACGGGTGTTAGCTTGGTATATACAATGTTAACCAATTCCTCAACAACTTAAAATTTTCGAGTATAGCGGTTAGATACCAAGACTCACTTTATTTATGATCATAGCCTCAGGTGAGTCTCCTTTCATTGCGAAATTAGAGAGATGTTATATTAACAATTAAAGAAGGAATTTGAACTGAAAATGAATGTGAATGTGAAGTGTGAACTTATCAAATTCCTGTCGCAGCAACTCGTATCAAATCTTTTATTACTGTAATTTTTTAAAGAAAATCTAGACTAATAAAGGAATGTGAATATTCATGCACCGCATATAGCATGATGAGAAAAGCCAAATTAATTGTTCTTTACTTAAAGTTCACTGATCCCATTAATTCGAGCACGTGTGCATTAGAGGATTATCTCTCTCTATAAATACACCCCCGACCATACCCTATAACGTGGAGTTCTACACTTAGAAGCTCTGAGAACCCAACCTTGATGATGGCTAGCCTCAAATTCTGGTTCTGTCTTTTGCTGGTCTTGCTTTCATTTTCAAGTTCTGATCAAGCCCGTCCTCTTGCACCATTGTTAGACAAGAGCGACAAAAAAGAGGCCATGATGGAGAGTGCGAAACAAGTGTTGGAGGCTAGCATCGAAAGACAAGTTGGAGAGCCTTTTGAGACGTCCAAAAGAGTGAGTCCGGGAGGACCCGATCCCCGGCATCATCATTAGTCTCTCCCGACACGAGGCATTCGAGTTGCATTAGGCTTTTACAAGAATGAGTGTTGTTCATCGTAAGTCTTATGTATCGTGAGAGTCCAACGCAACGAATCAGACGTGTACAAGTTTTCTTCTTTGCTAGTTATTTAGTGCAATCTATCTATATGTAGTGGGAACTCCTCCGAATAATAATAAGAAGGTCCTATTACATTTTCATATTTGGATAATGCATATCATGCATGCAACATTTAATTAACCATTTTATGATGGTGTGGGGTATTCTCAAGGAACTCCTTCCTTTTGCACAATGTATGTTATACCAAAATAATGGCCATTAAGTGGGGAAATTTGTGGTCACGAGGATGCCGAATTTCGAACTGGAATGAATCTCCTTTTTTGAGTGTGGGGACACCTCCTAGTGTTTTACCAAGAAAAAAAAAAAGGCCATCAACTTTCTAGGCGCTTTGAAATTTAGAAACACTATTGGTGATCAAAAGGTCCATTACATAGTGGTCTTAAGAAAATAGTGTCACAACTAACATAAAACATTATTATTGGTGTCGAGGATGTGGCTCTCTTGGTCGGAAATGCTATAATGAGGCACTTGTTGGTAGGAAGAAAATGAGTTGAATTGCTTTTTCTTTCATTACGAATTATAATATAGCACTTTGACCATTCATGCTTCGAACCTTTGTTTATTAAAAGCAAAAAAAATATATCCATAAACCTTTCGGTGACTCTATTAGCAGCAATTCAATTTTGTTTAATAGCCGTGGGTTATATATGTGGGGGAACCTCTTGAGCACATACATTAGAAGATGGATTTATACTTATCGAAACCCTAAACCCACAAATTATATAAAGATTGACTTTGGGAAAAAGCAGCTTTATATTCAATTAAACTTATCTACAGCTTACCAAATGATGAAAGTGGCCACCTGAGTTTATAGTGCATCACTTATCTTGTTGTGGGTCGATCGAGCCCCGAAGCTGATGAGCAAAACAATATGTGGAGTTAATGTGGAGGTCAAAGACTACGCAAATTGGATTTTCTGCCCGCACAGAATCTTCATTTATTTAAGAGATCTCTCAACTGAATCTTATTAAACAATTGCAAATTTATTAATAATATTGATGAGGAATAAGCTTGTCAGAGATCTTCCAAGTTCAACAGAGATTATCAATCTCTATAGTTCAATCAAATCGAAGCACTGGGACTAGACAACAAGAAGGAATTAAGAAGCAGAAAGAAAGGAAAGTGAGAAGGTGGGCATCACTTAATTTGGAGTATACATACAAGAGACAAATTGTAAAGGCTCATACGTAACGTACCAAAAAGTATTTAAACTTTTCCTACAAATATAATATTTCAACTTGGATTATTGAAGGTGAAGCAAATATTCGAAAGCTCGATAATGCATCACTTGAAACAAAAAAAAAAAAAAAAAAAAAAAAAGAAGAAAGAAAGAAAAAAAAAAAAAACATCATGCTGCTGTAAGGCCAAGCTAATGACTTGGCTTGGCACCAACTTTTAAAGGTAATAATCAGACATGACATACAAGAATGAATAGCAATATCAACTAGTATTATATGTTCTACGCGTTGGCAGAGACACTCTATTGGTATCTAAAACATTCCTTTATGCAATGCAAATCAAGACCTAGACCTAGCTAGGTAAAAGCAAACTGACGGCAAAAGTTTAATTAGGAGACGTGGAAATAATAGAATATAATATGTATACATGTTCGTATTTTGTTTAGTCAGTTCTTCACGTGTATAGTGGATGATTGATAGTTGTTGATCATCTTTGTGAATCTCACGTTGAATTGTTTCATGCATGTTAGATCACGATGAGAATCCCTAGGATTATATAAAAAGATAAGAATAACTTTAAATGAGAAAATTAAGACATGATCGAAAAGCGAAGGAAAAAATCATGCACGAAAACCTCACGTGCACAAATTTGATACTAGCAAAAACAAAGCAAATGTCACTTGTGAATGGAAATTTGTTTTCTTTGGTAGTGGATTGCATAGTCTAACCCTTTTCAACAGGGTCTATTTACCCCATTAATTAGTGCTTTCAATATTAATAGAATATTAGAAAGGAAAAGCCATGGAGATCTCTATATAAATATATAGAACTCATACATATCCAACCAGCCTGGCTCAAAGTCTCTACCCTCTACACATTGAGCAATTTTTAAGACCCAATTTGTACACAATGGCTCCTCGTGCAAGCCTCAAATTTGGGTTCTGCCTTTTCCTGGTTTTGCTTATATTTTCCAACTCTGAGTCTCGTCCTCCTCCTGCTCCATTATATAGCAAGATGAGCAAGCAGCAGGCATTGATGCAGATTAAAGTCTTAAGGGCTAGCATTGCAAGGCAAGCCGCAGCTGCAGGAAGTGGATTAACGGACTCCAAGCGAGTCAGTCCCGGTGGCCCCGATGGACATCATCACTAACTTGTGATCATTTGGAAACTTTTGTACTGTTGAACTTTTATTTTTATTCAACAAGTGTCGTTGATGAGATTTGAACTTAAGACCTCTACTAAACAGACACTCGATGCTGGTGGACCAATAGTCGTTGGCTACTCTTGAACTTCATGAGACTACCAAGTTTTTTCACTGAAATTTGTATCCGTCAACACTAGCTAGGTTTCCTTGTTTGAATGAGATGCATAAAGTTCTAGTTCTAATCAACTGATGATTTCCCCCCCGATTAGAATGTTGAAACTTGTAGTCCGAATCTAACACGGATAAATAATTAGAAATTGATATATAACTTTTTCTATGGTGAGTGAGTAACTTTTAACTTTTTTGAATCATGTCATGGGGTAGATAAAAGTAAAATAAATAAATAAACAGACTGATAAATAAAAAAAATTAAAGCTGTTCTAGGAAATTATATATAGTTTTAGTTTATATGTACCTGCATATATACATATATATAATAACTATTTATATAGTTCTAGTTTATCGCTCATCAATCATAAGCAATCCATCCCATTCAAACTTTGAGTAGTGCCCCAAACAGGACAAGAGTTATCTCTTATTGTTTACAGAGGGGAGGTCATAATCAATAAAGTTATCAGCAAATTAATATTAATTTGATAACTTTCATTAATCTCTTGTTTAGCACTGGCTTGCCAATACTATATTGTATATAGAAAGGTGTTTTACTTTTTCCCTAATTAATTAATTTTCTACAAGTGAAATGAAATTAAGGAGCACTTTGACAGATCAACAACTTTGGTATCTATCTTGAATATTGGCAGGACAGAAACTGCAGGAAACACAAATGGCTTTACGTGAAGACCAGATCCTTGTATGCTAGCAATAGCACCTAGGCTCTAGCTGTGTGAAAACATGGTAAAAAATCATTTGGAGGGTAAAAGAACAGGGTACAGATTACCATGGGTGGAAATCATTTACAGGGTAACTAAAAAACTTCAAATTATTTGAATAGATAATCTCCTAACAAATGGAAAGAGACGGAGGAAATGATGAATGACTAGTAATTCTAAACTCATTCTTTTGACTTATAAGCTGGATGAGTCAGTGTTTCATGCATAGTGCTTTTTATACTTATCCAATTTCCTGTCTGTAGAGTAGATAGGATCTTAATTAGGTGAAGGCATGAGTCCCTTAATTTCCATTATCCAAATTGCTAACTAGTAGCTTTCCAGAGAAGATGTGATTCTCTCATCAAATCCTGAAATGATGTCTTTCTTGACCTTCCTGCCATTTTCTACCATCCATCTTGATCTTGTTTGCCTCTAATAGTTCCACAAGAACTTTTTGAAGAAAAAATATATATTTTGAAAAAGTTGGCTCTTTGTATTTATTTCTTCTGGTCACAAAGAAACTTCATTAAAAAAGAGACAGCAATTACAGAGGAAGAGATACATTTAGAAAGAACTAATGCAAATGGATTACAGAATATATGTGTGTGATGCGTTTGAATTTCAAATTACACATTGGCTATGCTATTGAAGCTTTAACATACTTAAGCAAGACCTAAACCCAATAATCTTTCTTTTGTTTTTTAGGTCAGAAAGACCTAAGAATATAAATGTACACTAAGATTAGCAATATCAGAGGCAGACTTGTATGGTCATGTACTATATATGAGAAGGACAATGTAGGTAGGGGGAAGGGCTGCGCACGCTATGGATAATCCTTAAAATGCAATGTCAGCAAGATCCAATTGTGTGATTGGGAGTGACTTAAGAAAGTGTATATAAAACTCCATATCAGACAAGACAGGCATTTCCTGAATTGTAGTTATCTGCTTATAAGATTTTCCATTAACAACCTGATATCCTGCAGTATTCAAATACACATTAGAGCTTAACACAATTCAAAGGCCTCTAAGAGAGATTCGTCGACTTGATGAACTGTACCTCTATATATATAATATTATATATTATATATAGGGGGCCTCTATGCTGAAAGCTATTTGCTTCATTTTTGTAATTAATTAAGCTTTACAGCTATACTTCCTTTCTTAGTTTTCATTTTAAGCCCTTCACCGTGTCTCCCTCTAGTTATGCTTATATAGGGGGCCTCTTGTTATGCTCAAAGCTGCTTACTTCACCTTGGTGATTAGATTTACAGTACTTCCTTTCTTAGTTGTCATTTAATTTTAAGCCCTTCAATGATCATTATGCCTAGCTTTCCAAGGGCAAGCTTGTTGATAGCATTCTTAATCATTCAGTCAATGCTTGTAGTGAGTTCAGAGGCACGTCTTTCTCTTGTGTTCTCAACCCTGCCACATAAGACTGATAGCCGCCTTTTCTTGCGTAAACTGGGGTTTCATGTACCAAAAAATGAGTCTTATCAGAGAAGGTTTCTTCTGGATGGAGATATAAAGAGAACCTCACCCGGAGGACCAGATCCCCAACATCATTAGGCAATTTGGGAATGTTTTTGCCAGAAATAACAATAGAGTCACCAAAACTTTTCTCAAAATTTAGTCACCAAATGATGTAGCGGATGACATAGTAGTATGTTATTATTAGTTGGGATGCGAAGTGTTGGGATTTGTTTTGGTGTCTTTAGCATTACACATTTGCCAGGGAGCAAAGATCCTTGATCATCTGAGCAGTCCAAGTTATGAAAAGCGCTATTTTTGCAAATCTGATCAAGCTGGAAAGTCTCTTATTCATCATGTTACAACCTTTCTTCAGGCGATCTGATCTCACTCCAATTGTTTGTTTTGTTTTGTTTTGTTTTGTTTTGGTTTTGTAAACTTAGAAAGTATTTCCTTATTGAGTTTTCTAGTTATCAGCTGTGAAATGCATGCCTTACCAGTTGAAGTTCCAAGTTGCACCATGCTAACTTTTGTACCCCTCTATATGTATGCCATTGTTGTACTGATCCGGTTTTAAATTTATGTGACATCTAGGACCAATCATTCTGCTCTTGCTGTGTTCATTTAATTAGAGTTTTGTCTCAGTAACTACTAATGCCAGATCATCTAGATCATGAAAAGTTTCATACTTAACATTAACACTATGCACTAGTGCTAGATTCACCAATATGATTAATCTGACTATGTTGCTTTCATAGCAGACATAATCCTAAGCATGATTTAAATGTGCCTGGTTCCATAGGACTCACTGACTGACTACTAAAACTCATTGGTTATAGATTAGCTTTGATGCTGTACCAATTTGTTTTGAACTAAGGTGCATTCAAACAGAGATAATTTCAAGCAATAACTGAAACGAGGGGCAAAATCCGGATGGCTACCTTCTCACAAGTTCAAGCCAAGGTCTATCATCAGATTACATGTTTAACTAGTACACTTAAACAAGTACATATTTGTAAAGAATGTTAATACAAGTTTAACTTATAACTGTGAAGGAAAGAGATACAATTGGTATCAGTATGGAAAAATGTTCAAGAAGGCTAATGCACAAATTTATTTGGCCAGATAAGTACATCATATATATAAGTAAATAAGATTCAAAAGTGTATAAATATTCATATAACAAATGTAGCTTCAACGGTGGAACTCCGAACGAACTTTTAACAGTCTGTGGGAAGAGGGTACTGGCAATATTTTGTGTTCTTCATGCAGAGAAAGAAACGCTCGTAAGCAGATGCCATTTTAGTTGCAGTGAACATTGAAACCACATATTTCTTGCAAGCCAGGCCTTTCCTCTTCAGCACATTAGGCCCATCTCTAATTGCTGACTCTAAGGCCACTACAAAAGACACGACATTGGGTGAAAATGTGTATCCAAATTCTTCATCCACAACCACTGTCCCAACTATGCTTGGATAGTTTGGGGTTAGAACTGGCTTCCCACTTTGCATTGCTTCAATCAATGTAAGATCAAGCCCTTGGGGCCTCAATGTTGGGTTCACAAACACATCAAGTGCATTGTAAAATTTAGACAGCTCCAATGGCTCCAATGCTCCTAGAACCTTCACATTGGGGCCTAATTCAGCATACCTTCTTCTCCAAGGACCTGACCCTGCTACAAGCAAAAACACACCAGGGTGGCGGCTGACAATTGAAGAAAAGACTTCGTAGAGAAGCGGATGCCCTTTGTCCCTGACCAACCGCCCTGCAACTCCCATCACAAGGCTCACATTGGCAGGCACCCCATATTTTTCTCGGAACCTTGCACCTGCTTTTTGATCCGGGGTAAATTCTGTTTCATCAACCCCATTGAGTATGACATGGACATTTCTTTGGGGGAGTTGATAGATGTTAACTAGAACCTCACCAGCACTACTGCTTATGCATATGTGTTGAGTGTAGCTTTTAAAGAATCGAATTTCTTCGACAAGCCTTGGCATTGCTTCATGAAGCTCTGTCATAGGCTCTGATAGCTGCCCTTTTGGATTTGAAAGAAGCTCTTGCAGTAACTTGGAGTGCATAATTTCATACCATATCCCATGCCAAGTGACAGCCACATTAGGCACCATTTTCGCACGCCAATGAGGCAAGGAAACACTCTCAGTATGCACATAATCAAATGCCCCATTTTCATTCACTTTATTGAAAACATCAAATGCTAAAGAGATGTTGACTGAGCCATGATCATTTGCTGCAAAATAGACATGAAGGTTACCTTCATGTATGTCCCAGCGAGGCCTCCTATCTGAAGGCACAGTGAAGACATGAATCTCATGACCCCTAGCAGCAAGTGCATGGTACAAAGTGGAAGCATGGCGCTCCATACCGCCTGGGGCTGCACCAACAGGCCATGTCTTGGAGAAGACAGCAATCTTGAGCTTTTCAAAAGTCGGCCCGAAACAAAGTTTGTTCCATGGGAATTTAGCATCTCTAAGATCACCATTGAATTGGGTATAATCAGCCCTGAAGAATGGTTCCTGGATGTTCCTAAGTGATGCAAAGAAGAGGAAAAAGGATGTAAAGAGTAGAAGTAAGGTGAAAATGGTTGAATATCTACAAGAGAGGAAGTTGGAAGAAGAGCTTTTGGGAGTTTGGTGCTTCAACCCCATTGCTGATTAGAGAGTCTCAAAGAAAGTTTTGGCTGGTTTGTTTAAGCCAAGTGCATAAATCAAGAATGGTTGATAAATATTATATGAATTAGGTAATGTAAGTCGTACGAAGACTTTTTGATAAGATGGTGTTTTATAAATGCTATAGGCCATTGATGCCGGATCTCCTCGAACTTGTGTATAATTCTATATGCAAACTGCAACACATGACCTCCTTCCTTGAGATCTTATGTCAACTCATTTTACTTTCTTTTTTTTTAAATTTTGGTAACACTTTTTACTTTCGACTCTATATTTGACCACGTCCACTTTTTTGTGTTTCACTTGAAGATGCCTATGACTAGTGGCGGATGCAGGAATTTTCATTCCGGGGGTCAACATGTAAAATGTTAAAAGAAATTCTATATAAAATAGACCTATCAAAATGAAATATAATATTATAATTCATAGTTAATAAATAAAACCATACAAACTAACAAATACAATCTACTTAAAAATTATACAAGGTAACAAAACCCTAATTTATTCAAACTAACCAAAATAAAATCCCAACAACAACCAATCAAGAAAAAAATTATATGTATATATATTAATATTCATTAATTAACAAAGACAAAAATTAATCCAATTTACCAAGATACAATCTAATTAAAGCATACAAACTAAAAAAATACAATCTAATAAAAAAAACTAATTCTTTTAATAGAAAAAACCCTAATTTATTCAAACTAACAAACACAAAAATTAATCTAGTTAATTCTTTTTAATCAAACAAAAGAGTAGATATAGTAGACTTTGCTTAAGAGGATGAATATGCAATTGAATCTAATATACGAAGAAAATTGAAGAACATAGCAGAAACCATGGCCCGAAATCCTTTACAATCGATCTTCTAAGATTTAGCAGGTACTCATCTTTCCTATCAAATTAAATGATAGTGATCCTCCAAGTGTTCTTTCATCAATTTCTTGGTATAGGGTTTTTTTTTTTATAAAAAAAAAAAAAAAAAAAAAAAAAAACAATCTTCTCTCTATAGATGCTACAAGAAAAGGCAGGAACATATTCATTAATGTCTTTTAATAGCGCAAGATATATACATTTCTTGTATCATTGGCATTTCTAACTCTCAAAAAAGAATACCTAAAAATACAAACTAACAAATACAATATAATTTCGGAAAAAAAGAAAAAACAATATAATAAAAAAACTCCTAACAAATATAACTTCGGATTGGGTTGGGTAGAATTAGGGGTTGGGGATGGGGATTTAGGGTTTGAATGGGAGCATTGTGTTAAAAACCCATCCCCCAATCTATTTTATCGGGCAGTAGCTAAGGGTTTTTTTTTTTTAAACACTTGAGCCAAAATGCCATCGTTTCGATGTTGAGCGAACAAAAAAAAAGAGAAGGCGCTTCTTCTTCTTCAGCTGCACACAAACATAGGTTTGCCCTTTTGGGGCATTTCGTCGGACATATTGCGAGGGTCAACTTTGGATGCTCTAATGGAGGATTTCAGAGGTTGCAGGGGTCAATTGACCACCATTGCTCCTCTGTGGATCACCCCTGCCTATGACTATGACAAAGTGACCATAAAAATGAGGACTGAGTTCATATGGCATAAATTTTCTGGTTGCTTCAATATTTGCCACCTTATGTGGAAAACTATTACTTATTGGCAAGTTACATGGTGCAACATAATCTTGTTAATTCTAGGCTACACCACAATCCCCAATGAATTTTTGACGTGAGTTAATATAACAATTAATGAGATTTACTTCCTAGCAAATTATGGATATTTATTTCCTATTAATATATCCCTGTATAATTAGTTTAGTTGACATTTCTCTGTCTAATTAGGAGATATTTCCTAATTATTTCCTATATCTATTTCCTAATAAAACACACATGTAAAGCTATATATATATATTTCTCTTTATAAGTATCCAAATTTTCAAACCATACAATTGTTAGCAGAGTATTAGGTCGTCTTTAAGCTCTAAATCTTCACGTCATATCCTCAAATTCAAACACAAATCCTAAATCAAATTCCTTAAATCAAATTCCTCAGATCAAATCCCTTTACCAATTTCCTAAAACAAACTCATATAAAAAACTGAAGGCATTCTATTAACAAAAAAGAAATATTATAATTGCAGGCATTTATATTAAAATAGGGTTTACCCACTTGTTTAGCCAAAAACTAATAATAATTTCAAACGACAACAATTACAACACAAAGAAGAAGAAAACGACACGCAGGCAGGCAACACTGGCATTTACTACTTGCAGAGCCACTGTCTTCCACAGCCGCTGATACAACCTACTACGGCGATAGCCCCTGCTGCATCCCAATTCCCCCAACCCTAAAACAAAGCCTTTGGTTTTCATAAAGTTGGAGTCTTTTTCCCAATCCCAGCATAAACTTCGATTTCACTTCTGAGGGTTTTTGAGGAAATGTAAAAATTCAGGGTTTTTGGGCAAAATTAGAAAGTTAGGGTTTTTGAGGCCATATTTATTTCCTTGAAGCAAAACCCTAGGCATGTAATAATTCATTATGGTTTTGTCCCGAAGCCTTGTTCTAGCATAGGGTTGTTTGAGGGCGTTTCATAGCATGGTTTCAGGGCCACTGGTAGGTGACGAAGCGAGCAACAAGGCTTATTCCCGAAAGAACCAGAGCTACTCCAAGAATCCCAATCATGTCCTACACCACTCGTCGCCTCCCCAGAACATGACGCAAGTCCGTGGCGCGCTGGCGTCGAACGACTCGTCGAGCGACAATGGCTCGCTTCCTGGCCTTGCTGAGCCAGACAATGGACCACGCGGGTATTCAAAGTTCGGGAACATGGTGCGGATTCAGTTGGATTCTTGGTCCAAGGCTGACCTAAGAGAGATTAAGTGGAAGCTGATGAGTGAGCTTGAACAAGTCAGGTGCTTGGTGAAGAATCTTGAAGCTAAGGAGGCTGAGCTTAGTGAGAGGTATGTTCAGTCACAGTTTTCAGCTGATGATGTTATAGATAATGTTAAAACTAAAACTACAATGAGGGTCAATTCGGAGGTGGGTTCCGTAGGACTCCGTGATTCGGGGCCATATCGGGGGTTGAGTGTTTCAGGGGCGGAGGATGATGGTGGAGCTGGTCAGTATATGGAGAAGCAGAAGAGGACGTGGAAGGCAAATCAATGTTCTAGGAATTCGGAGTTTCCTATTGGGAAGGAGAAGTTACCACCTTTAGGGAGTAGCAAGAAGTTGAAATCCAATGGAAGGACAATAGATGAGGGTGGAGTTGGGCCTTGGTTCAGGAAAGGTAAGAATCCGAGTCCATTGTTCAAGAGTTGTAGTACGTTGCTTGACAAGTTGATTAAGCATAAGTTTGGCTGGGTGTTTAAGAAGCCTGTAGATGTGAAGGCGCTTGGGCTTCACGATTACAATACGATTATTAAGAAACCGATGGATTTGGGCACGGTGAAGACTAGGCTGAACGAGAATTGGTATAAGACTCCTGTGGAATTTGCAGAGGAGGTGAGACTTACATTTAATAATGCAATGTTGTATAACCCGAAAGAGCAGGATGCTCATCTTATGGCGGAGCAATTGTTGAAAATGTTTGAAGATCAATGGGCGGCTATAGAGGCCGAGTATAATCTTAATAGGAGAAATGAAATAGGGAATGATTCAAATTTGCCACCACCTGTTTCAAGAAAAATTCAAGCTCCTGCAGCTGCTCCTCCTTTGCCATTGGAGATGAGGACTCTAGATAGAGCAGAATCTACAACAAAGTCTGTTGATCCCAAGTTGAAACCTGTGAGTTCTGGTCATCCAGGTCGACCACCAGTTCCGAAGAAGCCAAAAGCCAGGGACCCCAACAAAAGGGATATGACTTATGCAGAGAAGCAGAGACTCAGCACAAACCTTCAGACTTTGCCTTCTGAGAAACTAGATACCATTGTCCAGATTATTAAAAAGAGGAATCTAGGGCTTTGTCAGCACGAGGATGAGATTGAGGTGGACATTGAAAGTGTTGATCCTGAAACGCTTTGGGAACTGGATAGGTTCGTGACTAATTACAGAAAAAGCTTGAGCAAAAATAAGAGAAGAACAGAGCTTGCTCCTCAATCAATAGCAGAACCTGGCCATGCCATCCAGGATAAAGTAAGACAATAAATAGTCCCTGCCTTGTTTCTTACGTTCGATTTCTTCTCACTAATAGATGATGTTTAAACTTATCATCTTCGCAGAATGTGGCAACATACACTACAGTGGCAGAAAAAGAAGCCAAAGCAGGTATAAGTTTAACACGTAAGCGTAGTGGTACTTCTATTGAGGTGACTGTTGGATCTGATGACAGTCTAGTTATTAGCACTGTGTCAGTTAAACCGGTTTCATATTTAGCAGTTGAAAACAACAATAGTGCATTTTCCCCAGTTCGAAGAGAAGAGCAAGGAGATAATGTGAGTGGATCAAGTAGTTCTGGCAGTGGATCAGGATCCTCTTCAAGTGGTAATTATCAGTGTTTTTCTGTTATTGTTCACGTAAGGTCTCAGTGCTGTTTAAGATTGTCAATAATATATTTATTGTGTTATATTCTGTGCAGATTCTGACAATGATAGTTCATCTGGATGTGGATCAGATTCAAATCGTTGACCTAGGACCTGAATTGATTTAGTTGAGGTAGGTGGCATTATCTTTGTTAATGAATGTTCTTTTTTTCTTTATTTGAGTCAAAGTCAGTGTGTTGACTACCGAATAACTTTTGAATCATAGATAGACAATAACTAGGCAATGATAATATGCAATCTTTGGGGTTCCATGATTGCTTAAAATTGGGCTTCTTTGATCTTGGTAACCCATAAAAGGAAACAAGAAAAGTATCTTATATTTAATAAAAAGGTAACTTGTAAATGTGACAGTTGTCATTGCAGCAATTATGGTTTGTTCCTTTTGTTTTATCTCCACTCTATAAATGGCTGATTTTGAAGACTTAAATGCAAAGATACGTGGCAGAAGAGTTAGGCCCTGTTTGGGATTGCTATTTTTCGCCAAAAACCTACTTCACTTTAAAGTTAAGCAGTTTAAGGTGTTTGGTAAACATAAAATATCCCGTTTATTTTAAAAGCGGTGGCCTTTTGGCAACAGCTTTTAAAAGCAGTCTTTGGGTTGCTTTTCCAAGCTGCTTTCAAAAGAAATAGAGATGAGTCTTTAATGAATTGTTTTACTTATAACAGCACTTTGAAAATATTGTTTACCAAACATGGAGTTGCTTTACTTTACAACTAATTATTTTCGAAGCACAACAGAAGCAACTCTTTTTAAAAGTGACAACAATCCCAAACTGGCCCTTAGACCTTTGTGCATGTTCTCGTTATAAGTTTTGCATTTTATTTGGGTCATTGTAATTACTAGGAGACCAAGTTGAATATGTGCTTAAAATGCTTGGAAGATTTATAAAAATTTGGGGTGACTTGACAGCAGTTTACTCTTGACTTTTTATGAGACCTATGGGAGGCTGTTTTCTTCTTCACAATTCTGTGTTTCAGCATACCATCATTACTCTAGCATCCAGTGAGTCTTTCACCTTGTGTGTGTGTGTGTGTGTGTGTGTGTGCGTGCGTGTGTGCACACTCCTGTAGCAGGAAAACTCTTGATAGTTTAGTTTGAGAGTAATACTTAAGAGTCCCCTCTCTAACAGTCATTTTAAAAGATGGTTAATACCGCTATATGTTAGTGAATATACTTGGATTCTGAGTTTGCATTACATGAATCCCTTGTAATGTAAGCTTGTCTCACAATGTAGACAGATATCGTGTGTGCTATGTGCATCTTTAAATGCATATGCAAAACCCAATATCGCAGGATAAAATGTTGTGAACGGTATTTATGAGGTTGTTAATGCTGTGGCAATCTTTAAGATGTTGGATTTTAGTGGATATGCAATTGCAGCAGTTTGTTTACTATGTATTATCAACTTGGGAATGATGTTATTTGTCCTGATTCATAAACGTATTAAGTTTGCAGTAGTTTCCTTAAACTCAAGTGTATGCCATTGACTGATTCTGTACACGCATGAGATATTCAGTCATTCACTAATTATTTTGCTTCAATTATGAAGGCGTCTTATATAAGTTTTTCCCATCTTCTTGACATATCAGAGATTTTTAGAAGTCTTTGTTCAGCCTGGGATACGGTTGGTGTAGATGAGGCATCCAAGTGGTCCATCTTACTGCTGCTCCTGATCAGAGTTCTTCGAAGGTGTAAATTAATGTGGAAAACTTAATTAGCAGTGCTTGTTCCTTATGAACAAATTGTATGAAAAGTAAAAGAACCAAACTATATTATGATGGCAGGAAACAGTTTCTATGACAAATGTGCAAACTGCAAACTAGTTGCTCCTCGTTTCCACCTCAAAATTATATATTTTTTTTTTTTTTTTTTTTTTTTTTTTTATTTTTTTTTTTCACAGAGCTGCCATTTTAACTTTGGCGGGGAAGGTTTATTGTGATCACCTGCACATGTTGAATTCAGAGGACATATCGGTACATGCTCTGCCTAATGAGCTAGTGCTATGGATTGTAGTTATGGTTTTGAAATCACTTCAAATATTCTGTCTAATGTTAATTTCTAGGACTAAAAAACTTACTGTCATAGGGTTGGTTTCAAACGGAAAACAAGTCGTTTGTTTTGTATGGTTGGGTTGTGCTTGTACCTTATCATCTTTTACCTTGCTCTTCTGCACAACAAAATAGAAACAAAAAGAGGGTCAACTTTTGCGTGAAGTTGTGCTTGCTTTGTGGAATGCCGGCCTCCGATGGAAACTCCACATGCAAATGTTCAAACCCCAAGTTCAATGGATCATTGTCCTTTAGCATTTGGAGCGTCAACAGAGACCATCACCCAACTAAGTCAAAAACCATACAAACATATCCATTTGGAGCCAAATGCTTATATTAGTATAAAAGCTTCACTACATTTTCAATCATCCGGACCACCAGACAAAAACATCGGACAACTACTCAAAGTCTCCCCAGCATGCTCTGAGGTAGAATGCCGGCTGTTAAAGGGTAGCGGACTGAAATAAACCCACACCCACCCCTGATCATAAAACTGTTTTCATCAATCTATTTCAAGAAGTTGTCTGGTCCACGGCGTAGTGGCCAGCACCAGAACTGAACAGAAAATTTGCTAACATTTTCTTCAAATCACTTCTGGCAATCATCCAAGCCAAGGTTACTTTAAGAAATTACACGGGGCATAAAGGTTCTAGGTTATCTTCCAGTAACATTTATTTTCAAAACATCCAAGTAACATGCAGAGAATAGAAATGATAAGACTGGAAATCTTCCTTGAATCAGGAGAATACTGCTTATTGCCAGATGATGGCGGTCACAAACTATAATCCAAGTCAATGACTAAACAGTAATCAAGTTTTCATTCCTTGAATAAATGAAACATTTTCATTCAAGTTCAAATAGCTTAACCCCTCCCATAACATGCCACTGGGGATTTTATTGATAAAACGTGTCTATCAGAGCTTACTCCAATAAAAAACAACAAAGCCGGTGCCCGTGCCGCTGGCAGCACTAAAAATACAACACTACTTGGACAAATGCAAAATTTGGAAGGGTTACTATTGGGATGGGTAGATAACCTCCATCCCCAATGAACTAATAATACATTATACTAATTCTGGTTGGCAAACTTGATACCCTTCTCAATAGATGCTTTGAGCTCAGGCTTTAGGCTTTCCAATCCTTCCTTTTCAAAGTCCGAGAGATTACCCAACCCCAAAACTTCCTCCACACCATTCCTTCCAAGCCTCACCTGAAAACCAATCAAAGGACTCTCAATTACTCATCATATGAACAGCAAAGAAAAATATAGCATTATTGTGTCCATAATCAACTGGAAAAACATAGTACATAAGATTAAAAACTGGGCATTGTACAAGCTTATATGGATGAACCATTATGGAGATATTCAACTGACCAAATATGCTATATCTATTTACTGTCAGCAGTCCATGAGTATGTGTGTGACAGTGCACGCGTTAAACTCTCATGTAACATACTTGCATGCAACAGCAATGGTTGAGATATTGAAGGGCGCAGCCATCAATGAATAATAATTAGTTACAAGTATATTAAAACCACCATGTATTGAAAAGACATCAATAACCAAGAGGGGAGGTGCACACTTGGCAAAGACATTGTTAAATGTCTACAAAAATAATGGCATTTGGAGACATGCCAAGTACCACAATAATACTCAAGTTGAACAGGAACGAAGCATTAACCAGTAAAGCCAAGTCTTGGCGTATTAACAATGTGGAAGAATTAAAAATAGCTTGAGGCAAAACGAACGTAAAGAACTAACTTTGGTTTATCTCACTAACCTTAGAAGCAAAGAAAGGAAGTTCAGTAACGCTTGATTGCACGAATGAACATTCCACAACATCAGGGACCCCATTAAGTCCCTTCAGACAAGCATCAGCAAAAAGAGCTCCAGCATAGCTGCAAGATAATAGGCAAGTTAGTGCGAGAAAAGCGTAAATTTCTTTTTCTTTATTCCAACAACTGAAAACGAAAATATAAACAAGGAAATCAATGGAGTAATACGAAAAAGGTGAACAATGTGATGGAAGAAGCATTTAACATCTTGCAACAGCAATGGAACCAAAATGCAGACAAGAAAATCAATTACGAAACGTTTGTGTATAATTTTGTACATGAGCAAATATGTATTTCTAATTGAAAATAGGCACATTCCATGAGGAAATACAAAATCAAGGCATCTACTACAAAACGAAGTGTGCATGCAATGGTTTTATCTGAACACTTACGCCATTGACAATGTTGCAGATCCCTTTCCAGCCTTAGCTTCCACAACTTCCGTTCCTCCATCTTGTGTTCTCTTTGTCAAAGCCTTGATAACATCATGAGGCAAATTTGCTGTTGGGGTAGCCTAAAACATTCAAACAAGCAGCACAAAATTAGCCAACTGTAAGCCGAACCCAACCAAATCACATTCCTCAGGAGCAGCACTGCAATTAAACTCAAACAATCTAATTCAATAAAAGGATTAAACAATTGAGGGATATGTACCTGAGAAAATAGTGGGAGAATGGTGATGCCAGCATGTCCACCAACGACTGGTACATTAACCTCTGCACACACCAAAAAACATTTTCTTTATTTGCTATTGAACAAAATGCAGGCTTACATTATAACTGAGCTTCTAAAACACATTAAAAAAACGGTAGAAATTGCTAATTACACCTAGCTAAGTTGAGAACATCTTTGACAAAACCCAGAAAGAAAAAACAGAGAAATGATACAAACATAACTAAAAGGAAAGAGCTTTTAGAATAAAAGTGGGTCAATAATGCACATACCAGCAACATTAACATTGGCTTTGCCAGCATAGAAAGTCTTTGCCCTGACCACATCAAGAGTAGTGACACCAAACAACCTCTTCTCGTCGTATTTCCCGGCTTTCTTCAACACCTCGGCCGCAATCGGGACCGTAGAGTTGACTGGGTTGCTAATCATGTTAATCAGTGCCTACCCAAAACAATCACCCAACAACCAAAGTTAAACAAAAATAATAAAAGTAAAACGCAACTCTTTGGGAAACAAAAATTGTAGAAATGAATTACACAGAGGGATACTCACATTGGGGCAGTACTTGGCGATGGCGGCAGTGAGACCCTTGACGATACCGGCATTAATGTTGAAGAGATCGTCTCGGGTCATGCCGGGCTTTCGGGGCACACCGGCGGGTATGATTACGACGTCGGCTCCCTCCAGGGCTTGAGCAAGCTGATCTTCACCGGCGTAACCCTTGACCTAATCATCGCAATCAATCAAATCGTCGAATAAATAAGAAAGTTGAAAACTTTATGATTCAATCGGAGACAAGCGATCGAAGAAGAGAGGGTTTTTAGTACCTCAGATCTGGTGTTGATGTGGCTGACGTCAGCGGCGACGCCGGGGGTTCCGGCGATATCGTAGAGAGAGAGGTGGGAGACAAGAGGGTTGAGCTTCATAAGGAGCGATAAAGGTTGCCCGATGCCGCCGGCGGCGCCGAGAACGGCCACTTTCCGCTCCGGCACGGCCTCGGACGAGTAGCTCCGGCGAGTGACTCGTTGTACGGATCTGACGAGGGACATGGAAGGCCTCATCTTTGTTTTGCTTTGGGATGTCGAAGAGTCTGCTCTCTGCTCTGCTACTCTGCCTCTTAGACAACAAATGCGAAGTGTGATGCGTATGTATTTGTTTGATATTTATGGTTCGTTAGGCTATCTCCAATCATGGTGGGGCTAAACCATGGTGGGGCTAAACTCAAATTTTCACCCTTCAAAATACAACTATTTATGTATTGTCCGAACTCAAAATATTTTTTCTTCCAACATTGTAGACTCAAAATTTGAGCCCATACCTTTATTAAATTGTTTAAGAATAGTTAAACTCTATTTTTCTATTGTGGTTAATTTTTCTTAAGTTGATTTTTGTTTATAGCTTCATAATTTATTTTTCTGAACATTTTAACCTAAAAAAATTCTAATTTCACTTAAAATTTGATTTTAGTGCATTATTTAATAAATGGGTAGGTATTTATATAATTTGGAATGAGTTTTAAAGTTGAATCTCATGTAAATTAATAAATAATATAATTTTGACTATTGGATTTAATTTGAGTCATTGGATATAATTTTTTTTTTCCGTTAAAATCAATCTTGGACAATCTGGGCCGTTAGATTAAGCTTACATTTAAAAAACAAATTACAAAAGCATATTAAATGTAGCCGTTGGATCTCAAAGGCTATATGAATTAAACACGACATGCGGCCAACATTTAAAGGAAGAGGCAGACTTCTCCTGCAAACAGGCCCCACTCAATTTGCACCAGCACGTGGGCTGTTTTGAAGCTTGCTTTTGGGCAGAGTTTGGGCCCACTGAGATTATCAGCCCAGACAATACTTGGACTGGAATTCCACCACACATTTGAGATTTCTCCAATTTTTATTCCCCAAAATACATGGTTTGGAGAAAATTTTTGGACTCAAAACTCGTAATTTGAGTTTCCATCTCTTGGGTTGGAGATGGCCTTAGGGCAGGCAATTGTTGGATACTATTTTAACATCAAGGGTTAATTTGATTTTTTATTTTGTCTGGGTAGTTAAAAATTTTATACTTTGATCTTGTTTCATGGTATATTCTTAGAATATTACATTTTTACATATACCTTTACCTTTTAATTTAATTTAATTTATATTTTATAACATACTAAACTCACACACGCTACATAGATGTTAGAACTTGAACCCTTGAGGATTTGCTCCAAACCAGCACACTAATGGATCCTTTTCTTTATGCCTTTTAATCTTTAAAACAACAAATTTATTTCAGAAGATTTTATATTAATTTATGACCAATAAATTAAGAATATTCTCTACTTCTATGATATTTTAACTAGGCTATCACATGTTATTTTAAAACTCTCATGTTATCTTTTCTTTTTCGTTGTGCTTTTGCTGTCAGAACAAAGGTAAAAGATTAAAGAACAAGAAAAGAAAAGCAGATGCGGCCATTTACCGATTGGTCGTTACATTGTCAGCGTTGCTAATTAAAAAACATGCATGTCTCTCATCCCATTTGAAAGGTTGGTAATCACGTTTTATAATGTTAGCATTCATGAAGATCATAATTGATAACAGCTACATTGAACATTGGAGTGACACAATCTTGTGGATTTGTTCACAAAATCAGATTACAAAACTTATCAAGTCGGTGGACAAAAAATTACAATCAGAAAACTCAGATATCTTTCATGATGTGTTAGAAATCCATAAGTTGAAGATGAATGAATGCCCAAAAAATGGTTGCCCGCGAAGCCCTCGACTTGCTGCAGAGATACATCAGTGACAGGTTCTTGACACAAACAACTGTTTTAAGCAAGAGCCCAAACACTAACCTTTGCAGAGGAACATACTCTAAACTTGTGTCATGAGATTTTCTGATCCTGTACAGACAAACAGAGGCCCGCCCAGTCGGAATAGGGAATGATCGTATTGCATTGATTGCTTTGGCAAAAAACAAGACTCAATGAAGTGAATGATCAGGTTACGATTCACTGTTTAAGCCTTGTGTTCTCCTTATCCAGTCTAGGATGTCTGAGCAATCTTCACGTCTGACAAAATGCCTTCATGTGTGTAAATGAAACTATTTAGTATTTAGCTCTTTGTGTCCACAAATTAACTGTAAACCTTCAATGTTCGTAAATTATACCTATTTTGAGTTCGATAGCCCTTTAGTTCGGATTCTTCTCTGCGGCTTGATAACTCTTTCTTCATTCTAAGTGATTCAGGCACAACCAAATTTTCACTTTTGTCATGGTATGCATCATAAATGAAGTTGAGCACCGTTTCCTACAAAAGTTGTCCACTATGCCAATCAGAACAAGGTTAAGGAAAACATATATATAATTAAAGCATTCACAGGCTATGGGGAAATAAGAACCGTGCACAAAGCCAAATCTTTGATTGACATAATAATATAGGAATAACAACTGGGGGCGGAAGCTACATCTTTCTGTACTGACAAATAATGGAAACAAATGAAAACAAAATTGGAAAACATACCAAGGGTTTGGAAGCATCAAGCCAGTGATAGATACTCTCGTTACGAAACCACGTCAATTGCCGTTTTGCAAAATTTCTGCACATGAATTTAACAAATTCTATTGAGGAATGTAATGTATGAGAATCTTGTAAACTCTACCAATCGTGTAGTTCTCCACTCCTCGCTCTATAAATACTTATAACTGAAATTTGTTTTTCCAGACAACATATTTTGCATCTGTTGTTGCTTATACAAGTTACAAACAATTTACATTGAAAATGTCTGAAAGCTTGGCGAAACATATTTCCTAGGCAATTATGGCTTTTGATACATAAATCTGAAGAGAAAATGCATTACCTAGAAGCTTTTTGAAATTCAGATAAAAAATTGAAGAACTCTCTTGGAGAGCTACCTCCTTGCTGCCTGCACATCAATAGATACTCCATTGCCTAAAATCAAATATTTCTTACTGTCACTACCTATTGCACATAATAATAAAATGACAAAAAATGTTACATACATTTTAATGAAACAAAATCAGACAAAAAATGCTTGAACATTTGAAAAATAATATAGGAGTATCAGAGGTATACTTGTCTGTAACCAATTGCTCTGGTTGCTGAATTTGAATTTGGAAGAAGACCGCTATCAAGAAGCCATCTAGCCTCAGACAAGATACCATCACTTCCTGCAGAAAGTACAAAAAAAAAAAAAAAAAAAGAAAAGAGAGAGAGGACCCCACCCTCTTTGAAATAATGATCCTAAAAGATCAGCATATGTAAAACTAATGAAATTGCCTGATTTGAGTTTGAAAACTCAAAGATGAATGATCAATTTGTAGTGATATGTCATAGTACGATTTACCTGACAGCATATCTTCACATCGGCAGTCAATTGATCTATAAAGATCAACTCTTTTGCTTGAGAGGAAAAAGCAAATGAAATCATAGTCCAATTCCTTTGATGTTACTTCTTCCACAACAACAGTAGAAGGATTGATGTCATGTCTGTCAACTACACTAGAATCACATTGTTTCCGGAAAGAATCATAGGGTACTTGAAATGCAGATGGAGGTGATCCACTAGACTGTCATTTCAGAACATGCATATAATTACATCCATCGTCAGTGAAGTTGAAGGGGATACGCTTCAGACAATGCAACTAAATAGTCAATATTGAGGCAAATTTATCAACAAAAATAGTGATATGCGGGGGTCTGTGTCTATGTTCAAGGGAATGCATATACAACACAAACCAACCTTAATGATCTCAAGGCTGCGTCTTAATCGATACCAGTCATTGGCAGCCAAAAATTGAGCCTTTGGGTCACCTGCTTTGACCACTAACTGCACAGCTGCTTCCCAGTCTTCATTGTTCTGCAGATCTGCTAACTCGGAATACACTTCAGATGCAATATCTGGAGATGCTTTGGGAACATCTGGTTTTCCGTATATGAGCCTACAAAAAAAAATAAAAAATGCTATTAATACAACCAAAAATAAGAGAGAAAGAAAATGAAGGTTATTGCTCTTAATTACATAAATTTTTATTCAAATTCAACTTTAAGCAACCAAATTAAATGTTGCCAATATCATCAATCAATAAGCAGATGTCATTTCAGAAGCTATTAGTTTACAAGGGAGGCTATTAAATTAAGAGACCAGTTATGTTAATCTATACTCAACATCCTAGCTATAAACAGACCAAAAAAAAACATACCAGCTCTAAAACAAGAAGAAACAAATAAAGAAACAAAGATCGAAACTAGCATTTACGCGAGAAGATATCGTCACATACCAGCGCAAGTACAATCCAGTGCCACCAGTAACTATGGGAACACGGCCACTATCAAGAATAGATCTTGTAGCTTGCCTTGCATCCTCATAAAATTTTCCGACGGAATAGTCTGAAGAATAAAACATGTGTTGAATTGGGAGAACAGAAATATCCAAAGTTTCAAACCTAGCAGTAGAAAACTCAACATCATCCAAGCATCCAACAACACCCAAATTTCAATTACAGCCTCCAAATCCTAGAAGATGAAGACATAATATGCTATGATATATTTCTATCTGCCCTTAAATTTAGTAGACAACACACCTTCAGATGGGTGCAAAATATCAACAAGATGATGCGGCACCTCCTGCATTAAAAGAAAGAAAAACAAAAAACAAGAATTATTATTAATAACAAATCCCCACAAAACAAAAAAAAAAAAAAAAAAAAAAACACACACACACACACACACAATTTTTTGGTCAAATTCCAGTTACAAAAAACAGACCAGTTGAGATTACACAGGGAGAAGTTGCCCAATTAATCATTAGCAGTAAAATTTAGTATCAAGTTAAACAAAGCTACTTTGTAATTATACTAGTTTTGTTTTCCTTTGTTTTTGTTATATTTTGGATTAGCTAGAAACTTGCTGTTTTATCAATATGATGATGTATTTCTTTTTTCCATGCAAAATTTCATCAGGACATAAAGGCTTCTACCTACATATGAAATTCTGCATTAATAATCAGACAAGAAGTCTATACAATAGACTTACTCCATATGAACTATTCTTGAATTGCAGAGAAGAGATAAAATTAAATGAGGATATTATGTGATTTGTTAGAGAATATAACATGAATTGCTAGTGCTTGAAAGGGTCAAAAATTCAAGTCAGAAAAGGCGAAACAATACATCCACAACAATCATATTACAATTATTAAAATGTAAAATCTAAGCACGACATAACACCATAGATACAAACATTAAAATGTCAAAATGAAAAGAAAAAAAACATAAAACTAACATGGCATACAATGCAACTGAAACCAACATAATCCAGAAGTCTATATTATCATAAATTAAATTTCAATGGTAGATGCATACACTAAATGTACAATTTTCTCAATTAGCCAAGCACCTGTCTATCACCTGGGGAAGGCTTGGCAGATCCAATATCAAGTCCCCGATATACCTGAGGCAACAAAGCCATACCAAACAAAATCACTTTAAGCAATATTGCACTGACTGTTAAGTGTTATAAGCATAAACAAAAGGCAATCCAAACAAGGCAATGTTATATTGAAGGAGATTTGGATATTTTGAGATGTCTTCCATTTCGATGCCCATAGTTATTTTATTGTGTATTTCCTGATGTTTATCATTTGTTTGGAATTTTTTATATTTCAGTTCCTTATCTAGATTATTGTGGCCTCTATAAACAGAAATTAGCATTACTCATTGAAGGCAAGCTTGATTATAACAAATAAATTTTCAACTTAAGTAATTCAAATCTATTTGGTATAACACAATGTCAACTTTCTTTTTGTCTATTGGTATCAGTAAGTAAAATGGTTTATGACTAAATACCCAATAAACCAAACTCTCCATACTTACAAATTAGTATCTCAAGAACACCCAACTAATAAACTAACAGCTCTGCTGCTTACTTTGAAAGAAGCTACATTTTTCCATTTTCTTTCCCTTTTTTTTCTCAGCACCCAAACAGAGAACAACAAAAACCAACAACTGGGTATTGTATGTTTGCTAAAACCTGAACAGAGTCGGCGCTGATAATCTCGCCATTGAGCCGCTTAGCGAGCTCCAAAGCCAGGCGGCTCTTCCCTGCTCCGGTGGGCCCAGATACGACTATCACCTTCTCCTTCTCTTTACTCTTGGTGGCTGAAACTGAGCACGCGGTGCTCAAACGTCGCCGGCGGATAGTGAAAGTCACCAGCGCAGCCGTCCGGAGGGCACGCTTCTTCGACGACGACGGGAGGCGCGGGCAAAATGTACGCACGCAACTACTACTGATAATCATGTTTTGGGTAGAGAGGGAGAGAGCTCAGAGAGGATTGGATTGGATTGTTTTTGTGCTTTGTTATTTTGTCCTTTTGGGTTTAGGGAGGGGTTTTGGGTATCAAGCTCAGAGTGTCTGTAGACACCAAAGAGGAAATAGATTAAGTGAGGTTATGGGGTTTTATGGGATTTTTTGGGGTTCAGATATTTGTGCACCCTTTTCTCTGTGTCCTTTTTGCTTTGCTTTTTTCCATTTTTTTCAATTAACCTCTTTTTGTGTTTAGAGTTCTAACACATACATGTACATGGTATAATTTGTCTACATAAAAAATTATGAATTTTATTGTCTATCCATATTATAATACGGGAATGAATTGTATTCTAATATTTTACAATAATTTCTCCCATTTCAGAAAGGTCTTTGCTCCGAGACCGATGCATAATTGATCATATGAAGGAAAAAAAACACTCTTATGACAAGAATAGTATGATTTTGTTATTCCTAGCCAATAATATAATGACATGTAGAAAAGTTATTCCACATGTCATTGTGTTATTGGTGGAAATAGCAAACATTGCATGAGAGTTTCTCTCCATATGATGGATATATACATGGTCAAAACAGAAGGGGCCTACAATCAACAACCACTGATGATGTTCTCCAACTTAGGGAGTTTAACATGCCACCTCTCTTCATCAATGAAAACTAATGATAATTGAAAAATAAAAAAAATAACATAGTGGGAAGAAGATCACTTATGGCATCAAGAAGATTGTTTACTATCTGAAGGCCCACATAGGAGTTCAAAAGAACAACAGCCTTGTTTCAATTTAAAATGAGACATACCTAAAAATTTTGATCCTACCAACTGGTGGTTGCTTGTGTCACTTCACCAAAAAGACTTAAAGTTCAAGGTACCCTGTTCAAATACTTCACCAAGAAAATGTCCTTTTACAATCAAACATAAACCATAGCCATCATCTTCATCACCTCCCCCCAAATGACAAGGCACCAGCTCTCTCTTGACCGTCGAATCCAATCCCTCTTCCCGGTTGCGTTGGCTTCTCTGCTTGTCCTTGGGACTGCACGACTAGTCCTCGACGCCTTGAAGAGCAATGACAGCTTCGTCTTTCAGCTATATGGCAGGCCAAGAGGTCAACAACAGAGACCGGCAGTTGTTGTTTCCCCTGAGGACCGGATTGATGAAAGTTGCAATGTCTTTGAAGGGAAATGGGTGTGGGACAATGTGTCCCATCCTCACTATACAGAAGAGAGCTGTCCTTACTTGGTAAAGCAAGTTACTTGCCAAAGAAATGGTAGGCCTGATTCTTACTATAAGAATTGGAGGTGGCAACCTAATGACTGCAACCTCCCAAGGTAAAAAGACTCTACACTTTTGCATGCATTCTAAATTCTAAGGGCACAATATGACAGTCCAAGAAAGAAACAATGAAGCAATAATCATTCTTAAAAGCAGAGTTAATGTGCTTTGAAAATTTCTTCGGAAAACATCACAAGAGGTTCTGATTTTCCTTTTTCTTTTTCTTTTTCAAAGGTGGCCCATGAAATTATTCTGATTGTTTTTAATCTTGAAATTGGATTTTCACTGGGAAAAAAGTGGACTTATTTCATGCCTACTTCATGTCAATTGGGCAAGAAACTTGTTTTCAAGCATTTTATATGGGATGTGGGTCGAACCATCTCATGTTTTTCAATTTTTTTTTAGTAAGTGGCTTTGGCTTTGAATTCAGGTTTGATCCATTGAAGCTAATGCAGATTTTGAGGGGTAAAAGGCTGATGTTTGTTGGAGACTCTGTACAGAGAGGGCAGTTTGAATCCCTAGTCTGTATGGTTCAATCTATAATTCCTCAAGGAAAGAAATCTCTCCAAAGGGTCCCTCCCAGAAAGATCTTCAAAGTTGAGGTAAACATTCTACTGCCTGTAACTTAGACATTCCATATGCAAAATAACCTTCTCATTAGTGAGGCTTAAAGCTCATGTCTTAAAACACTAACCCCACGCTTACGGTAAGAGTTCGACTCCCCCTCATGCTCTGTGTTCTACATTTTAAGGCAAACTCTTTTTTCCCTTTCCCAGGAGTTTGATGCATCCATTGAATACTACTGGGCTCCATTTATTGTGGAGTCGATTTCGGACCATGCAACAAAACATACTGTACTGAAACGGCTGGTGAAGCTAGACTCCATAGCTAAGCATGGAAAACACTGGGAAGGAGTAGATATCTTGGTGTTCGAGAGCTATGTATGGTGGATGCACAAGCCTACCATCAATGCTACGTGAGTGACATATTTGTAGGGCACCCCTATATTATAATTTCATCGTTTTGATTTCAATTGGTTAACGCATTTCTAGTGACGTTCAATCTTCACTTTGTTGTTGGCCCTGACTCCTGAATGCAAATTTCATGGCCAAAATTTGTTGATCACCTAACATTTAATGATAGCATAGACACAAATCGCTAGGCGAAAAACCATTGCAAAAGAAAATGGTGTTGCTGCTATGGAAACATTTAAGGCATTTGTATTTGAGTTAGTCTTGTTGAGTGAATTTTGCGAGGAGAGTAGGATTTGGGATTCGAGAATGAATTATGTTTTGCTTGTCTTCCCCAGATATGGATCTCCTGATGTCCAAGAATATAATGTCACTACAGCATACAGACTGGCCTTACAAACTTGGGCAGAATGGTTGGAATCCAGCATCAACCCTGAGAGACAAAAGGTCTTCTTCATGAGTATGTCCCCAACACATTTATGGTGAGTTTCACACTTCCACTCAAACATATTCAAAAAAGAAAAGGAGGAAGAAACTGAAGTCCTAAAACCTTTCAACCCAAATGACAGCTAAATCCAAATGCTTCACAATTATGGAATAGTTACGTTAATCTGCAGGCCTAATTCAGACCGAGTTCATCAACCTGCCGAATCCCATGAAAATAAAACTACTGCTTGCAAAAAGCTCTCTCCAAAGTCCTTAACTATTCTGTAATCATGAAAGCATCATTGAAATTTCTTTTGTAGGAGTTGGGAATGGAAGGCTGGAAGTGATGAGAACTGCTTCAACGAGTCTTACCCAATTCAAGGTTCATATTGGGGTACTGGTTCAAACATGGAAATCATGGAAATGATACACGACCAAATACAGGATTTGAAAGTGAAGGTAACATTTTTGAATATTACCCAGTTGTCAGAATACCGAAAAGACGCACATACATCAGTATACGGGGAACGCAAGGGGAAGCTCTTGACAAAGGAACAAAGATCTGATCCTAAAAATTTTGCTGATTGCATTCACTGGTGCCTACCTGGGGTTCCTGATACATGGAATGAGATTTTGTATGCACATTTGTTAAAGAGCCATTAAAATCTTTTGTAAGTTCAATTTAACAGTTGAGCCTTGGATAAAATCTATGAGAGGTACATTTGTATGTTAATATTGAGGATCAATAGTGCAGCATTTTGCGAGGAAGAAGAAAAGGAAGTGACACCTGCAACGGAACTTGTATTTAATTTAACACTTGTGGTCTTCTTTTTCTTTTCTTCAACCGAAAAACAACTTTATTTTGGTGACCATAGACATAAAATCCGTAACTCTTTTGTTGTTCTTCAACCAGCAAACAACTTTAATTTGGTGAGAGAAGATAAAATCCACGCACCATAAGGGTATCACAGTATTGCAGCTTTCTCTCAGAAAGAAACAAATACCGACCAGATAGAACTCGATACTATAAGATTAACTTCTTTATTTTGTCTATTTCAACAACGAAATAGTGGCATCATCCACAATCATAAATCTTCGGTATGGTATTATTTCCAACATATTTACCTGCAAAGGCAAGCAGCCTTGTAACCAATCCAATTATTTACAGGGACGCGTTAATTTACTTAAAGGAGCTCCCATTCAGAGTCACAGGCATCATGAATTTGCAAATTTTTCATGTTAGAGAGTGTTTCTTGGCTGGAATTTATATCAGTGTCCCCAAACCAAATTGCTAGCTGTTCGTATTCCTTTGTCAGCCTCTTCTTTGATGTAAAAGCATCCTGGATTCTTTTCTGTATACAACAAAGCAAATGAAAAATTGATACAGTCAGGCTCATCATGCTAATGAGGCACATAAGTTGTTGATACAGTTTCACATTTCTGATGGCATCACCTTCAAGCAACATGTTTAGTTTCTTTTCTTTACAAGAAATTTATTTATATATGAAAAATTGATAAATCATTGATTCTCAGCAAAGTTCAGATCTGTGACTGCAATCTAAATCTTTATTATGCAAATAGGAGATGTAATTCATTCTTAACCTACTCTGGACAGACCATTAGCAGGCATTGCCATTGAAGGAAGGAACCTTTCCCACAGTCAACCTTCAATTGCCCACTAAACCTGATTATTCCTATTTAGTGATCGAAGAGTGGAAATAAATTGTATTTTTCCCTTGAAAAAAAAATAGAACTCCAGGATTCGTTTCTAAAACTAGGCCGGATTCTGGAAAGTCCGGGGCCAGAGTTGAGATGTGCAGTATACACTAATCCTCCTTTGCAGAAAGTCAATTTTTTTTACATGGAAAGTCATGGTAAAGAACCCTCTGCTATTATAGCCCTCAGCTTCTCTTTCCTAACATGCCCTCTGGAATTGTGACTTCTAACTAAGACTATGTAAGAACACTTCAAACACGAAACAGAGCATGCCACCATCATGTTAATATTCATAACAAATGCAATATGCAGAAACTTTCTAAAATAACATTTCCTTTACCTAAACAGAAAGGGAGGATTGGAGAAGTGGAAGGAATACCTTATATGATCTTAGCTTTCTTGTTCTGCAAGAGATAGCATGTAGTACGCTATCGTCTACAATGACACAGCTCTCCTCAAGCTTCACCTTATCATGCAAATCAATGGTTTCCATGCCAGAGTGAGAAAAATCACAACTTGATTCATCTGAAAGGCCTGTAAACACTTTGCAAGATTAGAGAGGTAGCATCTAAAACACATCATAGAAAGCAGATGCAAGGGACAGTTATGGTTCAAAATAGTTCCCTCAGTTGCCAAGTATACCAATGTGCAAATTAGCACAAAGAGGGCACTTCAGTCGTAGAGTCAAAATACCAAAATAAAATCATGGCCAGAATTGTTATATATTGAAACATCATTATGAACTCTGTTCTGCATCTCAAGTATGTCATAAAGAAGGGTCAGGTCCAATTTGACATTCTTATTCATACTTGTGTATGTTAAAGGTGCATTGCAATCTTCTTCATCAAATCTCATGTGGTTGTACTCCATGCAAAAATGAGGTAGTAGAACAGAAATAGACTCCTAATAGAAGTGGTTAGGACTATGATGTTACAAATTACTTTTACTAGAGGATTCTGGGCTTATAGCTTGTTATGTTATTAATCAGATGCCCTCCTCAGTTTAGAAACTTCAGGAATCTAATTGCTTGAAATGAAACTCAAAGAGGAATAAAATGAGGAAACAAACATTTAAGTTGGAAAACAAAATGGGGCAAATCTAGATCACTTAAAAGATAATACTTAGCATTAAGGTTCTGCAAGATTGAAACATAAGAATTATTATCTCATGACTATTGTTGTTACTACAATAAAAATCCAAATACATGAAGACTCCAGACTTTGGCCGATGGGGTTTCAAAGGTGAGAGATGAGAGAGGAAATAAATTAAGGTGCCGCATATGCATTCTAGAACATACCAATATCTGAAAAGGAATTAAGAGCATCAAATTGAACAGACTCGCAGATCTGAACTTGCTGTTTTCCAGATGGTACTGTCAGAGGCAGGGTCAACGTAATTCTGGACGTGCCTTCTTCTGTAATATATATAAGTTAATGAATGCCTGTTGTCTAAGGAAAAACAAGAATACTTTTCTACAATGAGAGAACCAAAAATACTAACCAACTGGTTCCAGTGATAGGACACCTCTGAATGAAGAAAGTCCCATATCCAAATCCTTAATTTTACCGGACACAGTTAACGGTGAAGCAGATGTTGGGATCTCATTAGAAACATCAGAAACACACCCAGTCACCTCAAAGAGCCTAAGTGATTCCTTTGCATTACAGCTGCTGAAGGGTGCAATTCCCATCTCTGCTATAGTATCCTCCCCAGATACATCTGAAAAGACCATTTCAGTAGTAGTATTTGAAGCACCAGAAACACTCAAAATTTCATCTGAACAAACAGTATATTTTTGCTGGGATTCAAACTCCAATCCATGCGCTGGGGATATAGGTGCAACCTCAGGCAAAAAAGTATGCCTATTTTCATAATTACTGTGAGCAAATACCTGAAATGGTGACTCTGTAAAGTGTTCTGACACAACAGGAGAAGTTAAATCCAGCATTTTTATGGAAATTTCTTCATTATTTGCATCTGAGTTTTCATTTGTCAAATTATCATCAATCTTCCCCACCGACAAGTCAGACTCTGACACCCCAAGAGTATTTATGGAAGTTGGAGAACTAAGTGGATCTGCAAGGTGATATTTAGAAGAGACAAGACTCAGCTGGTTTGCCACATGATCCATTATACTGGGCTCTGTAGGTGATTGATTTTTAGTTGCACCTAAAGAAATTCCATTTGTCAAAACTTCATCAATCTTTCTCGCAGAAAAGTCAGACTCAGACACCTCAAGTGTATCCATTGAAATTGGAGCACTTTGTTGATCTGCAATGTGAAATTTACAAGAGATGAGACTCGGCTGGTTTGTCACAGGATCCATTACATTGGGCTCTGTAGGTGATTGATTTTCTGTTGCATCTAAAGACTCTTGATTTTCTACGGAAAAGTAAGCCTCTGAAAGCACAAGAGTATCCATTGAAGTTGGAGAATAAGGTTGATCTGCAAGGTAAAATTTACTAGAGCCAAGACTCAGCTGGTTTGTCAAAGGATCCATTACATTGCACTCTGTAGGTGATTCTTCTGTTGCATCTAAAGACTTTTCATTTGTCAAAACTTCATCTATCTTTTCCACAGACAAGTCATACTCTGACAGCTCAAGAGTATCCATTGAAGATGGAGAACTAGGTTGATCTGCCAGTTGATATTTACAAGACACAGTACTCAGCTGGTTTGTCACAGGATCCATTACATGGTGCTCTGAAGGTGATTTCATTTCAGTTGCACCTAAAGAATTTTCATTTGAAAAAACTTCACGAATCTTTCCCACAGATACGTTGGACTCTGACACCTCAGAACTATCCATTGATGTTGGAGAACTAGGTTGATCTGTAAGGAAATATTTACTAGAGACAAGACTCGGCTGGTTTATCACAGGATCCGTTACATTGGGCTCTGCAGATGATTGCTTTTCAATTTCATCCGAAGAATTTTTCTCCAAGTCTTCCCTTGACTTAGTACTAATGCCAGAATTATATGTAATAGCCACCTCTTGAGCGTCGTGATTAACAGGATTCCCTAAAGGAGGAATTAAATCTTGGACGACATCAGAACAGAGTTTCTTCACACTTTTGCCCACTGTCTGCACGTGGGTTTCGACATATTTAATTGTATCCTGTGAAAGAAATCATTCAATATTACGAGAGGAATTGATAGCTGCAGTCACTAGTTAGCAGCAGCAACAAAATTAATCGAAGTCCAGAAGCACTTAAGATCCTTTCTTTTGGGTTTATTACCTGATTCACAATATCATCCACCTCCTGGCAGATAGCTTCAAATTTCTGGTAAATGTTTCCAACCCAATTCATACCTTTGAGTTTTTTTAAATCCATGATGAATTCTGAACTTCACCTACAGCCAGTCAAATGATATTCTCTTTAATGGTTTGCATTACCCAGAGAGGACAGTACAAGTTAACATCCCAGCGCAAGAAACACAATAGCAACTAATAGCCATCAAATTGACTAGTTTGAACATCTTAAAACATAAAGGTTATACTCTCACCAAAAAATATACATTCAATCCCAAGAAAGTTTCAGTGTCCTCCAAGGCTTTGTATAGAATGTCACAGTATATGAAATACAAAGGGTTTGGTAGAGTTTTACAAGTACTAACACCATACGTTCACATTAAGTAACAGATTGCAAATTTTTCAAGTATAATCAGAACTGTGCACAAAAGTTCACAAAAGGCTAAGGTACAGGTTATGGGAAGCACCATAACTGCATAAAATGGAATACCAAAAACAATAGGAGACAGAATCACCACATGCGATATTTTGAAGTCAAACCAACTAGAAAATAGAATCAAAGTAAACACTAAACCTGATGGTGAATAAATGCATGAAACGATCAATCAATAAACCAAATTATTTATGATGGAAATAAAAATAATAAAAAATGAAAACTCAGAAAAATGTAATGAGATTGGATGTACAGAAATAGGAAATCAAGGTCTGCACCAACCACTTAAAGGAATTGAGGGTTAGCATTCTGGAGAACACAGTGAACCGAAAATATCCACGGTAACCATCACCACCGAGATTGTATGTGTGTATATTTATTTGAGGATCATTATTTTGTAGAATAAATATATAAAATACTTGTTCATACACCACACAACAGTAAAAACATGCAGGGGGGAATCAAACACTCTCATAATTGTGCTATTCGATTTCTTCGATTTCAAAGTTCTCAAGTTCAAGAAGTTTGCCTGTTCACTAGCTCTTCAACAAAAATATATATATACGGCGCAAATTATGTACTGTCACAACTGTGCTACATATATATGCGTCCTCCATCAGTTAACCCAAGAACAAAAGCAGAGTTTTTCAAACAGAAATTACGTACTGTCGCAATTAGGCGATCAATTTAACTTGATCATACTCTCTGGCAATCATAAAATTCAACCTCAGTACCCCAATGCATACTTTAATTAAATCATTGTCAAAAAATTTATAATAAAAAAACTGTAGCCTTCTGAATACATAAAAAGATACAGAGATACACACACTTAATTACTATAGCTCGGAAAAAGAAAAACTTTTTCCAAAATAAGAATATGATCAACCAAAAAGAAAAAAAATTGAGTGAAAAAGAGACGAAATTTGAATGAAGAAGAAGAGAGAAAAAAACAGCAGCACGAGGAGGAAGACGATGGAGAGGAGATGAATTACCGGAAAGCTGTAGCCTGTGGTGTGACCAGTAAGCTGAGTTGAACTTGGACCTTTGGTTATGGCGGAGAGAGAGAGAGAGAGAGAGAGAGAGAGAGGTTTAGGAAGAAGGGCTGTGGGCAGGGTTTTAAGAACCTCTTTCTTATGTTAATTACTCAAATAATACTTTGTTAAAAATTACAAAACATAAGAAGGTATAATTTTAGTCCGACTAAACTTCTAAAGAGTTTTATTTTTTATTTTTTGATAAGGTTTATAGAGATATAGGAAAAGTTACAAGACAATGACCAAAAGTTTATTGATCCCATTATTGTATGCATTATAACATTTTGTTTTCCTTTTCACTATAATTTGATCTGAAAATATTTAAATTGAAAGTGACTTTTAATTAGTACTCAATAATTGAGAGTAAGCTTTGAAGATTATGCTATTCTCCATGCCTTTCACATTTGTAGTTCGGATAGTTTTTTTGCTATCTTTTGTACTGTTGTAGAGTGCTTCTATTTTATAGAGCATCTGCTCTAACAAAAAATAAGTAAAATAATTGAGGCTAAGCTAATGGATGTATAAGTTGGACGACTTCACTTTTATATGTGGAGAGGCTCGCCTAATCCTTTAAGCCTTAATCCACTTTTGCTTCTGTTAGTTCTCTTCATGGAATAAAATCTGTGGCTTTCTATAAATATAAAAGAAATAATTGATTTGAAATTAAAAATTGGAAGTATCATCTTCTTGGCTTCATACAGAACTTGTGAAGTTTCAACATGAATTAAAGAACAACCAAATTCTGCGGCACGGTTAGCATAAAGTCTTCAACTCATGAACGTGAAGAACCAAATTAAAAAAAAATATTTTGCATAAACCTTGGACTGGTGTAGCCTTTGTAAGTCGACTTGAATTAAAAGCCATAACCTCTAACGAATCTGATTCCGCTATGACTATGAATTAACAATTTATTCTGTTTATGTTGACAGATTACAACCTGATAACAAGGTGTTTATAAAAAATAACAAGGCTTATATGTCCTCTTGTTAATTAAAAAATATGATAATTTCTAAAGAATATTAAAGAATAAATAGGGGTGTTAGTCGTCTGAATTTTAGGTGTGCTTAATGATCTTGGCTTCAAATTGTGCATATGCGTGTGAGTTCCCCACCCCCTTCTCCTAACTCGGGCCAAAAAATATATATTTGTTTTGGGATTTTGCATAGAACCTAAAGATTTAAGAGTTAGACAGAAATAATTGGCATGGCTAGCATGATATGTCTTGTTCTATCAATTTCTAAATTGAATGAAAAGTTGAGGTCAAGTAACTTAAATTAAAGAAATTTTGGAAAGGCTGGAGTTGGACTAGTTGATTGTGTTCGTGTTCTTGTACTCAAGTTCGATCCCTTACTAAAAAACATATTAATTACTGAAAAGAGAAAAAGACTTTTTGGGATAGCCATTACTCGTTTTTTTTGGGGGTCAATTCTTAATTGAACAGGCACATTTATGATGTCATGGTTAGATATTATACACGACGATGCCAACTTGTAGCAGCTGAGTTGAGTTGAGGCCAACTAAATTGGCTTTCAAGTTTCCACATACTTATCCAAGTCGCCAATTGATGACAAAATCCACGTCATCAATAAAACAAAGGCACCAAGAATAAAGTTGGATATATTGATTCTCCATTCACCTTTCATTAACTTTTTATTAGTCACGTACAGAGGGTATTTTCAATTTTAACATCAAAGGATTTAACTTTAGAGTTGAAGATGTCAAATACCAAATATTAAATTTAAATTTGATGGATGATGTAGTAATTTGACATTTACACAGTTTTACACTCCACCCGATATGTCAAATAAATAATTATTGTAATAATCAAATCATTTAAGATAAATAAAGAAAAAAAAAAAAAAAAAAAAAAAAAATAAAAAAAAAAACAACTATCTTTTAAAATAATAAAATATTTATTTGACATCTTGCTTTTGGGATGTCAATAATAACATCTCAACCTTCAACCTTCATTCCACATCAGCTTTGACACATCGGTTGGAGTGATGTGAGATGTTATTTCTAGCCGTTAAATGTCTATGTGACACTTTCGACACATCAGTTGGAGATACTCTAATACAACTTTCAACACACAGAGCGCCCAGCATCATTTATCCGAAAGGAAAGCATGAATCATGATGCCTTTGGCAGCCACCATTCAACATCGTTTTTAGGCATTGGGAGCTTCAATGCAGCAAATGTCATCTGCATCCCGATAACCTTTCTGCCGGTCGGTCATCTGGCAGGGGTTTGTTAACACAATTTCCCTCCTTACATCACTTGTGGCCCTCGAATTGAACACCACCCTCAACACCAAAAACTCACTCGCAGTGAACCCAAACAAAAGAGAGGGTAACAACTCAAAATTTCAGAAAATCAAGCGTATATAATGCAATGGTTGTCAGCCACCATGTACAAGAACATACGGAAGACATGAAGAACCACAGAAACATGCACATCCAGCCACTAATTGAATAACAGCACACAAAGAATCAAGACGTCATACAGAACTAAATGTCTGAAATTGTGCAACTTGCATATTTATCTATCATAATAAAAACAACTAGAAACCCAGCAACATCTAGTCGACCCATTTTTCACTTAACGCATTTCCACAATCATTCAATTTAAAAGAAATTCAGCTTACAGCCACAGCAAAAAGTCAAGGCAAGCTTCTAATAATGATGGCGACCATTTCAATACTTATTTTACATTTCCTAGAGATGTCAAGAACACTATTTTCCCGACAAAGCTAGGGAATTTAGCATAGGACACGAGACAAACCACATTTTTTTTTCATTTTGTGGGGGAAATTCAACCCTCCAAACTCAAAAAAGAAAGAAACAGAATAAAGAAGTACAGGCCAAAGAAAGCCATATTAGTCTAGTGGTATTTCCCTCCACCTTGGTAGAAGAGGTTCAAAGTTTGAAATTTGATAAGAAAAAAAAACTGTGTATCTAGGAAATCCAACACATCCACGTAGGGACGCTGATAGCTCAGTCACGAAAGAGCATATAATTCTTAGGAGGTCATTCCATATCTATTGGAACCAGGAAAGAGCAAAGACTGAAACCTGCCTAAAAAACAGCAGATATAGCTCAACCATAAGTTGAAAATGAGTATGTCAGTCAACCTACACCAAACAATCTAAAAATAAATAATAAAAAAAGGAAAGGAGAAAGCTACATCATCACACTGGATACAATGGATAGACCAACAGTGTCAAAATCGCTGCACTAGAGGATAACTACATAGAAATTGAACTGAGATGCAGCACAAGGTCTACTAAGAAATCAAAAAACCATGATAGACCAAAAAGCTGTCATATAAAAAACTAAGCAGAAACAACACAATGCACAAAGCTGGCCCTCTCACCCACCCATCCCCATAAAAAATAAAATAAAAATATTCATGTCCTTTCAAATGAACACCTCCCAACAATCAACCAAAAACCTCCTCTCAAATTGAGAAACACCACATGAACCAAAACATAATAAACCGTCCATCAAAACTCAATTGCAGTCAATGCTACACTCACTTTCAGAAAGTCCAACAAAGACAGCTAATCATAAAGGCTTGATGTATGTTCTGTCATTTTCACAATCAAGATTTCTACTGTCACCAACACAACAGAGCTTTTTAGTCAACAACCAGAAGCCTACTATGTTCCGCTGCAACAATATTACCACAAAATATAAGCAATGTCTATAAAAAAATATACATATCACACAAGGCTAATCTTGACCTCCTCTGATGAATAATCAAACCCTTAGATATTTATCAAAGTATAAAAATAGAGGCGAAATGAAACCTCACAATGAATAAAAGAACAAACTCACAAATAAACACAATGCAGTTATAGAGACAATATGGTCAAGACATCTGATAAATAGGAAACCAAAATTCCTGCATTGGGTTTAAAAACCAACGGAAAACAATTACGCTTGTTCATAAAAAATATGGGTAGGGAATAACCTCACCAGCAGAATCAGAACCGTGTACATTTAAGATTGTTACATGAGTGCGCATTTCTAATACAAAAATAACAGCAGTAATAAACTAGGTAGCAGCCACCTTGAAGAGCTCCATAAAAACAAAGTCACACCAATAATCAAATAAACATGTCAGCGAAACAACGGCCATACATATTTTCTCGATGTAAAAGAAAATGTAAATCTGCAATTATAAAAACAAAACTATACTTTATATTGAAAAAAACATAACTCACATAACACATCAGTACCTGACAGAATACAAAAGACTAATCTAATTTAGTCACTTTGGCTACCACAACTCAGAAACAACCTACATCTTAAAAGGTTCAGATGATGTGAGGAAGAGGCGATAAAAGCACAGCTAATACAATCATCAAACCAGAGCATATATCTGCAATCACGCAATCACCAGAACCAGATAAAGCATCAGCGCCCAACAAGCGGTCATACACCTGAATCAAACATCCATCAACAACTCAATCCATCACTCAATTGAACCATAAAGCACGCAAACAGCTCCACTCAACAACCATGCAAAACAGAGTTCACGCAACTTGAAATAAATAACCAAAACAGCACACAAAGCATAGCGACAGCTCATGTGTTACCCAATTTTTTTTGAAAACAGTGGTAAAACAAGAGATAACAACCAAGCTGAGAAATGCAGTCATTAATGACAAGAAAAACCAAAAATGCCCAAAAACAAATTTATGGCACAGCCAAATCAAATTTCTGAAAATGACTTCTATCGTCTTACAACAGGCTACAAATATGTAACAGCGTATTAAAGGGGCAAAATAGTAACATTTACAATAAAGAGTTGGCTCCCATCAATCAAAATCAATTTGATGGTTTAATGCAGAACTTGAGCCCAAGCCAGAGTTTCCATCCAACAAGTACATTTTCATCATATAAATGTGTGCATTGAGAATACATTAAAAAGGAAAGCACCAGCATAATCCCACTACTTTATTAACCCTTCAACTAAATTGTATCACTAAAGATCAACCCATACAATTTCAACTACATTAGCCTCAATGTCTAAAGCCAAAATTTATATGTCACCTCCAAATAATTCAATCACTGTTCACATCTGAAACCTTTTTATATTTATTCAAGAATACTTATATCGAGAGACAATCAAAGAATGGGATGAAAACTACACACTGAGAAAACTCCAACCCCACACAAAGCTCATCAGGCATGTAATACCATGATCACCACATTTGAACGTAAAATTATGTTACGATGTTGAATCAATCCCATCACATCCCAAATGAAAACTATACCACCAGACACAAGAAGAAAAGCATCCCCCAGCGTCCCAGAAAAAGAGACAATTGGGACCTCAATACAAATTAATTTAAAATAAAATGTGCATGCAACCTCATCCATACTCGAACAAAATCACTGAACAAAAATGTTTGACAACACAATCAACAGAACAAAGCATCTCTTAAAGACCCAGCATCCCAACATCCCTACAATCATCCATATGTAAGAGGTAAAAAGTACAAATGAATGCATCATCCAGTTTTATGAAATACATTAGTTAAGTAAAAGTAGCAAACACTACAATAACAGAAATATGTACTTCAACTACCACAGACTAGAACAATAAGCATTGTGAAACTCATTAAAACTCAAACTCAGTCATACGAGCTTACCAGAAATTAAAACATAGGTTAATATAGGCACAAGACAGGCTACATGATCCTCCTTGTTTTTGTTTTTTTTTGACGAATTAGATTCAGTTGGCAACTCCATTGGTTTTGGTTGTTTACTACATATGATCTAACAAGATAGATTATAACATAACTGTTACATATTTTATCTTATAATTATGCTCAGATTGAAACTTTAGAGGCAACACTAGGAGGATAGGATACAGAGAAGTGCATGAAAATATTTGACACAAAAAAAACACTCATAACAAAAGAAGACAAAGAAAAGAGAAATACTACAACCAAGGGAAAAATTATGCAAAAAGAACACACTTCGCAGCAAAACCAAAGTGAATTTCAACAGTCACAAAGACAAGGAAATTCACAAACAGAGACGCCGTGGATCCTAGGCAAGGCACGTGTAACAAAGAACAAATGCAAGAACTGACGCAAAGGAACCATTATAAAGCAACAACCACGCAAGCCACAATGCACAGTGATCGTAACAAAGCACCAAATAATGCATAAAAAAATCACTAGCACAATATTAAAGCAACGAAAATACCTTAGTAATAAGGTGGCACATTCGGGTACATCCCCCCTGGCGGAACCCTAGGCATGGGTGATGTTCCAGCTTGCTGGTGGTGCTGATTCTGATAGGACGACAAGCCGTAGTGCCCGCTCTCTGGGAACCTACTAGAGGGCAACCCAGCTGAACTTGGCGCCAATCCATACAAAGACGACCCAGTTCCCACACCGCCACCGGGAGCTCCACCACCAGACGCAGCACCACCAAGTCCACCACCAGCTCCACCCAACCCACCAGCGCCACCTAAACCATAACCCACCGAACCAGGCCCGCCGTAATTACCATAAGGCCCACCCAACCCGGCCCCATACCCACCACTAGCACCCAAACCCGAATTCACCTGATTTCCAACAGACGACAGCCCGGGGCCACCTAATGGATGATGACCCAACGGAGGTGGGCCCTGGTGCCCACCGGAAAACCCACCATACGACCCAATCCCACCGGGCCCGCCATACTGCCCGGCAATCGAAGACGGTTGTGCCAGCCCCATACCGTCCCCGTGCGCATTAGGGCCACTCCCAGGTCCTTGACCCTGACCGGGCCCGTCTGGCTTGCCCTTTTTCCCATCAATCGCCAATTTACAAGTCAATTGCCTCCCCTCGATGTTCTTCACCGGATCGACCAGCGCAGCCTGAGCGCCCTCCGGAGTCTTATACACAAACAGCGCGTACCCTTTGCACTTCCCAGTCTGCTTGTCAAACCCTAGCGGCCCCTCCTCTATCTCCCCATAGAAAGAAAAATGCGCCAAGAGCTTATCCGCCGGCATGTCGTACGGCACATTGGCTACATAAATCTTCCGCAACGACACGTCGGCTGCGTTGTTGGAGCTGACATTCGAGCTCGAATTCCCTGCGGCCGCGAGCTGAGTCACGGTCATGCGACCGTCGATCTTCTTGCTCGGCTCTTTTAGGGCTAAGAGAGCGCCGTCGACGTGTCTAAATGTGACGAAGCCGTAGCCCCTGGATTTTCCGGTGACCTTATCGAGGATGACGATGGCCTCCTCGAGCTCGCCGTAGGCGGAGAACAGAGCGCGGAGGCCCTCGGTGGTGGTGTCCCAGCCGAGGCCTCGGATGAAGAGCTTGCGCTGCGAGGCGTCGAGATCGGCGATCGATCGGACGGCGTCAAGGACGTCCACGTGGCGGGTGACGGCGTCTTGGAGAATGTCGATGAGTTGATCGGGGTTGAATCGCTCAATGAGCTTGCGAGCGTCTTCGGGGGAGAGTTTAGGGATGGAGGAGGGGTCGGTGTCCAGAACGACGCCGTTCTCGTCCAGCTTTCGCTTCTTAGATGGATCCATTGGGAGAGAGACAGAAGAAGATAAACCCTAACCCTTTGATGAGAAACAGAGAGGGAGGGTTGTGAATCTTGTGACTGCGTATTCGGAGGGGTTTGCTTTGATTCTTCTGTGTGGTCCCCTTTTATAAGTTGGTTTGCACAAGGGATGGGCCGCTGTCAAAGAGCGGCGTTAGGTATGTTGGGCTTCTTAAGAGCTCAAATCGATATAGCTTGCTCCCTTTAACTCTACTTGTTGTAATGGCCCATCAGCCCATCATCATTACAACGGGCCTCTTTCGAGTCCAATTTCCCCTTTCCTAAGCTCAATCGGCGCATTGTTGGCCAATTCCCTGATATCTTTAACATCTAGGGCTAGTGATTGACTAGCACGGTACTGGAACTTGGTTTGTAAGATGTCGTGAGTTTATTCTTGATGAGATCTCGTTCTCTAGTTCTTTACTGGTTTCAAAGTGCATGGTGTGACTGCACTTATACAATTGTTTCTCTCTTGATGAAATTTATTTTTATGTGTTTGTTTCTCTCTTGATGAAATTTATTTTTATGTGTTTGTTTCTCTCGTGTTCATGTTTTGTCTCCCTTTAAATGGTAAGGCCATAATTTTTGTCCACATTATTAAACAACATAATGTGTAATTTTAGTCCACATTATCATGGGAGACGAGCACATGTGCGACTCATCTTAGCAAAATCTGTATGGTATATATATTTGGGCCAAGGCCCAAGCCGTTTTGTTTTGTCGGAAGGGCGGGTACCAATTGAAAGCTCTAAAATCCGCGTTTTTTTGCGAAACGGGTCTGGTTTGCCTGCACCCTCGTCTCCCTTATCTTCCACCTTGAAATGCCGTTATTTCACCTGTAAGTTGGCTCTTCTCTCTCTCTCTCTCTCTCTCTAGAAGATTAACGCATTTCTTGAAAGCGGTTTCCTCCACATTATGTTTCTCTTCTTGCCTATTTTCTCAATCACCTCCAAAAATTGAGACTTTAAAAGAAATTAGAGGAAAAGCAAAGATTGTGAATGCTTCAGTCTAGTTTTATACTTTTCCTGTTTTGTATTCTTAATTGATTATTCCCTTATGAAAATGAAAAATGAAAGCAAAAAAAGGGGGGGAGGGGGGGGTGGTTTATATCTTCGGTAAGTGGCAGTTTCATGAATCAAAATTTGTCCATGCTTCTTAGGTGCTATATAATTGGGTTTATATGCAAATGTCAGAAATTTGCATCAGAAATGAGGTTTCCTAGGTGATATTAGTGGTGACATATGCAATACTGATAATTGAAAAGAGTGGTCAATGTTCAAAGGATTGTTCTACTGCTAGCATGAAGATTTGAGTTCAAATCCCTAGTGCGGCTGGTTCTATTTAGCAATGCTAAGTTCAATAGGGTGATTTCATCATGCAATTAACATGAAGTTTATCAATTTGCATACTTGCTGAGTAGCTGGCAATGCTTAGGGTGGGGAATTGTCACACAGTCGATGTTTTTATATTTCATCAAACTGAGTTGTTACCAGTACAGTTATTCTACAAGTAAAGTTGCCGCTCAGGTTTCTGTTCCTCATTTCGACAACACTTCTACGATGGCTATGTAATAAAATACCAACCATGTTGGCATTCTGGTGAAGTTCTTGGACAAATGGTCTCGCATGTAGTTAGTATTTGTCCCTTGTATGCATGATAATTTGCTTGGTCGATTTAAAAGTCCATGCATATGGAGGGTTTGCATCTGATTAATATTGCGGTAGAGTTATTTCTCTCCTGCATGTATGGTGCATTTGTTATTAAGTGATTTATATACACATATGTATGTTTGCATTGATATATAGGTTGATAATTTTAATAAATGAAACCGGCTTCAGATTGATCTGGAATTTGTATAACCACCGTCCTGATATCACATTTTTGAGTTTCTGTCAGGAGATTGACTGCTTCACACTCAACTCTCAATCATGTTCCGCTGTTTGGTTATGTGGTGGAACCCACTCACTTCCCACAGAACACACAGCATTTGAATTATCATTTACCTGTTTTGAAGAATTGGCCTCCCTTGTGTACTTTTGTTCATTCATTCCCTAGATTTCATTCTTTGGGAAACATGCACATCAGTGCTGACATGGCTGAGAAATTTGATATTCTCAATGTCTGCCATTCTATACTTGGCATGAATTCATATGAGAAGCAAAGCTCGATCGGGGAGGTTCAATCAATGCATCATACTGACTCTCCAGACAGTATTAGCAAGGAAGAGAAGGAAAGACAGAGACGAAAAAAAATAGGACTAGCCAACAAAGGGAGAGTACCATGGAACAAAGGCAGGAAACATAGTTCGGGTAACTAGAGATAGAGTGTAATTTTTTTTTTATTGGATTTTAAATCTCATACATTTGGTTGAATCTAAAGTTGCGATCTTCCATGTAATGCAGAGACTTGTGAGCGAATCAAACAGAGAACAATAGAAGCCTTAAAAGACCCAAAGGTGAAGTCATGTAAGATGCAATAAGTTTTATGATATTTTCTTCACGATATGGGTCTTTTTGAATTAGAATGTAAGAGTTTATATCAAAAGGTGAAATAACAGAATTGTTTTGAAAATGGTTGGAAGTTTGTCAATCATATTTTTGGATTCCCTTTTCAGTTAAAAGCACTACACAACTCATGTAAGGAGAAAAGAAAAAGGCTTTCATTTTTCAATCAACTGTTTTTTTAATTAAAAAATTGCTCTTTCGTTCACCCTCAATTGGTTTCAGGTTAGAAAGAAGATGTCTGAGCATCCCCGGCCTCATAGGTACACTCACAATCTTTGTCAGATATAATTAATTAGCTGTGAAACATAAGAACTTTGTTTTTCTGTGACAGAAACAAAAGAACTTTATAAATTAATTAGCTGGGTTGTCGTTTTCAAATACCAAGAGGTAGGTTTATGCTTTGACTGAGTGGAAAGTAAATTGTAGTTTACAACCCAATGTCAAGTTAGTTATATGCACAGAGATGGAAAGAAAGACAAATGCTGTGATTGATGCCTATTTGATGACTCTCAAAATGATTACATGTACAGAAGTCGGGAACTTAATGCTGTAAACTTGTCTGGAGGCACCTTTAAGATTGAACGAGTTCTAACAGTCGCTTCTTGTTAAAATGGTTATTAGCCCTGTATGGGCCATTGAATAATGTTTGCGTAATCATAAGAAGTACGGTGATATAATGTAAAGGAAAGCAAGCGCCCTAAACTATATGTTTATTTCTTTCTCGAATTCTCCTGTGAGAATAGTTTGGCAAGTTAATCAATCATTCATCAAAGGAAGAGGGGAATAAATAAACTTGTGAAACCCCTTAAATGGGCCTCAGATTGTATTATGAACTTTGGATATCTACTTGTAAGCTTTATCTTCCTTGCCTTTTTTGGGAGGGAGGGAGAGAGATAACTTAGTTTAAGGTTTTTTAGGCCTGCTGAACAAGTAAACGTGATTTTTTTGGTTTCATGAACATAATGTGACCAGTAGAAGCCAATAGTTGAAGGTTGCAGCGCATCTTTGATGAAAGATACATTTTCTATTTTAGTTTCTTTGTTTAATGTTATTTCTTGCTCTGAGTGACTGAGTCCAAGGCAAAAAATTTGACAAAAAAATGGACTGTTATGTAGTGCCCAGTCCAAGGCAAAAATGCGTTCTTCACTTAGACGTGTTTGGGGACAGCGTTTAAAATGGAAACGGTTAAGGGAGAAATTATTTCTGTCATGGGTTGAAAGCATAGCAGAGGCGGCTAAGAAAGGTGGTAGCGGACAGCAAGAGCTCTGTTGGGATAGCTATGAGAAGATAAAGCAAAAATTACATCTCCAAGAGCTTCGGCTGGCTGCTGAAAAGAAAAAGGAAAAGGCGAAGGAGAGGGCAAAGAAAAGGGCAATGACAGCAGAACAAGTTAAAGAAAAAAATATGGCAAGGATTGCTCGTGAGAGGAGAAAAGATGGAGAAGTCTATGAAGATACTGAAGAGTTGACAGTTCTTCAAGGGCGGAATTGTAAGCAGAGATTAATGACGGTAATTGCTCAGTAGCCAAGACAATACTAAATTATAGCTAGAAGCAATTATGTAGTTCACCATATATAAATTAGAAATACATGACATATCATATCACTCACAAACTTAGCATAAATAAATAGTATCGCTAAGCATACAATGTTAAGTTCATGAGTAGGTCACAGAGAAGTGAGTTTTGGAGGGGGAGGAGGACTGTTCAAATTACAGATGAAATCTGTTTAACATTGCACCATAATGGTTTGATATATGTAAAGAAACTGACGGTGGATAGAAAAAATGGGTAATTATTGCTTTTCATATTTGAGACAGGGCTAAGGTTAAAATCTTGTATATTGCAAAATTATTTTCTTGATTCATAAACCAGCTTGCAAAATTTCTTCTTCTTGAGGCCAATTTGAAATCCGCACTATCTCACCCTCTGTTCTTGATCTCTTGGCTTTAAACATTTAGGGAACCTTGCTAGATCAGCATATTAATTATTTTCCTTCATGTTTTCTAATCTGTTGTTTTTAAATGGCATCACCTTTTCCAATGTTGTTTGTTTGAGTGTGTTACTGAATTCTCTTTCTTCTTAATAGTTTGAAAGAAAAACTTCAACAAATGGACAAGCTGCTGCTCGAGGGGGCATAGTCATGTCGCATATCTCAGCTTTTGAGAAACTGGATCTAGAGCTTATAAAGAGACAAAAAATGCAGAAAGAATTTTCATTTGCAGACCAGATCAGAGCTGCCAAAAACAAAAGAATGGAATTAACTATGGAAGCCTCATCCTCTGTTCATGCAGCCAACAAGAAACCAGGGGAGTATGCTTAAATTTCCACATTCCTAGCAGCAGTTGAAATAGAGGTAAGAGGTGTATGGAGGGCAACTTTTTTTCTTGTTTAAAGAGGGACAATTTGCTTGTTTTTCTGTAGCTTAATGTTCATTTGTTGATGGTTTGTAGGAAGAGAAACTATCACTCTTGGACGCATTTTTCCAACTAGTCGCAAATGTCCGGTCATTTGTTTTCAGGGCTTCATTCCAATGTTATATGGAAGAGGTCCATCTGGCGACAGTGCAGTGTTTTTATGTGAAAAATTTGTTAGGTGAATTTGTCATGACCAGAAATTATATCATCCGCTTTCAAGCACAGGAAATATCTGATTTGCCTTGCCAATATCCATGCTGGTTGTGATATTGATTTTAGACAGTCGAGTTAAATTGCAAATGTCTTACAACTTGTTTATTGCAGAGTTGTTATAAGCTGTATAGGATGTGTCATGATTTTTTAACAGTAGTAAAAAACCTCACGGATTTGGTTCTTCTCTTTTAGTTTGTAAACAATTTTATTGTTCTGCAGGGGTTGTGTGATGGATTCAAACTCCACACAATAGAGCCCCAAGGTTTTGTAAGTTAGACATGTTAGAAAGGAAACCATAAGTTCAGAGATTCGTAGTTTGTTTTCTCCGAAATAAATTGGACAGCAGCATCATATATTATCTTTTCTTTTCTTCAAATCTATCAGAAACAGTGTACTGAGGAGTTCATAACGATGTTGTAGATTTTTTCTTGCAGCTGAGCTGGGTTATGGTATTGTATTTTCACTTGTCTGCATGTTTAGGGTTTCTTTTACCCCATAACTTTATGAACCGAACAACATATATCCTTTAAATTTGAGTCCGGCTACTTTGAAAGGAAGAAAGAAAAAAAAGGGAAAAGGAAACTGAAAATACAAAATAAAAATTACAATATTAATAATATATATCTAGTCTCTAAGCCTTCTTTTCATCGTGTTGATGCAGATTGTTATGAGCCTATCTTGTAGATTGTCTATGAATCGAAAATACGCATATCTCCATGTGTTGTTAATAACTACAGAACCACAGACTACCCAAAATCCTACTATGAACCCCAACACAGCAAAAATATAAAACCATGGAAGTTGATGATGCCCATTGCCCTCGTCTTTGTTGTTCTTGTTATCTGCATCCATGTCCTTATTTGGTATGCACTCATTTAGAAGTGGTGTACCACAAAGTTTTAGATTCCCCTCAAAGGCAGAAGCGTCGAAGCTTTGGAGCTGGGTGCCTGTTGGTATTGGTCCTTCAAGATTATTGTAGGAGACATTAAATTCTCTCAAGAAATTAAGGTTCGCCAATGACAATGGGATTATTCCAAACAAGTGATTCATGAAGAGGTTCAAAACCTCTAAATTTTTTAGGTTAGATATTTGGTCTGGAATGACTCCAGAGAAGTTGTTAGATTGAAGATCCAACTCCTGGAGAAGCTGCAATTGGCCAATCTCAGCAGGTATATAACCACTAATGTTATTGTTAGATACGTCTATCATTGCTGGAAAAGAAGACCTTTTTTGGGGTAGAAAACGATGATTTGGACCTTTTATGGTGGTGAAGACAGGCAATTCAAATTCATATTGGTCTTCTACTTGAGATGCAATATTAGGTTCATAAATCAGCCTTGGTAGTCTACAAAGTTGCTTCGGAAATTCACCTGAAATTTGGTTGTTTGACAAGCCTATATGAAATAGTCTAGGAAGGGTCCCCAACCAACTTGGAATTGGCCCTGTGATTTGATTACTACCCAAGAGCAATATCTCTAAATTCTTGAGCTTTGATAACCATACAGGTATTTGACCAATGAGGCCACAATGACCCAAACTTAAGAGCTGAAGATTTTGGAATCCGTCAAAATCAACCATTTCATCATCAAATGGCATTTTCCCACCTTTAAAGGCACTAGTAAGCTTGAGTGCGTGAAGACTTTTGCAACTCATCAATATCTTGATTGCCCCTGTGAGGTTGGTGAATCGGTTGTAACCAAGCGAGAGGAAGGACAAGGATTTCAATGAAAGAATCTCAGCTTCTATTTGTCCCTTTAGATGATTTCTACCCAATGCAATGGCTTTTAGGGGCTTACATGAGTAAAGGCTTACTGGAACTGTACCAGTGAAGTTATTGTTCCTTAGATCCAGTTTAGTAAGTTGACTAAGTCTGGAGAAATCAAGAATGGAGATATCTCCTTCCAAGTTGTTGGATGCCAAACGCAGTTCCACAAGGTTTGTGCAATTCATCAACGATGGGGGCAAATCACCTTCTAAATTGTTCAAATCAAGGATCACGAATTTCAACTTGGAGAGCTTCCCCAAATTGGGAGGAAGCTCGCCGCCAAAATGATTAAAGTAGAGGTCAAGGATTGCAAGGTTGGTAAGGTTGGCAATTCTATCACTAATGGCTCCATGTAGTGAATTGACAGGTAATGAAATTTCTTCAAGTTTGGTAGCATTATAGATATCTTCTGGAAGTAATCCAGAGAGGTTGTTATGACTGGCACGAAAAACCTGCAATTTGGAACACTTTCCTAGCCCAAGAGCAAGGTTGCCACTAAATAGATTGGAAGAAAAATCCAATAGCCTAAGGGAGGGAGAAGAATGGAGACAAATAGAGGACGGAACATACCCGGTGAAGGTATTGTTGCTGACATTGAAACTTGTCAAGTTGCTAGCTTGTTGGAAGAATGAAGATGGAATTGCACCAAAGAAGAGATTACTGGACAAATCGACTGTCTGGATATTGCTGGATGGTAGAGAAAGTGGTAGCTCTCCGGAAAGACGGTTATAGCTCAAATCAAGGATCTCAAGTCGATTCAAAGACAAGAAGAACTGAGTTTCAAGTGAACCATATAGTGAATTGTGGGAAAGGTTCAAGTGGGTGAGATGTGTGAGATTTCTAAGTGAAGAGGGAGGGATACCTCCTTTGAGCCGTTTGGAAGGCAAGAGCAAATGGGTGACCGAACCATCTTGATCACAAGTGATGCCCTTCCAGTGACAACAATCAAGGGATGTCCAATTTAAAGGAGGAGAAGATAGAGTGGAGGCAAAGGACATGAGGGAGCTGCGTTCAGTTGGTTTGCAGGCATGTATATTTGTAGATATAATGTAAGGGAATAAGAGGAAGAGAAGGAAGGCATGAGCCATTAGGCTATAAGGCTGCACTAGCATGTTGCTTTGTGTATGTGGTTGCTCACTGCAGGTGTTTATATATCCATGCTTGAAAACGATGCAAATTTAAAGTCCACAACTCCTTCAAAGTACTCAAAGTTGTTGCCTGACATATGGTGATAATTATTCATGGAATTTGGAAGACATATTGTGTTATTTTTCTTGCCAGACAGTGCCAGTCAAGCCTAATCCAACATTATACGTTGACGTCCTATCCATTTTCAAAGTTGTTTTCAAAAAATCTCACGGATGATATTTTTCTTCTAAGAAAAGTCAAAATTGGAGGATAGTCATTCTTTCCAAGTTGTTTGCCCCACAAGAAGGCAACTACTATAATAAAATATTGATAGCAATAAAATGAGTCGTGGAGAATGACTCTAGGAGACGGGCGTTTGGACACAAGCACTGAGAGAGAAAATGATACATACAATTGCTTTTTGGGTTTTGTCTAGATTGTTTAATTGATTGAGGGAGGACCAATCGATGAAAACGGTTGGGAGGGGGGGGCGGGCGGGGAGAGAGAGAGAGAGAGAGAGAGAGAGACATAATATTTGACTCCAATTACTTTGAAAAACCACCAGAATTGAACATATAGGCTGCTTCATGATGGGCTTTGCCCTGTTTTTCAACGAAATGGGAGTAAAAAGAGCGGATACTTGATTTGGTACTGACATGCCCCTGGAGTTATTCAAATGCATCTATTTTGCTAACTTAAGGGGTGTATTCAATTAAGATTTTAAAAGAGTTTAAAAGTTTGGGTGTATTCAAATTAGCTAACTTAACAATGTGGCTCAAGTACAACCTCTTCATAAATTGCCAAAGACAGAAAGGCTATTAATAACTCTTGAATTTTCTTTCTTATCTTTAGTGATGCAATGGCTGCTTCATCCGATCATTCACAACTGGGGCGATTTCCCTTCCCTTTGAGCTAAGTGATTAGTTTTGCAGATACTTCATATTGGTAACACATGTTTATCATAGAGATACTAATATATTAACAGACAAGTGAGAGAGTAGTTCTTATCATTTTTGTGCGGGATATAACTCATGCTCCCATACACAAATATGTCCCTAGCATGAGCTCCTTCACTCCAAAATGAAATTCTGAATGTCTTAATTGGCTTAAAAGCCCTGAACGCACACCTACATATGTACGTGTTTCTTCCTTATGTCTATAGACAAAGTCCACAAATTTTTGTCAGCGTATGAAATGCATGATCAGTTAGGATATCAAATTGTTACCCTCGTTTCGACCGGGGCGGCCGACGGAAGGAACTTTTGGTCCTTCTTCTTTTGGATGCGGGGCGTGCCACCACCAAGCCCCGAAATTGGGCTTGAGTGGAATGAGAATAGATGGATGTGTTGCGCTTCTAACTTCTGACCAAACGATTGATCGGCCAAGCAAGGAACCTCTTCTTGGCCTAGATTCTTTCACTTTCTCGGGCTCGAGAATGGTTAGGTTTCGTACGGATGTTTTTGTGATTTTTATGGTTTAAGTAAAAATAATGCAATTAAACTAAATATGCGTATAAACGTAAAGACAAGAATTGAAATGCGATAAAATAAATCAAAGCGATAGATAAAGCAAGAATAAAATAAAAGCGATAAGAACGATAAGAACGAAAAGGAAATAAACTTGAAGTTAAATTTAATCGAAGTGCGATAACAATTAAATGTAAAGAAATCAAAATAAACTTGAATTGAAATGACAAAAAATATAAATCGAACAAGAATTTAAATGACAAGGGAAATATAAACTTACACTAGAAATATGAAGAACTCACTACACTAGGTGCTTGAAAAATAAAATCCTAAGTCTAGGAAAAGAAAAGTGCGAGACGAAAGATAGGTTTGTTTGTCTGATGTTGTGTGTCTGATGTCTTCATGGAGCAAGGTTTATATAGGGCACTCGTCAGCCCATGGGCTGGCCATTGAATGGCCAAATGTCAACTCTTCTTAAAAATCATTCCTTTCGAGGCCCTCCTAAATCCGTGAGATTGTATTGAAGGAGATATTCTGACATGCTTGATTCTTCCTTGTTTTGGATCATTCGGAGTCATTCCTTGATTTCTTTCCTTGTGAGGCCCTCCGTCATGTGCACATAATCTTCCGAAAATCTTGGGCTTGAAATTGGTGGCTTGAGCTAAAACCTTTAATCTCTTGGCATAATTTGAGGGTGCCCTTCGTGATCTTTAAATTTCTGAAGCTCTAGAATTAGTCTGCTGAGGAACTTGATTCAATTCTTATTTTCATATATATATATATATAAATATTATACGAATCAACAATCCAAACTACTGGCCCAGCCACTATGCATAGAAACATGCATGCTAGAATTCATGCTTGTTGACTTCAATACTCAAAGGGCCCATATGTGTAATATATATATTTATATATATATATATATATAATTTAAACTCTCAAACCCTACAGACTGAAGGCAATAATTCTAACATTTAAACCAAACACAAGTCGGCCACCACTTCCTCAAACTTTCGGCTGCATGTGTGATATTCACTCGCATATATATATATATATATATATATATTATATTATAAGGCAAGGAAGTTACAATTTGCAGAGCCCAGTCACATTTGTGCGCCCAAAAATTCCCATAGCTCCAGTCGCACAGGAAATCCTAAGGCCCAACCTGCCATATCTTGGTTTTCCTTGCGGCCGCATCTTGGCTTCCCATGTTTCGGCCGCAATCCAGCCTCACTTTGACATAGAGCCCGGCCGATATTTCCAACAGCTCCAACATTCTCGGCCGCCAAGAGGTTCCTTGGAGACCCGGCCGAGATTTCCCAATTTCTCCAGCACCTCCTACCGCATCATCTCAACAGCCCGGCCGCATATTCATCTGTCCAGCTCTGCCCATTTTATCCGGCCGCACTAAATTGTGCCCAGCTACATTCGGGCAAATCTCGGCTGCACTAAATTGTGCCCAGCTCCTGGGTTTTCGAAGACAGATGAAATATAGTCGGGCGGCTTGAGAAGCTGGGCACAATTTAGTGCGGCCGGATAAAATGGGCAGAGCTGGACAGATGAATATGCGGCCGGGCTGTTGAGATGATGCGGTAGGAGGTGCTGGAGAAATTGGGAAATCTCGGCCGGGTCTCCAAGGAACCTCTTGGCGGCCGAGAATGTTGGAGCTGTTGGAAATATCGGCCGGGCTCTATGTCAAAGTGAGGCTGGGATTGCGGCCGAAACATGGGAAGCCAAGATGCGGCGCAAGGAAAACCAAGATATGGCAGGTTGGGCCTTAGGATTTCCTGTGCGACTGGAGCTATGGGAATTTTTGGGCGCACAAATGTGACTGGGCTCTGCAAATTGTAACTTCCTTGCCTTATAATATAATATATATATATATATATATATATATATATATGTGAGTGAATATCACACATGCAGCCGAAAGTTTGAGGAAGTGGTGGCCGACTTGTGTTTGGTTTAAATGTTAGAATTATTGCCTTCAGTCTGTAGGGTTTGAGAGTTTAAATTATATATATATATAAATATATATATTACACATATGGGCCCTTTGAGTATTGAAGTCAACAAGCATGAATTCTAGCATGCATGTTTCTATGCATAGTGGCTGGGCCAGTAGTTTGGATTGTTGATTCGTATAATATTTATATATATATATATATATATATATATGAAAATAAGAATTGAATCAAGTTCCTCAGCAGACTAATTCTAGAGCTTCAGAAATTTAAAGATCACGAAGGGCACCCTCAAATTATGCCAAGAGATTAAAGGTTTTAGCTCAAGCCACCAATTTCAAGCCCAAGATTTTCGGAAGATTATGTGCACATGACGGAGGGCCTCACAAGGAAAGAAATCAAGGAATGACTCCGAATGATCCAAAACAAGGAAGAATCAAGCATGTCAGAATATCTCCTTCAATACAATCTCACGGATTTAGGAGGGCCTCGAAAGGAATGATTTTTAAGAAGAGTTGACATTTGGCCATTCAATGGCCAGCCCATGGGCTGACGAGTGCCCTATATAAACCTTGCTCCATGAAGACATCAGACACACAACATCAGACAAACAAACCTATCTTTCGTCTCGCACTTTTCTTTTCCTAGACTTAGGATTTTATTTTTCAAGCACCTAGTGTAGTGAGTTCTTCATATTTCTAGTGTAAGTTTATATTTCCCTTGTCATTTAAATTCTTGTTCGATTTATATTTTTTGTCATTTCAATTCAAGTTTATTTTGATTTCTTTACATTTAATTGTTATCGCACTTCGATTAAATTTAACTTCAAGTTTATTTCCTTTTCGTTCTTATCGTTCTTATCGCTTTTATTTTATTCTTGCTTTATCTATCGCTTTGATTTATTTTATCGCATTTCAATTCTTGTCTTTACGTTTATACGCATATTTAGTTTAATTGCATTATTTTTACTTAAACCATAAAAATCACAAAAACATCCGTACGAAACCTAACCATTCTCGAGCCCGAGAAAGTGAAAGAATCTAGGCCAAGAAGAGGTTCCTTGCTTGGCCGATCAATCGTTTGGTCAGAAGTTAGAAGCGCAACACATCCATCTATTCTCATTCCACTCAAGCCCAATTTCGGGGCTTGGTGGTGGCACGCCCCGCATCCAAAAGAAGAAGGACCAAAAGTTCCTTCCGTCGGCCGCCCCGGTCGAAACGAGGGTAACACAAATATTTTGATGATAAATGATTCAAGGCATGAGGGCGCTCACCATACGCTCCTTAATATCAACAAGCAAGGACCAAGTTAAAAAGACATGAAAACAAATCGCGACTTCAATATTCAAACACAACCTTTGAGCCCCCACATGCCAAAGCACAGCAGTAAGGGAATTCCAATCCAAAACATAGACAGAGACATCAATCCTTCACAATTGACAACCGTATTACATGAATATACATCAGTTTTCATATCTTTGGACTGAGTATGCAAAATAAAAAGTACAATATTAATAATATATATCTAGCCTCTAAGCCTTCTTTTCGTCGTGTTGATGCACACTGTTACCATCACATAAAGCCTATCTTGTACATTGTCTATGAATCGAAAATACGCATATCTCCATGTGTTGTTAATAACTAAAGAACCACAGACTCCCCAAAATCCTACTATGAACCCCAACACAACAAAAATATAAAACCATGGAAGTTGATGATGCCCATTGCCCTCGTCTTTGTTGTTCTTGTTATTTACATCAATGCACTTATTTGGTTCGCACTTATTTGGAAGTGGGACACCACAAAGTTTTGGATTCCCCTCAAAGGCAGAAGCGTTGAAGCTTTGGAGCTGGGTGCCTATTGGTATTGGTCCTTCAAGATTATTGTACGAGGTATTAAATTCTCTTAAGAAATTAAGGCTCGCCAATGATGATGGGATTATTCCTGACAAGAGATTCATGGAGAGGTTCAAAACCTCCAAATTTTTCAGGTTAGATATTTGGTCTGGAATGATGCCGGAGAAGTTGTTGGAGTCAAGATACAACTCTTGGAGAAGTTGTAACTGGCCGATCTTAGTAGGTATATCACCACTAATGTTATTGTTAGATAAGACTATCGTTGCTGCAAAAAAATCCAATATATGTGTTGGAAAATTTTGAGTTGCATTATGCTGCTGTTGCGGCCGTAGATAGGCAATTCAAATTCATATTGGTCTGCTTGAGATGCTATATTATGTCCATAAAGCAACCTTGGTAGTCTACAAAGTGTCTTTGGAAATTCACCTGAAATTTGATTATTTGACAAGTTTATATAAAACAGCCTAGGAAGAGTCCCCAACCAACTTGGAATTGGCCCTGTGATTTGATTGAAACCCAGTTCCAACAGCTCTAGATTCTTGAGCTTTGATAACCATAAAGGTATTTGACCATTGAGGTCAGAACCAGCCAAACTAAAACGCCGAAGATTTTGGAATCCGTCAAAACCAACCATGTCATCATCAGATGGCATTCCCTCACCTTCATAGGAACCAGCAAGCATGAGTGTGTGAAGACTTTTAAAACTCATCAATATCTTCACTGCCCATGTGAGGTTGGTGAATCGGTTGCCACCAAGTGAGAGGAAGGACAAGGATTTCAATGAAAGAATCTCAGCTTGTATTTGTCCCTCTAGATGATTTTTGGACAACCGAATGGCTTTTAAGGACCTACATGAGTAAAGGCTTACTGGAATTGTACCAGTGAAGTTATTGACCCTTAGGTCAAGTTTAGTAAGTTGACTAAGTCTTGAGAAATCAAGCATGGAGATATCTCCTTCCAAGGTGTTGTTTCCAAACGCAGTTCTACAAGGTTTGTGCAATTCATCAAAGATGGGGGCAAAGCACCTTCTAAATTGTTGAAATCAAAGGTCACAAACTTCAACTTGGAGAGCTTCCCCAAATTGAGAGGAAGCTCGCCCCCAAAATGATTAAAGGAGAGGTCAAGGATGGCAAGGTTGGTGAGGTTGACAATTTTATCACTAATGGCTCCATGTAGTGAATTGAAAGGCAATGCAATTTCTTCAAGTTTAGTAGCATTATAGATATCTTCTGGAAGTAATCCTGAGAGGTTATTGTGACTGGCACGAAAAACCTGCAATTCAGAACACTTCCCTAGCCCAAGAGCAAGGTTGCCACTGAATAGATTGGAAGAAAAATCCAATAGCCTAAGGAAGGGAGAAGAATGTTTGAGACAAATAGAGGATGGGACATACCCTGTGAAAGTATTGTTGCTGACATTGAAACTAGTCAAGTTGCTTGCTTGTTGGAAGAGTGAAGATGGAATTGCACCAAAGAAGTGATTGCTGGACAAATCAACTGTCTGGATACTGCTGGATGGTAGAGAAAGTGGTAACTCTCCAGAAAAACGGTTATAGCTCAAATCTAGGATCTCAAGTTGATTCAAAGACAAGAAGAACTGAGTTTCAAGTGAACCATATAGTGAATTGTGGGAAAGGTTCAAGTGGGTGAGATGGGTTAGATTTGCAAGTGAAAAGGAAGAGATACCTCCTTTGAGCCCTTTGGAAGGTAAGAGCAAACTGGTGACCCAACCATCTTGATCACAAGTGATGCCCTTCCAACGACAGCAATCAAGAGATGTCCAATTTAAAGGAGGATAAGATAGAGTGGAGGCAAAAGACAGGAGGGAGTTGCGTTCAGTTTGCTTGCAGGCATGAATATTTGTAGATATAATGCAAGAGAGTAAGAGGAAGGGAAGGAAGCCATGAACCATTAGGTTATAAGCTTGCACTAGCATTTTGCTTTGTGTATGTGCTGTTGCTCACATGTATTTATATATATATATATATATATATATATATGAACAACCATGCTTGTGTTGGCGAGTCCTTACTTAGTTAGGATTTTGGTTCTTTACCATGTTAGGATTTTAGTTACTTACCATTTATCTAGTTATATTATAATTGAGATTTATTTCCTATTATAATTTATATTTATTTTCATTGTAATTTGGATTTATTTCCTATTTTATTTAGGGTTAACACATCTTTGTACTTGTATAAATACCCTCAATATTGGAGAAGAATAATAATATGAGCGTATCTGAATATTTGCCCTACTTTGTTTGACATCTTGAAAACGATGCAAACCACCACCACACAATGCAAATTGAGAAGTCGGGAAACAACAACGACTGAATGCAAATTATTGATATTGAAACCTTTGGGCCACCAGAACGGACTTGGCCTTCACGAAGTACTCAAAAGTTTTTGACTATTTCCTTTTATTTTTAAGTCAGCTGATAACCGATACCAGCTCATCTTCCATGTTAATCACTCAAAGTCCAAGTTCAAAGTTGTTAACCAAAAATTATATCATTCGCTTTCAAGCACAAGAAATATCTGATTCCCCTTGCCAATATCCTGGTTACTTTATGACAGTCGAGTTAAATTGCAAACGTCTTACAACTTGTTTCTTGCGGAGTTGTTATAAGCTGATAGGATGTGTCATGATTTTTTTTTGAACAGTAATAAAAAATCTCACGAATGTATTTAAAGCGTTTCAGATTTGGATGCAAAAGTTTGACGTGTGCTTTCCCTCATTGGTGTTTTCTTTCATTATGATGACAATTTTTCATGGAATTTGGAAGATATATGGTGTGATTTTTCTTGCCAGATGGATATAGCCTGAAAGTGACAGTGCCAATCAAGCCTGATCCAACATTAATAACGTCCTATTCATGTTGCTAGATGATTTTTCTAAGAAAATTCAAAATTGGAGCAACTACTTAATAACGTTTCTTGGTAAATATATTGATAGCAATAAAATGAGCCCCAATTGGGACCCCACCTAGGGATGACAATGGGTCGGGTAGGAGCAGGTATGACAATACCATCCCCGTCCCCGCTCTCCATCCCGGCCCCCGTCCCCTGAATCCATCCCCGTTTAATAGGTTTCAGGGAATCCCCATCCCCGTTCCCGTCGGGGGACTATTCCCCATACCCGCTCCGAATCCCCGATTTTTTTTGCATAAAAAATATTTATAATACATTTTAACATTAAGTTTCATATTAAATTGTCATTCAACGTATCCAAATTAACTATAAAGTTTAACTCAACTATTCAAAATCACATCAATATGAAATTCCAAAGAAGATTAGAAAAGATTAGGAGAGGGATGTTAACTTAGGATTAAACAAAAATATTATCATTATATATATTTATTTAAATATAAACATATATATTTTCGGGTCAGGTTCAGGGATGGGGACGCCAATACCATCCCCTCCTCCTACCTATAGGGGATTTTTCAAATTCGGGGATCCCCATACCCGATACCCGTTTGGCCCCGAAATCTCTCATCGTTAGGGTCGGAGACCCAACGAGGACCCGCCCCCGCGAGGATTTTTGCCATCCCTAACCCCACCACCTTGTTCTGTTTGTTTTGTCAATTTCTCCCACTTTCTATTTTGTTTGTTTTTTCTTTTGTTGCCCACTGCTCACTTTTGATCCCTTGTTCCATCTTCTTGTGCGTTTATCCCTCTCTTGGGCTGCGTTCTTGCACCACTGCTATATTACTTAAAATGGAAAAATATCAACTTAGTCCATCCATATTATAACACTTACTACGTGCAAGAGTGGAACTAAAATTTTCAAAAGGGTAGGCTAATATTTTGTTAAATGATAAAACAAAATTAAGTCAAACCAAGAACAAATAAATTTTAATTTTTTTGAACTTGAACGATTCAATTAACATGATATAAAACTAGAAAACTACCGACTTTTCTTAACTACCCAGCCATAAAAGTGAAGAATTTGCACATATGGGAGTTGGCTGGGTGGGCTAAATGTCAAAATCTTGAAATTAAGTGCTATAAAAAGTATTTTTGACCAAGGTTGCACTGGGCTACAGTCGAGGGTAGCCTATATGTAGCTCCACCATTATTACGTGAACGTATGGCTCTGATTTTGACACGTTCCCTCTCAGAAACAGAAAAAACATTCTTCCACTTTTACCCTTCTTCTTTTCCTCATATACACAATTACAATGTGTGAGGAGGACAGTTGACACGATGAGTCTTCTGTAATTAAGCTCTCCAAGTGGATTACAGTATACGTTACGTTCCCTCTCTGAGGTATGAATTATATAGTTGCCAATTGGTTTTTTCTACTGTCCATATAAAAATGGGGAAGGATTCAAGGTCGGCGATGATCCACATAAAAATGAGGACATGTGAATTTGGTATGAATTATATATAGTTGCCAAATTGGCTTTTTCTACTGTCCATGTATTCGCTTCGTCGCATTCACAGATGAACGGCATTGTATTCAAGACTTCTTAGCGGCAACTTCTTTTCCTACTTGTTGCTCACGAAAACTACATCATCACATCCTGTGTCGTTCATGATGGAGAGGCCTCCCAATAATGTTAGGGAGTATCTATTCTATATGAATATATGAATATATGACCTTCTTAAGGACATAAAAATGAGGATATATGACCTTCTTAAATTTTTAATCAGGAAGTACCCACCGGACTCTAGGCAATTCTGGAATAATTTGATATAAAATAAAAAAAAGAAGCAAAAGCCCAAGCAATAATTTGATGCAGAAGTACCTTTGATTTTGTACGAAGTCTCTTCAGACACAAGTGCCCCAAATGCATAATAGCACCTAGTTGTAACTGAGTAGATCTTCATCCTTGCTTCTTCCTCACTGTCGTTGAGACACAAACAAATGCATCAATCAATTAATACAAGCAATGTGAACTACTTTAGAGAGTGATCATATCTTTTATACCGTAGTTGATTGGATATTGCATATTAGGCGTTGTCCAGGTTTGACATGTTCGGACCGTTGGATCAACTCCAATTTAATATATGTTGATCTAGACATTCCTATGATCGTGTAGGATTTTGCGGATCGTGAATCGGAGACCCGGATGTTCCGATCCAATAACTTAAAGTTTGCATTAAACGATAACCATCCGATCTCGAGCAATCCGACCATTCGATCTAGACCAAACTTGCAGGACGTGTATTCTAAACCTTGTGGAACCCATAGGAACTTCCAGATTAGAAATCGGAGGTCGTGGGCCCCTGTGGCCCGATTGACCTAATTTGGAAAGTTTGACTGCCCAGTTGACCGAGCGTCTTTTGATGCTATCTCTTCATCCGAAACACGTAGTTAGTGCCAGTTTGACATTGCTTATTTGGGGTGATAAGTGATTTTTTAAAAATTTTGAGAAGCCCAACCCGTTTGGTAAACTGTAAGAAAATCACTTATTGTTAAAAATTGTTATGAGAGAAAGCTATAAGGGAAAGCAGCTAATGAGGTGCTTTCATTTTCTGATTATGCAGGAATCAGTTTTGAAGAGGCGCTGAGTTTAATGATTATGTGAAAATCATTTTCTGATTATGCGTAAAATCAATACCAACAACACTTTAAACAAAAATTTTACCAAACACCAAACTGCTTTCTCTCACAAATGATTTCTCTCACAACAAATCTGACAGCGATTATTTTCACAACACAGCAATGCCAAACTGGCCCTTAGACTTTAGGAATGTCTCGTTCCTCGTACTGTACTTGAAACCTGGGAAATTAGGATTTTAATTTAAAGTTTCCGTTCGACGTATTTTGTATTAATTTCGTACCCGTTTTCTGAAATAGGTGCTCTGGCTACTCGCACGCAACAGGTGGGACCCTCTCAGGGTCAAGCAGCGTGGGATACTTGTGATTGGACTTTGGTTTTAAATAATAAGCATGGTTTTTTTTATGGAAAAATTATGCGTAATGTTTTAATGGTTTATTGAATATATTATATATTCAATTGTTGAACTTGATGTTTTTATATAGCAATTGCAATATATTTTTGGGTTTTACCATATTTGAGTATCTTGAGTTTTATATATATATATATATATATATATATATGGATTTTGACAATTTCTATCTATGTTGGTTATGTGTGGGGTACTTGGGTTGTTGATGTGAGATTTTGGAAAGAATTGCGATTATAGTATGTCAGTTGAAGTGCTATACGCACTACCCTATGTACCTCCCTGGTTACGGAAATTATGGAATAGAATTGGATTATTGAGATACTTGGATATGTTGGAACCCGGCACCTTGACGGGGTGTTTCGTAAACACAAAGCGGGATAGTCTGTGCAAGTAGGACTTGTCGCAGGCGTACGACTCTTGAAGATTCGGCTGTATGTGCTGGTAGAGTTAGTCCCCTGGTTGGACGGCTCGTTCCCTTGCCACATGGTCAATTGAGGATTCTTCCATGTGGACCAGTCAAACAATCCCTGGTTGGATTATTTCCCCGGTACAAACTAGGTGATGTCATTTATATATATATATATATATTATACATATATACATATACATCTATTCATTCGTTCTTGTTTCTCAGTGAGGATACTTCCTCCCTCATCGTGCCAATGGGTACGCGTTTCGAGAGTTTAGTTTGGGAATCGTAAGGAAAAGTTTGGATGGGTTGACTTATAAAGTTTCATTATGGGTTTTTGGATTTAGTTATGGTTTTGACCAAATTTTATATATATAGGGTTATGACGGTTTTGAGTGCATATGGTTTTCTGCATCGTTTTCTAAACGGTGAGGGTTATATTACTTTGGTTTCAATTGAACTAAATTTTGTTTTGCCCACTCACACTTTTCTGTTTTGCATCCCTTTGCCAGTAGTTGATTGAACTGAGCAGCAGAGCCGGGTCGCGAGCTTCCAAACTCCGAGCCTTCGTAGGGCTCCTTTACTCTTTTATTGCTGTTGAACTCCCGTTTCTGTTTGTATTTTGAATTCTTAGATATGCTATGTTATCGCCCTGTAGGGTTTGATTTGTGAGGCTGGAGGCCCTTGTTGTAAACTATTTATTTGTTCTGAAGCATGTTGCCTATTGGGATATTAAACTGTGATTTTAACATGTTGAAAAATTTGGGAAAATGTCCATTTTTCAAGGGAGACTTGGTCTTTAGTAAGTGGGCTCGGCATCGGGATGATACCGGAAATACGACAGGATTTGTCCCGTTTCGAGGAATCCGGGGCGGATCCTATCAGTTTAAGGTTTTTTAGACCTGCTGAACAAGTAAACATGATTTTTTTGGTTTCATGAACATAATGTGACCAATAGAAGCCAATAGTTGTAGGTTGCAGCGCATCTTTGATGAAATATACATTTTCTATTTTAGTTTTTTTTTCTTTGTTTAAAGTTATTTCTTGCTCTGAGTGACTGAATCCAAGGCAAAAAAATTGACAAAAAAAAGGACTGTTATGTAGCGCCGAGTCCAAGGCAAAAATGCGTTCTTCACTTAGACGTGTTTGGGGACAGCGTTTAAAATGGAAAAGGTTGAGGGATAAATTATTTCTGTCATGGGTTGAAAGCATAGCAGAGGCGGCTAAGAAAGGTGGTAGCGGACAGCAAGAGCTCTGTTGGGATAGCTATGAGAAGATAAAGCAAAAATTACATCTCCAAGAGCTTCAGCTGGCTGCTGAGAAGAAAAAGGAAAAGGCAAAGGAGAGGGCAAAGAAAAGAGCAATGACAGCAGAACAGGTTAAAGAAAAAAAATATGGCAAGGATTACTCGTGAGAGGAGAAAAGATGGAGAAGTCTATGAAGATATTGAAGAGTTGACAGATCTTCAAGGGTGGAATTGTAAGCAGAGATTAATGAAGGTAATTGCTCAGTGGCCAAGACAATATTAAGTTGTAGATAGAAGCAATTATGTAGTTCACCATATATAAATTAGAAATACATGACATATCACTCACAAACTTAGCATAAATAAATAGTATCGCTAAGCATACAATGTTAAGTTCATGAGTAGGTCAAAGAGAAGTGAGTTTTGGGGGGGGAGGAGTATTCAAATTACAGATGAAATCTGTTTAACATTGAACCATAATGCTTTGATATATGTAAAGAAACTGACGGTGGATAGAAAAAATGGGTAATTATTGCTTTTCATATTTGAGACAGGGCTAAGGTTAAAATCTTGTATATTGCAAATTTATTTTCCTGATTCATAATCCAGCTTGCAAAATTTCTTCTTCTTGAGCTCTGTTCTTGATCAGGCTTCAAACATTTAGGGAACCTTGCTAGATCAGCATATTAATTATTTTACTTCATTTTTTCTAATCTGCTGCTTTTAAATGGCATCACCTTTTCCAATGTTGTTTGTTTGAGTGTGTTATTGAATTCTCTTTCTTCTTAATAGTTTGAAAGAAAAACTTCAACAAATGGACAAACTGCTGCTCGAGGGGACATAGTCATGTCGCGTATCTCAGCTTTTGAGAAACTGGATCTAGAGCTTATAAAGAGAGAAAAAATGCAGAAAGAATTTTCATTCGCAGACCAGATCAGAGCTGCCAAAAACAAAAGAATGGAATTAACTATGGAAGCCTCATCCTCTGTTCATGCAGCCACCAAGAAACCAGGGGAGTATGCTTAAATTTCCACACCCCTAGCAGCAGTTGAAATAGAGGTGTATGGAGGGCAACTTTTTTCTTTTTCTCTTCTTTAAAGAGGGACAATTTGCTTGTTTTTATGTAGCTTAATGTTCATTTGTTGATGGTTTGTAGGAAGAGAAAATATCGGACTCTTGGACACATTTTTCCAACCAGTCGCAAGAGTCTGGTCATTTGTTTTCAGGGCTTCATTCATGTTATATGGAAGAGGTCCATCTGGCGACAGTGCAGTGTTTTTATGTGAAAAATTTGTTAGGTGAATTTGTCATGACCAGAAATTATATCATCCGCTTTCAAGCACAGGAAATATCTGATTTGCCTTGCCAATATCCATGCTGGTTGTGATATTGACTTTAGACAGTCGAGTTGTTATAAGCTTTACAGGATGTGTCATGATTTGTTTAACAGTAGTAAAAAACCTCACCGATTTGGTAATTCCCTTTTAGTTTGTAAACAATTTTATTGTTCTGCAGGGGTTGTGTGATGGATTCAAACTCCACAATAGAGCCCCAAGGTTTTGTAAGTTAAACATGGAAGAAAGAAAACCATAAGTTGTGAGATTCGTAGTTTATTTTCTCCAAAATAAATTGGACAGCAGCATCATATATTATATTTTCTTTTTTTCAAATATATCAGAAACAGCATACTGAGGAGTTCATAACGATGTTGTAGATTTTTTCCTGCAGCTTGAGTTTAGGGTTTCTTCCCCCATAACTTTATGAACCGGACAACATATATCCTTTAAATTTGAGTCCAGTTACTTTGAAATGAAGAAGAAGAAAAAAAAGGGTAAAGCAAACTGAAAATGCAAAATAAAAAGTACAATATTAATAATATATATCTAGCCTCTAAGCCTTCTTTTCATCCTCTTGAGGGGGACTGTTATAATCACATAGAGCATATCTTGTAGATTGTCTATGAATTGAAAATACGCATATCTCCATGTCTTGTTAATAACTAAAGAACCACGGACTCACCAAAATCCTACTATGAACCCCAAGTACACAACGATAATGTAGAACCATGGAAGTTGATGATGCCCATTGCCCTCGTCTTTATTGTTCTTGTTACCTGCATCCATGTCCTTATTTGGTATGCACTTATTTGGAAGTGGGGCACCACAAAGTTTTGGATTCCCCTCAAAGGTAGAAGCGTTGAAGCTTTGGAGCTGGGTGCCTGTTGGTATTGGTCCTTCAAGATTATTGTACGAGGCATCAAATTCTTTCAACAAATTATGGCTCACCAATGACTATGGGATTATTCTAGACAAGTGATTCGTGGAGAGGTTCAAAACCTCTAAAGTTTTTAGGTTATATATTTGGTCTGGAATGATGCAGGAGAAGTTGTTGGAGTTAAGAGCCAACTTGCGGAGAAGCTGCAATTGGTCTATCTCAGCAGGTATATAACCACTAATGTTATTGTTAGATACGTCTATCACTGCTGGAAATGAAGACAATTTTTGAGGTAGCAAAATTTGATTTGCAGGATTTATGTTGCTGACGACATGCAATTCAAATTCTACTTGAGAGGCAATATTAGGTTCATAATTCAACCTTGGTAGTCTACAAAGTTGCTTTGGAAATTCACCTGAAAATCGATTCTCGGACAAGTTGACATAAAACAGTCTTGGAAGAGTCCCCAACCAACTTGGAATTGGCCCTGTGATTTGATTAGCACGCAGACTCAAGATCTCTAGATTCTTGAGTTTTGATAACCATAGAGGTATTTGCCCAGTGAGGTTAGAATCATCCAAACTCAAAAACCGAAGATTTTGGAATCCGTCAAAGTCGACCATGTCATCATCATATGGCATTCCCTCACCTTCAAAGGCACTAGTAAGAATGAGTGTGTGAAGACTTTTGTAACTCATCAATATCTTCATTGCCCTTATGAGGTTGGTGAATCGGTTGTAACCAACAAAGAGGAAGGACAAGGATTTCAATGAAAGAATTTCAGCTTGTATTTGTCCCTCTAGATGATTTCTACCTAATGCAATGGCTTTTAAGGACCGACATGAGTAAAGGCTTACTGGAACTGTACCAGTGAAGCTATTGCTCTTTAGATCCAGTTTAGTAAGTTGACTAAGTGTGGAGAAATCAAGCATGTTGTATCCTAAACACAGTTCTACAAGGTTTGTGCAATTCATCAAAGATGGGGGCAAAGCACCTTCTAAATTGTTGAAATCAAAGGTCAAAAACTTCAACTTGGAGAGATTCCCCAAATTGAGAGGATGCTTGCCACCAAAATGATTAAAGTAGAGGTCAAGGATGGCAAGTTTGGTGAGGTTGACAATTTTATCACTAATAGGGTTATAGATATCTTCTGGAACGGAACAAAGAGAACAGAACCACAACGGTCGTGGTCACCAGTTTCCAACTCAACGCTAGTTTCGACATTGCTCAAGGATTGACGAATGTTTCGACTAGAAAGACTGAACCACAAAGATGATAATATGAAATAGATGAACACTTTGTTTCGCCTGAAAGAGAAACCTAGAAAAATGAGGGCTATACTTTTGTGTTCTTCCTCGAATCGAATAAGGAATAACAGGGGCGCTCTCTCTTTAGTGTTATTGCTCTTCCTCAATCAAAGCTGATAAAAAAATTGGCCTCCTAATTGAACAAATCGAACAGCTGGATTGGAGGGGACGTCTGTTTTCGACTGGACGTTTTGGAGGGAGGAGAGAGAAGAAGGCCTCGTTCTAATACAACACTTACACTTACAATTGCTTTTCACGCAGCCGTTAGATTAGATCCAACGGTGTTCTCATGTAATGTTCTCATATATGTGCTCTCACTAGATAACTGACCCATTTCAGTTTCAGACCAAAAAGAGGTCGTGATCTTTCTCAATCCTCAACTTGTCGCACAGAAAAATTTGAAGAAGAGAAGAGAAGAGAAATGAGTAGAGAAAAATTAGCTGGCCCCCCCTAGCCCTAAAGCTCCTTCGTCTACTTTATTTTGTCGGCGCTGGCTGTAAGTCATGAATTTTCATTTCAATTTTAAGTCTTTGGTTTTTGGAGAGAGAGAGAGAGAGAGAGAGAGAGAGAGAGAGAGAGAGTCTTATTCTTCTTCTTCGTTTTTAAATGTTTGGAGAGAAAGAAAGTCTTATTCTTCTTCTTCGTTTTTAAATGTTTGGCTTATTTTAAATTATGGGTAGTTATTTGCATTTGTTTTCTTTCAGGGCTTCATGGAAGAGGTCCATCCGGCGATAATGCAGTGAAAAATTTGTCAGGTGAATCTATCATGACCAAAAATTATATCATCCGCTTTCAAGCACATGAAATATCGGATTTGGCTTGCCAATATCCATGTTGTTATAAGCTGTATAGGATGTGTCATGACAACTTTATGAACCGAACAACATATATCCTTTAAATTTGAGTCCAGTTACTTTGAAATGAAGAGGAAGAAAATAAAAAGGGTAAAGCAAACTGAAAATGCAAAATAAAAAGTACAATATTAATAATATATATCTAGCCTCTAAGCTTTCTTTTCATCCTATTGAGAGGGACTGTTATCATCACATAGAGGAGCATATCTTGTAGATTGTCTATGAATCGAAAATACGCATATCTTCATGTCTTGTTAATAACTTAAGAACCACAAACTCCCCAAAATCCTACTACGAATCCCGACGTTGCAAAGATATAAAACCATGGAATCACATTTCCACGTCTTTATTGTTCTTGTTATCTACATCCATGTCCTTATTTGGTCTGCACTTATTTGGAAGTGGGGCACCACAAAGTTTTGGGCTCCCCTTAAATGTAAAAGCTTCGAAGCTTTGGAGCTGGGTGCTTGTTGGTATCGATAACAATGGGATCATTCCAGACAAGTGATTCATGGAGAGGTCCAAAATCTCTATATTTTTTAGGTTAGATATTTGGTCTGGAATGACGCCAGAAAAGGTGTTGGAGTCAAGAAAAAGCTGGCTGAGAAGATGTAATTGGCCGATCTCAACAGGTATATAACCACTAATGTTATTGTTAGATAAGCGTATTATTGCTGGAACAGAAGACATTTTTTGTTGTAGAATAGTTTGCTTTGCAAATATGTCGAAGCTGCTGCTGCTGAAGATTGGCAATTCAAATTCATAACCAGTGTCGTCTAATTGAGATGCAATATTAGGTTCATGTACCAACCTTGGTAGTCTACAAAGTTGCTTTGGAAAGTCACCTGAAAATTGGTTCTCTGACAAGTAGATATGAAACAGTCTAGGCATAGTCCCCAACCAACTTGGAATTGGCCTTGCGATTGATTAAAATCCAGTCGCAAGATCTCTATATTCTTGAGCTTTGATAACCATATAGGCATTTGACTAGTGAGGTCAGAATTAAACAAACTCAATAACCGAAGATTTTGGAATCCATCAAAATCAACCATGTCATCATCCGATGGCATTCCCTCACCTTTAAAGGCACCATCAAGCATGAGTACATGAAGACTTTTGCAACTCATTAATATATTCATTGCCCCTGTGAGGTTGGTGAATCGGTTGTGACCAAGGCAGAGGAAGGACAAGGATTTCAATGAAATAATTTCAGCTTGTATTTGTCCCTCTAGATGATTTCTACTCAATCCAATGGCTTTTAACGACCGACATGAGTAAAGGCTTACACGAACCATACCAGAGATTTTATTCATCTTGAGGTCAAGTTTAGTAAGTTGACTAAGTCTGGAGAAATCAAGCATGAAGATATCTCCTTCCAAGTTGTTGTTTAACAAATGCAGTTCTACAAGGTTTGTGCAATTTATCGAAGACTGGGGCAAAGAACCTTCTAAATTGTTGAAATCAAGGGTCACCAATTTCAACTTGGAGAGCTTCCCCAAATTGTGAGGAAGCTCGCCATTCAATTGATTAAAGTAGAGGTCAAGGATTGCAAGGTTAGTGAGGTTGGCAATTCTACCACTAATGGCTCAATGTAGTGAATTGAGAGGTAATGCAATTTCTTCAAGTTTGGTAGCATTATAGATATCTTCTGGAAATAATCCCAAGAAGTTATTGTGACCGGCATGAAAAACCTACAGTTTGGAACACTTTCCTAGCCCAGGAGCAAGGTTGCCACTGAATACATTGGAAGAAAAATCCAATAGCCTAAGGGAGGGAGAAGAATGAAAACAAATAGAGGATGGGACATACCCTTGAAGGTATTGTTGCTAACATTGAAACTAGTCAAGTTGCTTGCTTGTTGGAAGAATGAAGATGGAATTGCACCAAAGAAAGTGATTGCTGGACAAATCAACTATCCGTATATTAATAGATGGTAGAGAAAGTGGTAGTTCTCCAAAAAGAAGGTTATAGCTCAAATCAAGGATCTCAGGTTGATTCAAAGACAAGAAGAACTGAGTTTCAAGTGAACCATATAGTGAATTGTGGGAAAGGTTCAAGTGGGTGAGATGGGTTAGATTTGCAAGTGAAAAGGAAGAGATACCTCCTTTGAGCCCTTTGGAAGGTAAGAGCAAACTGGTGACCCAACCATCTTGATCACAAGTGATGCCTTTCCAACGACAGCAATCAAGAGATGTCCAATTTAAAGGAGGAGAAGATAGAGTGGAGGCAAAGGGCAGGAGGGAGCTGCGTTCAATTTGTTTGCAGGCATGGATATTTGTAGATATAATGCAAGAGAATAAGAGGAAGAGAAGGAAGGCACGAGCCATTAGGTTATAAGCTTGCACTAACATGTTGCTTTGTGTATGAGTCGTTGCTCACATGTATTTACATATATAAGAGCAATGATTGCTTGAAAGGGATGCAAAAATCAGTACAAATTGAGAAGTCGATCGGCAAACAACAACCACAATGAAAATTGTGTGGTTGAAGAGATATTCTCGTTAATGAAACAAGAGAGAAGACCTCATTAATGAAACAAGTTGGGCGATAAAGAGGCCTTTAAAAGTGATCAGAACTGCCGGCAAGGACCTGTTCTTAAAGATATCTTTAAGACATCTTTAAGACATCTTTAAGACATTTAGATGTCTTTGGAAAATTTGTTGATGTTTTCATATGATGAAAGACTTGACTCCTGTTTGTTTCATTTAATTTGCTGAACCAAGTTTGTAAGAGAGTTCACTCTCTTTTGAATTTTGTCTAATTTTTCCTTATCTGGCTTTGCGAAGGAATGCTTGGTTTCCTCTTGGTTATATGAACTCCTTCTTGAGCTGGACTCCTTCTTGAGGAAGATTGCTTGTTTGCTTTTGGTAGCTTGTAAGATCTTGTGATCTTTGATTTCTTGGGTCAGCCTAGGCTGGTTTTTGAGTTTTTGTTTTGTCTGATCAGTTGGTTGGTTGGATGTCTTTTGTTTAGTCCAGGTCCAGGCACTCTTGTATTTATAGAAGAAAATGTCATGAGGAAATCTAGATATTTTCATACTTAGGCTAAACCTTATTTTAATGCACAAGTGGCAAAAAAGGCTTTGTCAATCAATGCATTGATCCTTTTTGGCTTTCGCTCATCAAAGTTCTTGAATGTCTCCTGATCGTTCCTTTTTGTAGAGAGGCCTGAACTGAAGTGAATATGATGCTCAAAAAACCGTCCAACTAAGGCCATGCTGACCTTAATTTCGAGCTATCGAGGTCATCAAAACTATTTGGAGTTTAGTTACCAACGGTGAGAATTCATCTTGATACCTTGATAGCTAATAAGAAAAGTCCAATGGGTTGAGACTAATTTGATACTTTTCTATGCCCATTACTTTATGAACAAACAAAATATATCCTTTATATTTGAGTCCAGTTACTTTGAAATGAAGACGAAAAAAAAAGGTAAAAGCAAATTGAAAATGCAAAATAAAAAGTACAATATTAATAATATATATCTACCCTCTAAGCCTTCCTTTCATTGTGTTGATGCAAACTGTTATCATCACATAGAACCTTTCTTGTAGATTGTCTATGAATCGAAAATACTCATATCTCCATGTCTTGTTAATAAGTAAAGAACCACAAACACCCCAAAATCCTACTATGAACCCCAATGCTGCAATGATATAAAACCATGGAAGTTGATGAAGTCCATTTTCCACGTCTTTGTTGTTCTTGTTATCTACGTCCATGTCCTTATTTGGTTCGCACTTATTTGGAAGTGGCGCACCACAAAGTTTTGGGTTCCCCTCAAATGCAGAAGCGTTGAAGCTTTGGAGTTGGGTTCCTATTGGTATTGGTCCTTCGAGGTTATTGCATGAGACATTAAATTGGTTTAAGAAATTAAGGCTCACTAATGACAATGGGATTCTTCCAGACAAGTGATTCATAGAGAGGTTCAAAATCTCTAAATTTTTTAGGTTAGATATTTGGTCTGGAATGACGCCGGAGAAGTTGTTGGAGTCAAGAACTAACTTGCGGAGAAACTGCAATTGTCCGATCTCAGCAGGTATATAACCACTAATGTTATTGTTAGATAAGTCTATCATTGTTGAAAAAAAAGAAAATTTCTGACTTGGGGTTATGGCGGTCACATCGAAGACATGCAATTCAAATTCATATTCGTCTACTTGAGATGCAACAGGTTCATAAAGCAACCTTGGCAGTCTACAAAGTTTCTTTGGAAATTCACCTGAAATTCGGTTGTGTGACAAGTTTATGTGAAACAACCTAGGAAGAGTTCCCAACCAACTTGGAATTGGCCCTGTGATTTCATTGAAACTCAGTTCCAACATCTCTAGATTCTTGAGCTTTGATAACCATAAAGGTATTTGACCATTGAGGTCAGAAGAACCCAAACTCAAAACCCGAAGATTTTGGTATCCATGAAAAGCAACCATGTCATCATCAGATGGCACTCCCTCACCCACAAAGGAACCACTGAGCAAGAGTGCGTGAAGACTTTTGAAACTCATGAATATCTGCATTGCCCCTGTGAGGTTAGTGAATCGGTTGAACCCAATAGAGAGGAAGGACAAGGATTTCAATGAAAGAATCTCAGCTTCTATTTGTCCCCCTAGAGGATTTTTAGACAATCCAATGGCTTTTAGGGACCTACACGAGTAAAGGCTTACTGGAATTGTACCAGTGAAGTTATTGAACCTTAGGTCAAGTTTAGTAAGTTGACTCAGCCTTGAGAAATCAAGCATGGAGATTTCTCCTTCCAAGTTGTTGTTTCCCAAATGCAATTCTACAAGGTTTGTGCAATTCATCAAAGATGGGGGCAAAGCTCCTTCAAAATTGTTGAAATCAAAGGTCACAAACTTCAACTTGGAGAGCTTCCCCAAATTGAGAGGAAGCTTGCCCCCAAAATGATTAAAGGAGAGGTCAAGGATGGCAAGGTTGGTGAGGTTGACAATTTTATCACTAATGGCTCCATGTAGTGAATTGAAAGGCAATGCAATTTCTTCAAGTTTAGTAGCATTATAGATATCTTCTGGAAGTAATCCTGAGAGGTTATTGCGACTGGCACGAAAAACCTGCAATTCAGAACACTTCCCTAACCCAGGAGCAAGGTCACCATTAAATAGATTGGAAGAAAAATCCAATAGCCTAAGGGAGGGAGAATAATGGAGACAAATAGAGGATGGGACATACCCTGTGAAGGTATTGTTGTTGACATTGAAACTAGTCAAGTTGCTTGCTTGTTGGAAGAATGAAGATGGAATTGCACCAAAGAAGTGATTGCTGGACAAATCAACTGTCTGGATACTGCTGGATGGTAAAGAAAGTGGTAGCTTTCCAGAAAGACGGTTATAGCTCAAATCTAGGATCTCAAGTTTATTCAAAGACAAGAAGAACTGAGTCTCAAGTGAGCCATATAGTGAATTGTGGGAAAGGTTCAAGTGGGTGAGATTTGCAAGTGCAAAGGGAGAGATACCTCCTTTGAGTCCTTTGGAAGGCAAGAGCAAACGGGTGACCCAACCATCTTGATCACAAGTGATGCCCTTCCAACGACAGCAATCAATGGATGTCCAATTTAAAGGAGAAGAAGATAAAGTGTGGGCGAAGGACAAGAGGGAGCTGCGTTCAGTTTGTTTGCAGGCATGAATATGTGTAGATATAATGTAAGAGAATAAGAGGAAGAGAAGGAAGGCATGAGCCATTAGGTTATAAGCTTGCACTAGCATGTTTCTTTGTGTATGTGCCGTTGCTCACAAGTATTTACATATATAAGAGCAATGATGCTTGAAAAGGATGCAAACATCACTGCAAATTGAGAAGTCGGCAAACAACAACCACAATTTAAATTGTGTGGTTGAAGAGATATTCCTACTAATGAAACCGAAGAGAAGACCTCATTGGGTCTTAAGAGATATTCCCACTAATGCCACAAGGAGTGGACTTGACCTACTTAATTTAAAGTCCACGAGGCCTTCAAAGTACTCAAAGTAAGAAATTGGCAAACATAACCATACAATACAAATTCTTCAAACCCCTTCTATACGTTGAAGAGAGATTTCAATTAACGTAGCCAAAATTGTAAACCACATTAGGTCTAAAGAGGGCCACGATGAGAGGACCGGACCTTATTCACAATTCACTACCAACTGTCAACTACATGACCAAACAGATGAACTTTAGAAAAACGGTATATCAAGCAAAAGACGAAAGGCAGAAAAGATGACACACTCGGAGTAAATTCATGGATATATTAAACGCAACAAAATTATATTTAAGTCTAGGCGACTCAAATGTGTTGGAATTGGCTTAAATTTGATGGCACCTCCCATGACTTTGTTGACACAAGTGCTTTCGGCGGCTTTGTTTTTTTGATTGATAAAACTACAGACTACAGTCTATATGCATGTGAGGAAGACTTTGGGGAAGCAAAGACAAAGTGGGAAAAGCAAGTTTGTCGCGTGGCGGGGTTGGGTATTCGAAACTAAGGACTCGACATAACTTGTCTGCTAGCTCATACAATAATCCAAAGTGCATTTTTTACCCAGCATCCACAATTGGTAAAAGGCAATCCCATACAACCCTCTGAGTGACGAACACATAAGAATCCCAATATGACATAATTGTACATTAAGACAAGATTTAATATCCCAAAATGTTTAGACTAATACGGTAAAAAAAATTTGTTTAAGCTAAATACAGATTTGTTGAAACTATGGGGCTTGTTTCATAAAAAAAAACCTGGATTTACATCTTTCATTAATGAAAATTTTGTGATGTTGTGAGTAATGGCTCTGGTTTTCGCTGTTCAAGAATTCTTATTTAGGCAGTTCATACAATCTATACATAACATTTTGAGCTAAGAGCATTCTTTGGAACCTTGTAGAGTAAATTTTGCAAGATAAGAAGAGTGTATTATCCTCCAGTCAAACTAAATTCCTTTCACCTCTCGAGATACCAGGTTAAACACAAGGAATTTCGTAATGTTTCTCGAAATATGATGAGGGGGGCAATTACTTTTCCCTCATTGAAGGACATTCCCAAAAGTTCAATATTCTTTTGCTCTTCTGTTTTATGTCACTGATGATATCAAAATACAATTAATATAAATGAGGCAGTTTGTAGAGGACAAGCATAAATCTTTTTCATGTGTAAATCCTATCCTAGGATTCTGATGTGATTACCTTTTTTAAGCCTAAAGGCATAAAATTCCATGATCCGTAGTGACCGTATGGTATACATAAGATGTTTTGTGCCTATCTTCTTGTATTGTCTAATCTGCCAAAAACCTGTTTTTAATTATATTGGAACTTAGAGAAGATTTTAAGTTTTTTGTAAGTTTGTAACACTTTCTTTTGTTTTATAGGGATTGGGAGCTGATATTTTCATGAATTGTATCTTTCTTCTTCTTTTTTGTTCTTTTGTTTTATATATACAAGCGTTATTGGAGAGAGAGGGTTTTCTCACATACACATATACTGTCAAGGTGACATGAGAGTTTGAAATTAAGACCACTGATTACAAATCAAGGCCGTTTTCCATTAAACTAGACTCTATTCATGAATTGTATAAGGGACCGAAAATTTGACCTATTCCAATCCTAAATAATTTTCTCCATCTTCGCTCACCACTTGGTCAATACCGGACATTAAGAAATTTATATCATTCGCTTTCAAGCACAAGAAATATCTGATTTCCCATGCCAGTATCCATGCTGGTTGCGTTACTTTATGACAGTTGAGTTAAATTGCAAATGTCGTACAACTTGTTTATTGCAGAGTTGTTATAAGCTGTATAGGATGTGTCATGATTTTTTTTAACAGTAATAAAAAATCTCACGGATGTAGTTAATGCGCTTTCAGATTTGGATGCAAACATCACTGCAAATCGAGAAGTCGGCAAACAACAACCACAGAATGCAAATTATTGATGATATTGAAACCTTTGGGCCACCAGGAGAGGACTTGACCGTGATATGTGTGATAAAGAGAATCCTTGTTGAATTCAAACTGGAATTAATATGTTTTGACTATTTCCTTGTATTTTTAAGGCAGCTGATAACTGATACCAGCTCATCTTCTATGTTAATCACTCAAAGTCCAAGTTCAAAGTTGTTTTTCTTGTTGATGACTCATCTTTGTCTTCTGAGCAACTGATATCTCCACACGTTTGACGTGTGCTTTCCCTCATTGGTGTTTTCTTTCATTATGATGATAATTTTTCATGGAATTTGGAAGATAGATGGTGTTATTTTTCTTGCCAGATAGATGCGGCCTGAGAGTGACAGTGCCAGTCAAGCCTGATCTTATTCATGTTCAAAGTTGTTTTCTTGTTCATGATTCTTCTAAGAAAATTCAAAATTGGAGGATAGTTATTCTTTCAAAGTTGTTTGCCCCAAAAGAAGGCAACTACTATAACAACTTGCCGAACATATTGACATGTATTTCAATGAAAGAATCTGAGGTTTTATTTGCCCCTCTAGATGATTTAAAGTCAATTGAATTGCTTTCAGGGACCCACATGAGTAAATGCTTATTGGAAATGTACCAGTAAAGTTATTGACTAATGCCACCAGGAGATGACTTGATCTACCTAATTTAAAGTCCACAACGCCTTCAAAGTACTCAAAGTAAGAAATTGGCAAACAACCATAACCATACAATACAAATTCTTCAAACCCCTTCTATACATGTCGAACAGAGATTTCAACTAATGTAGCCAAAATTGTAAACCACATTAGGTCTAAAGCATGATGAGAGGACTGGACCTTCTAGCAGTTACTATCGACTACTGTAGGTGAAGCAGTGCCGGTCAAGTCTTATCTTAACATTACATACATTGACATCTTATTGATGTTACACTGCAGGAGAAGCAGTGCCGGTCAAGCAAATCTTATTGATGTCAACCACATGACCAAACAGATGAGCTTTAGAAAATGGTATATCAAGCAAAAAAGAAAGGCATAAAAGATGACACACACGGAGTAAATTCATGGATATATGAAACCCCCATAATTATACTTAAGTCTATGCGACTCAATATTTAAACAACTTATACTACAAGGGCATGCAGTCTTCAGTCTTCTTTCGTCCCAGCAACGTCACAACTTTATAAACCATCCAAACAAAATTCTACTCGAACCAACTCATAGAGTAATTTGTAACAAGAGACTTGATGAGAGAAGAATATTTGACACAGTAAATGGTAAGGTAAATTCTCTCAACAATTTGGACCTAAAGGATTCTCATTTTAATGGGTTCCATGATGGGTGGGATGATCTCAAATCCGAGAACTTGTAGCCCAAAATCATATCCCCTATTGGATTTCATTGAACATATGTAAGGGGAGATTCTCACTATAGTTATCTTAATTGGTGCAATAAGATATTTTCCAAGCATCTTATCTACTATCATGGCTTCAGGTTAAGAGAATATTACAGAGGGAGTTGCGGAAGGTACAGAGCTGCACAGGTAGATGGGTTATACATGAAATCAAATTAAAGAAGAGAGATAATAGAAAGAAAGAAAAAAAAAGAATGAGAGAGAGAGGAGTTTTAGAAGTCTGTGTTTGTTTGCCAATGAAGTAATAATAAATGCAAAGTTAAGTGCATCTTAAATGAATTCTGAACTTTTAGATTGGGATAGATCTAAGGGCTAAAGATGTGTGTAAAAAAGTGTGGTTTTATGTGTGTCTCCCGATCCTAACCTATATATATATAGTACCCTTCTATTGAGGGATCCCTCAAATAATTTTATTTGAGGGACGCCATTTAGGGCACCCTACAATTTTTTTCTCAATGATCCACACCATCTATTTTTTAGGTCTTCATTCATAGATCAACCTTACAAAAAAAATTAGACAAATCGGAAACCGTTTCGACATCCAATTGTGTCTTACAAAATCAATGAACATGGTGCTTCAAGAAAGTACTAAAATTTTAATAACTCAATTGAGTGGTCAAATGATATCGGATTCAAGTGATTTTTTGTAGAGATGATCTTTGAATGAGTATCTACAAAATAGACGGTATGGATTAGTGAAATACAATCCGGAGTGGGCCTTACAAGTTTCACCCCTTGTAAGCAGCTCCAAAAACTCAAAAACTAAAATTTTGTCTCATTTTGACGACTTCCAATTTTTGAAACAGTAGCTCCCAATTTGAAGAACATTTCAACTTCTGGGAAGATTTTAAGTCTTTTGTAAAAAGATGAGAAAAGGAAACCGTTTATTTTTTAGGGCACCCTACAATTTTTTTCTCAATGATCCACACCATCTATTTTTTAGGTCTTCATTCATAGATCAATCTTACAAAAAAAATTAGACAAATCGGAAAACCGTTTCGACATCCAATTGTGTCTTACAAAATCAATGAACATGGTGCTTCAAGAAAGTACTAAAATTTTAATAACTCAATTGAGTGGTCAAATGATATCGGATTCAAGTGATTTTTTGTAGAGATGATCTTTGAATGAGTATCTACAAAATAGACGGTATGGATTAGTGAAATACAATCCGGAGTGGGCCTTACAAGTTTCACCCCTTGTAAGCAGCTCCAAAAACTCAAAAACTAAAATTTTGTCTCATTTTGACGACTTCCAATTTTTGAAACAGTAGCTCCCAATTTGAAGAACATTTCAACTTCTGGGAAGATTTTAAGTCTTTTGTAAAAAGATGAGAAAAGGACGGATGTGGGAGGGGAGAGGGATCTCTGTTGTCTTTTGTGCATAAA